TTCTTGTTCGAATGCGCTGGTTTCCCGCGCAAATTCCAGCCGCACAGCCACTCCAAGCCGACCAACCTGACCAGCCACCATTCACTTTGGTGCCCATAAGAAATAAAGCAAACAAAAGAAAGAAAAATGAAGAAAAGTGGATGGAACAAAGATGATTGTGAAGAATAATCTTGAAATCATTTGGGAGAGACGCGCAGTTTCGTGTTTGAAACAATGGGTAACTGTGAACACTTCATCATCAGTCAAAGCAAACCCTTAAAACTGAACTGAAAACGTGAATGACTTCAACAAGCTTAACATTTTCACTATCTATTTTCTATTGGTGAATATTGACTGTAGTTGATCGTTTGTGCGTTAATGTACTTGTAAGTCTGAGAATTTTTTGGGTAGAATTACCGTCAAGCAGCAAGTTCTATTTATTTTAACTGTAGTATGAAGGAAATACTTAGCCAAGTCAGAAAATGCATTAGAACTAAATACAAAGGAATTACACACATGCCTACATGTAGAACTGAGACTGCTGAATTTTTACACACTCTCATCTAAGACAAGATAAATACGGACAATACGAGTTTTAGTCCTTGTCTTCTTTGTCTTCGTTTCCTTTTTTTACCAATTATGTGTTTTTAGCAACTACGATAGTCTTTAATTAGTACGATTCACTTATTGAAAACTGTTCCTTTTTAAGTGAAGAAAGTCTGACCTTTCTAGCACATCCCAATTCTGACGTGATTGAAAGGTTTATCCCCCCGAACAGGTATTATTATAAAAAGCTGGCCATTTTTTCTTGGAAAAACAGTAGAGAACACCAGCCGAGTTCAATTGCCAACCCATTCTTAAAAAAATATGCATCGAAAATTTTTCTCAACTTGCTTCACGATGTCTCTGGAGCATTTGATTCTCCCTCAAGGTACTGTGAAACAAGGTACTCTACTCTTTCGGTAGAGAAAATTGAAAAATGATAGTTTTATCAAAACATTTATCATTTTTGTCACGGAAAGAAGGTTAGCTAATCGTTCTGGATACTAGGACGACCTCGTCTTTCTAATCTGCAAAAACAGGTAAACAAGAAAAAACTTACTCACCGACTCCTCCGACAGAGTTTAGGAAAGATGTGAAAACGAAAAGAAGGAAAAACTTCATTTTGAAGGTAAAAATTGATTTCAGTTGTAAAAAAAAAGGCGGCTAAGGCATAGCCAATAACTCCTCCTAAACGGACTGGTGAATAAAGAACAGAGATTAAAGTCGCTTAATAAAACTCATTCCTGTTAAAAACAGACACCTGGAATAACAGGTTATTTGTGGTTGTATTAGATGGACAGACATAGCTCCTTGTTGTGTGAAAATGTAGCCCCCTAGGTGATACTTGCTCAGATCGATTCGCGCAGAGTTGACAAATATCTCAAACGTAACTATTACATTCGCTCAGAAAAACAAAGAATCCAACGCGTATATTAGTAACATTTTAATTAGGTCTAAATTATATCTTATTTTTCGGCGGAAAGCAATGGAAATCTGTGAGTTGATTTGATGTTCAACCCTAAAGCAAAGTTTATGTATAAGTAACTATGGTATGGGACAATGAAATACAAAAAGATATTAAACAGTAATAATAATAATATTTCTTTTCCTTGTAAGCTGTATGGGTTTTCGCAAATTTACAGGGATTTTTAATTCAGCTTAATTTTCTGAAAAAACTGGAATTTTCGAGGGGAAGCGTTTAACAAATGGTGAAATACTACATGGGAACATTGAACTGAAAGAAATCGAAATTAAAAATGGACACACATGTTACGCGACAGCCATTAGAGTATTTGATGTATAAACAATTTATGTCCACTGAGGAAATCCAAGCTACTTAAATTAATCAGTGCAGACTTCAGCTCGCCTAGAGTTTATTCAAAGGTGAGTGCATTGCCAATGCCTTTTAAACTTAAGAAAAAAAAACAATAAGAAGAAGAAGAAGAAGAAGAAGAAGAAGAAGAAGAAGAAGAAGAAGAAGAAGAAGAAGATAATAAAAGGAAAGAAAGCGAAAGGGATGCCAGTTAAACTTGACTGAACGATTTTTTTGTGTGTGATTTCTTTAATTAAATGCTTGTATTAAATTTACATGCTGCTAGTTATAAACTCATATAAAGACTATACCAATGACAGCTCTAAATTAATACACCAGGATAATTCAAGTTTTTCAGCGTTATGTATTACGAAACAGCGGCCTAGTCCCAGGTGATGACCTTGATGTCCTTTTTTAATTACCATTGGTGTTTGTAACTTTAGATTACTTCAAATTTTACAGTATACATTCGATAACTGTTCTCGCATATTTACTGCCGACAAAACCAAAGAAAATAAACAATTTCAGAGAAAGCTGTTACTTTCTATACTTCAGAAATTAGTGGCACACCCAATTCGTCATCCACAAGGACAATAATTAAAACTAACGCATCAAGATAAAAAGTCCCATTATAGGAGAACGGCGACGACTACTTGTTTTTAGCTACTGACGCGTTTTAAAAAGAGCTAGAAGATCAATGGAGATTTGTCTTAAATAATTATAATAGGAAAGTAATCGTGGCGTCATTTGTGTGTTACTTTTGAGACATTATTGCGGTGGCCACCTGGAATTGTATGACAAAAAAAGAAAGAATTGTATGGAGAACACAAGCAAGGTCTCAGCGATGTTTAACTTAAAGAGTAAAACGTCTGGTGAATACTCGACGTGAAATACAGAGGACAACGGGGACCAGGCGAAAGAAGAATTTGGTTAAAAGCAGGGAGGCCTTTTTTTTCGCGGCCAGCTGGTGGTCGCCAATAAAGGAACTAAAGGGTTAATATTTTTAAATAAGAAAGAAATGAAGTTGTTTAATAAGACGTTGAACAATTCTTGTGAGCATAAAAATTTCGACAAAAAGATTTTTTTTCTTTCTCTTTATTATTGCGCGGTAAGATTTTAACACATCAAAATCTGTTTACCCACCTAACAAAACAATGGCACCAGAGCTATTACTATACAATTGTCTCTTTATTGACCAAAAAACTAAACAAAAACCTTAAACCACTGTTTTCTCAAGAGTTGCATATTAAAGTTTTTAATACAGTTCTCAATGCCTTTCTTTTTGAATTGAAAATCATTATAACTGAACATTAAAGGTGCTGATCACCATTTTTCTCTTTTTTTAAAAAAAAATAATTGTGTGATTCTGGAGAAAAAAATGTTTATATTGTATTTAAAATTTTCTGTTTGAAATTCATGTTTCAACACAAGTAGAAACAAACAATCCATCTACGTACAGTGTCTGCTGGAAATGATCTTCTCCAATTTAAAACCGTAACAACGACAAACGACTATATCAAGTCAAGCCTTAAGTTGTTACCTAGTTTAGTACAACTTGCTTTCTTGCTGAATGCTTATCATTTACGCCTAAGCATAATTTTAGAATTTTCTTTTAATAATAAGTTAGCTACCGAATTAGTATTTTTTTGCGGTCATCAGAAGCTGATTACAAGACTGGACGCTACAAAGTCTTTCTTTTATCCGTGATGTTATGTCAAATTAAAAAGTGAAATATAATATAAAACAGCAATATGAAGCCGTTCGGGAGTAACAGACAAGAACAAAAGTGTAAAATTTTTGAACCGCAGCCCACGCGGTACTTTCATCCTTGATGTGCTATGTAAAGTGGTATAAAATAACGCCAAAAAGGATCAGGGTGATACCCTAAATATTGAATTCAAGGTCCTCGAATTATGTTCTGTGGTTTGTTATTTGTGGAAAGCGTGAAATTTCGTGGGGGGGTGGGTTTGAATTGGACTACATGAAATTTTGTGTCTGAATCCTCCCCGGGTTTAAAATTAACGTTTAATGGTCCGTCACTATCGTGAAGCTCATTTGGCTGTCGATGGCCTACGTTGCGTTCAGGCTAAGGATAACGAAAACTATCGTTTTTGTTACAGCAATTTTCGTTTGAACTTGAACAGGAATTCAAAAATCGGATCGGTTTTACACTCCAGTACGAGAGGCGTTTGGTTGGTTTAGCGAGCAGGAAATACCGTGACCGCCAGCCTTAAAAACTTGAAAAGTCATTTGAGATTGGGCCAGTGTGGGCTCATCTTTAGTGAACACGGAGTCCATGTTTCAGTTGTGAACACTTGGATCGGAAAACCATATTTCAAGGTCAAAAGAAAATTCTAACTAGTCGCATTTTTTTTAAAGACAGAGCTTTCTGTAGGGGGCAAGTTTACCTATAATCAGTCGGAGTTAAAAAACCAGGCTAAGATTTCAATTGATAGCCTACAAGATCACCTTCAAATTGAGTGAAAGGAGAACACTTCAAGATAGTGCATGTAGTGAATTTCTTTTAATAATATTGAGACTGTATACTTAAAAGGTTAATGAAGACGGAGATTTATGGTTCAATAATTGAAGAACTTTCAAAGAGGTAATATGCAATTTATTATTTAATGTCTAGGTTTACACTTCACATGTTTAGACAAGATCTATTAATTCTTTATCAGGTGTCGTCTAGGTTCATGCTTATTTCATCCTTTTATGTTCAATCCAGATTATCTGTTTTTAAAAAGAAAATAGAAAAAAAGCAGAGAATTACAACTCAGTCTATGTTAACGTTTTAAGGTTTATATGTATAGTCTGGTGACTGAGCTTAAACATTGAGTTTGATACTAGATAGGAGAAGCTTAGAATTTAACACAAAAAACTGAGTGAACAAAATATATTTTTGAGTATATTAAAATATAGTTTTTGTGCTATATAAAGAGATATTTTAAAAACACGTAAAAGAAAACTATGCAAAACTGAAGTAACACGAAACAATTTGCAAATTGGTTTAACAGTTGTCGACATTTTCCTCTCTTGCATTTAAGAGCGATTTTACCGTTCTAATAATAATTTAAAAAAACACTTACACTGCTAATTTCAACAAGAAAACTAACGATTATGGACTAGCAGAATGTTATTAACCACAGAATACATTATAGTACGTCTAACATCTAAAGTACCTTGTACTTGAACCTTCTACAGCATCTACTTGAACATATATTTGCTTGGTAACCGTGCCCTGCGTGTTAGTGGCTTTACACTCGTAAGTGCCTGAATCAGAGACCACCGCTCCCGTAATAACCATTTCCACACCCGTTAGTTTTGCCTCCAGGTCGTAAATATGGTTGATTGTAGTACGGTCCATGGGTAGAGAACCTTTAGAGAATAATTTTGTAGGGTTGACAAGCAATTCTCTCTGAACCCTTTTATCTCTGAATTTAATGTTTTCCTCTTACACTCTAATTCATTAATTAATTTTCATTTTCTTCTATGTTTTTGAAGCGCTTCCCCGAATTATTCCAGTTTGTCTTAACTAGATTCTACAACAATTTTCCATCTAAATCATTTTATATTTTATACCACCGAACTTTCCTCCAGTTTTTATTTTTTGTGAAAAAATCTTGTTTCCCTTATACCCGTTTATCCAATATATAGCTGCCCACTACGTACATGAAAATTTAGGCATATAAGTTCTTAAATAACGGAGTCAAAATGATCATGGGTGAGATAAACGGCTGAGATAAAGTTTACATTTTATAGATAAACAGGCATACCAGCAGTTTTGTTCCAGGTAGCGTCCGGTGCAGGACTGCCTTCAACGTTGCACAAGATTGAGAATGTATCACTCTCAATTACGTTTAAGTCGGCATTTGGAATAATTTCGGTGATCTGTACAGGGGCTGAAAGTAAAACGAAAATCTAAGAGAGGTTTACATTACTTTTCCACTACAGAAACTAGGGCTGGCTTCTTGAAAGATGCACAAGTTTAACTTCGGGTTAGGTGAACGTCTAACAACGTTTTCTTTGGTGGAAATGTCTAGCTGAAGCTAATGAAATTTAATTTTCAAGCCCATACTATTTATGTGTTAAAAAAAAAAAAACAATCCTTTTCGTAAGACGTTACGGCGGCCATGTTAGCGAAGCAATTGAAACAATGAAACAGTGGCGAAATCCCACAGGCATTAAACTCGATCGTTTATGATGTAAGTGTTTCCTTTGTTCCAAGAAACTTGCTCAGCTGCTGACCACGTGAGTGAATCGAAAATGGTCTATTAGAAAAGTAAGCTAAGTACACTAAATAATCATGGAAAAAAAATTAACCATGAATTAGTGCTAATGAGACTTTCAGGAGCCGACCCCATATCCCAGGTGAACTACAATGGTTGTTTACCAGTTACATGCGCAAGCCGTTCGGTCCACGGTTTGGAAAAATGTACGCAAAATTCAGAACGTTCCGGAATTGCGTTTACCATTTACACAAATCAGGTCAATTTGCCGAAAAACGGCCGCGGAGGCAGGCCTGAAACTGGTATCAAACGGTGGCTTTGAAGAAATGGAACACGAATTCCCGTTTGAGAGATTCCGTCCGGAAAAAACAGGACTACCTTTTCAGATGTTCCGTTGCTCCCGGAAATTTTCCGCTGGAACGAACCAAGACGTTTTGTTCCATTTACTTTCTAACCGGATTTTCTGGAAACTTTTTGAAAATGGTAAACAACCCATAACAGCCATAATAAAAAATATGGAATCCTACTTCTTGTCACCGAAAGTCTCTTCCAACTTACCTACGCAGTCGTTAATTGATTGACTTCCATTTTGCAAGGTATTAGTCCCAGCAGGACATGCTTTACAGCTGGTCATTTGTTCAGTATCTTGGTAAGTACCAAGAGGACATTTTTTACAAGGACAAACGCCGTTGTTTGTGGAATATTTTCCGGTTCTGCAAATAGCTGTAAAGATAGGTATTTGGTATGTTACTTATCTCATGACCTACACTGTACACGAATAACTCAATAACATAATTACATGATTTTTCTACTTTTGTTATCGTCTTGCTGCATTGACAAGGGACTCCTCTTTTTTGATGTTGATTACCTCTCTCACTTAATTTCGCGATTTTTCCGAAATTGCGAAACTCGCGAATTTTAATACACGCGAAATTAATTAAGAATAAGGAATAAGCTACTGTCTCGTATAGGCCTTTTGCATTTTAGTACTACGACCAGAATCCATTTTATTTTCCTTTCATATTGAAATCTGGTAAATCACAGCGAGGTTTAAAAAACTAAAGCCCTAATTTGCACAAGAAAGCAAAACCCTGAAAGTTTCTGGTCGTAGTGGTAAAATGACGTCATCGTGCAAATGATCTATTGTGTGGACCATAAACCTTGTTTATCAAGACCCTGAGATAAGGGGAGGGGGGTGGTGGGCGGTCTCCAAAAATTTGGAAAAAAAATTTTCGTCGAAAAATAAGGTGGGGGCGGGGGGGACAGGCCCTAGGGCCCCTCCTCTGGATCCGCCACTGCTCTTCTAGCGCGAGAGCAGGCCGTGTGAAGCCATTGCTATGAAAATGATTATTTTAATTCTCATGCAAATAAAATGAAACTCATTTTCACTAGAAAGGTTTTGCACGAAGCCTTGTTTTGAAAGTGAGTTTTTGGATTTCGTAAATGGTCTATTGAGCACCTGTTACATGACAGCACGTGCTGACAACAAAGTATTTATTTGCTTTATTTCTAAAGGAAACTAAAGTGATTTTGATGAAAACAGATCAGCTTAGTTGCTTACGTCGACAATCACTACTGTTCTTGGATCCCGCAATGGCGGTGGAATATCTCTTAGCGCATGGTTGGCATTCTGGCTTTCCTTCCTCATCCTGATAAAATCCGATGCCACATTCTTTGCACGTGTTGCTCTCGCTGTCACCGTAAGTTCCAGGAGGACAATTTACTATAAAAAATCAATAGAAAGGAAAATTAATATATCAGACTTTTTGTTGATGATCTATCAGCAAAATCTTCAATAATATTGTAAGTTACGCAGCAGACTCAGTCATGTGGGAGATATGTCCTGCAATGAAGCTAAAATAATCCACTTCAACAACAACAACAACAACAACAATAAGCTTTATTTGCATGACCATAACAAAATATTACAGTATTGCAAAAGCTACTTGAAATTAATCGTTGATTCCTTGTAAATTAAATATTTAAAATAATTTGAAACGTATTAATCATTGTTTATTTCTAACCATCAGTAGGAGTACTTATTCCGGAGATAAGTTTGTCTCTCAATTCAAAGCAAGTTGATATAAATGAAATTAATTGGATGTTAATAAAATAGTCAGTAGAATTCATCAGATGTGACAATAAGGACTCATGTGATTGTAGTCGTAGAAACAGTATTTTAGGTTCTAGTTTAGACAAGAACATATCCCTTATCGAAGAAAAACGTCAATCTAATAGAAAGTGAGTTTCATCTTCAATTCTGATTGATTAGACAATTGATTTTATAATAAAAGTTAAGTTTTTGTGAATGTTGAAGGGTATGATTCCAGTAAGAGATACATTTATTTTGCATAAGATCTACATATCGCTTAATTTTACGTTTATTTTACTTCAGAGAGGTCTACAAAGAGGTCTTAAGAGAGGTCACCAGAGTCTGGTTGTCCAAAATACAGGGATAAACTGTGTCCCATACATTGCAAAAAATAAAAAAAATATTTAAATATCTCGCTAGGTTTTTCATTATTTTTTCCGCTGCTATGACTGATTTTATCAAAAAGCGCATTTATTATTTGGACACGTATTACCCGAATAAAAACCATTATTATTTCACTATTATGTCATTTTACTATATAAGATCAAGAGAACGTGCAAAATACGAGGCCGTACTACACTGTAGTGTCCTGGTTTATCCGGTTTACAACAGGGCCAAGACCGGCGGAAGCAAAAAACTGGATGAACCGGCGGACAAAAGTAAAATAGAAAATAGAAGCCAAAATAACTTCTTCTTTTTTTGCAGTAGAATAATTAACCTCTCATTCAATGGTTTGGCATATAATACGCGCGAACATTTTGCTCATTGTTAACGTCATTCTCACAGACGGAATCAGGATGTTTCTGAATACTCTTACCCCCAAAATAGAAGCCAATTACAAAATAACAATTTATTTTTTTGTAGTGGAATAATAAACCTCTTATTCGATGGCTTAGCACATAATACGAGCGGACATTTTGCTCTTTGCTCTTATTTTTCCTAGACCTTGAAGGGCTTGGAACAATACTACGCAACTCGCAAAATATCCGCACGTATTATATGCTAAACCATCGAATAAGGTGTATTTATTACATCTACATGCTAACATTCCGTCTAGTATACGATCTTCCGGAAGGACGTAAGGGCTCTTCCCTTCGATGATCTGACAAAGCGACTCAGAGCTAGATTACTTACAACAAACTTGATCATCTACCAGAATGGATCCAGGTAAACAGGGTGAGCCGGAGTACGTCACATACTCTGAAAACAATAGAAAATTAAACAAAATGATCCTTCAAAAAGTGAATGGAAGATATGTAGAGCTGTCTTAAATCTAACTGGAGTAGGAAAAGGACTTGTTACTGTCTAAAGAATACTTTCACAGTCATGAAACTCTCGCCTTGCGGACACCTCGCTGTTGACAAGGAAAACATAATAGGCAAATCAGAAACATTATTTACACACTTGGTTTTGACTGAAATAAATTCCCGGCATTACGGACTCTCGCTCTTGAGGACAAGAAATCGCGTTCCCGACGGTGTTCGTAATAACGGAAGTTGACTGTACGAACGTTCGGTTTTTTATGGCCTCATGATGTTTTGAAATCTTCAGAACCTTTTGGTGGGATCAGACAAACAAGCCGCTATTGAAAAGCCTGTTCTGCAACACATTTCGGCGGTTTAATTAACCAAATATTTCACTACCCCTGTTAAAGACGCGTACGTAGCATAAATTCGCCAACTCTAAAATCTAAGACATAAGCATTAATACTAGGCCCCCTGTTGGAATACCGCAGTGTTGTTTGGGACCCTCGTAAAGGCGTGGAAAACAATTGCAAAAATGGTGCAGTGACGGGCCGCCAGATGGACACGGAGGAGATAGCAGCAATTAGCAAGCATGACAGAGATGCTTAACTGGAGAAAAGAGAGGAGTCGGCGCGCGCCTGACCATGTTGTATCGCATCTCTAACAACTTAGGTGCAGTGAACCCAGGTGAAAAATTGCGTTCACCAATCCGCAGTAGTAGACATGTCCATGACCACTCCTTCATCCTGATTTCCACCTATACAACCTCTCACAGACTGTCTCTCTATCCTAGAACTATAGTTCAGTGGAACTCCAAGCTTCCACATGTCTTAACTCTCTCGGTTGATCCTGCTCGGTTCCGGGCCAGTGTGTATGGAAACACCCATCAACAGTTGGAGTGATTTTGGACACATTGTTTCGGAATTGAGCTACTTTTCCAGCTAATCAACCAGTTACTTGTTTTTATGTTTTGAGGTTTGTTTTCCGTTTCTTTCTTTTTTTTTTCTGTTTGACCACACCGACTTATAATCCTCTTTTTTAGGGGTTGCTGTAGTAGTAAATAAATAAATAAATATGAATAATCTGTGAGCTTACTCATACAATCCAGTTTCCCGGATAGGACGGCTTCTTCTGAATTCATAGATACCCACTTGTTGTCCTCGCATCGATATGAAGGATTAATGAAGAGGCCCGTATAGCCAGGTGGTTGTGGGTTAAAGAAATAGTCAGAATTGCAAGTCAGTTGTAGGAAAAGGCCAAACTGTGTTGCTAGGCCATTGTTTGGATGTGATATTATGGGACATGTCGTTCCTGCAAAAATATGAAATAACGGATTCATTCTGGGGATACAATGTCAGAAGTCTGAAATCAATTCCTATTAGACTTCACTATACTTGCAGTTGCATGTTTTAGGTAATTCCCTTGAAAATGATGTAGAATCCACATTTTGTCAAACTTGGCACAATTGACAGTCTTCGCAAAAGACAACAAAGATACAATTTCGGCTTAAAATGATCGTTTCGCGAAGGGACTAGGGTGAGATTTAAGACTAGCACTTTTTAAGCCGGGAAGAGTTATCTTAATTGTTATGAAAACCATTTTGACTACAAAATGGGCCCTTGTTTCCTCTCTTATTCAACCAGCGAATATCGCCGCCACCTTTGAATCGCAATGTTATGCGCAGTAGGTGATGCCCCTTGAAAAAAGAGGGAATTACCTTATATAATAATAATAAATATAAAAAATGATACAATTTCAAACTTGATGGCATAGAAATAAGTGGAATACCTTCCAAGGTGATGTCAAACGTGCAGTAAACAACGTTTCCCGCTGCATCAGAAGACGTGTATTGTACTGTTAGTGACGTATACGTATCCATGATGAATCCAGGCTCGCGATTGGACAGTACGCTCACTACAGCAACATTGTCAGTGAATGTTGGTGGTGTCCACGTAACACTCTTTTGTAGTGAGTTGGTGCGATCAGTAATGTTGGAAGGACAGTTCTGCACCGTGGGAGGAGTCACGTCTAAGGAAAAAAAAACACAGAAACACAGCTCAAGATCAGGGTGATGCTATTATCAAATTTTCCAATCATAGCGCACCTGTCAACAAAAGTTTTATTTGTGGCAGAGAAGCGAATTAGTCAGACAGTTAATAACATTTGGGCTGCACCTGCTGTTGTCGTTACTTTTCCTCGAAAATGGTTTTTTTTTGTTGTTTTGCGCTTTTCGACTGACGCAGTCTTTTTTGTAAAAGACCTGGTAAAAAGGTGATGGTGTATTTAGAAATGTGATGGTGAATTTTAATCCTGTTGAGTACATGGTACGGAAGGAAAAAAAATCACAGTAGTCCCAGTAGCTGGGAGTCGAGCCTATGACCTTCTGGTGACTAGTCCAGATGCTCTACTACCAAGAATCAGTAATGCATCAGGATTTTAATGTTGTAGTATTACATAAATAGACTGACTTGTCTTAACAACCTATCTAGCCCATGATTTCCGATTCCAAAAATTGTGTGTTTCTCTATTACCATTTACAGTGATGTGGAAACTGCAGCTTTTATGTGTTCCACTTTCACTGATTCCTGTCCACGTGACTCGGTGTCTTCCAACAGGGAAGGCGTAATTCTCATCGTAGTTGCTTGGAGACACGGAAACGCTATCCATATTGGTACGCGGAAGCTGCCACTTGTAACCAAGCACCACCGTTGATTTGTCTGGTTCAAGTTCTTCCACTCTGTCGATCGGACACGAGATCCATGGGTCCGTGTATACTATTATTGGAAAACAAAAAAATACTAAGTAGGTTGAAGTAGACTATATCAGTAACAAGGAACACCTAGGAAAATATTTAGCAAAAACATGGAGGTTAAACATTTCTAAAAAGCGGATGTAGTTTATTACAAAGTTCAAAGTTTCCTAAGATTATACAAATGGCAATATCCTCACCTTGAACGCAAGACAAAGATGCGATCTCACTCCAGCTTGTATCATTTTGGCACGTGGTATATCTGGGACCACTCAATTGATATCCGTCATCGCAATAGAAAACACATCGTGTACCGTACTCGACGTCTGTCATGGAACAAGATGCTGGAACCACACCACCTTGGTCTGGTACGGTCAACTTCAGGCAAACAACCGCTGACAAGGAGAAAATGCATTTACTGAGTGATGTTCAGTTGTTAGCGAACACATGGAATACCAAAATTATACCCCTCTCTTATCTACCATTGAGGCACACTGGGACTTACGTTTACAATAGGGTACAGTTCCCTGCCAGAATCCGTCAATTTGACAGGTCAGTGAGTTATTTCCGCCTGTAACGTAATGTCCAGACTCGCAGCCATAGGTGCAGGCAGTGTCACGCTGGATGTTCGCTCTCTCGTCTGTGCAGCTTGAAGGAGAGATGGAGCCACGGAAAGGAGCTTCCAGAGCAGGACAGTAAATTTCTAAAAGGATCAAAATATGATATTTGTTTAGAGAATGCACTGTCAGGAATATGTGCATGTATTGCTCGAGCGTGACGTGCACAGAGGCTCTAAGCAGGAATTAATTAAAACTCTTTTTGAAGAACAATTTAGAGGAAAATGCTAAAGAGATACCATTTTTTTGCGTTTAGAGGAAAAAAAAGCGAGGGCTTTTTCTGCTTTTTCAGAAAGGTAAAATTGTTGACCTATTTCCTGTTGTCATAAACCAGTTTTATTACTGCCTTTGTTCAAGAATAACATTTTGCCTTACTTTCTGATATATGATCCAGTTTTCAGTCTTTGCTTTGACTATCTGTTAAACTGAAACCCACCTTCAGTACTTCAAGTGTAAGGACTTAATTGACAGCAAAAGAGTCAACGCTCCTTTCCGATTCTTTTCATATAGTAAACGTCTCCATCCGTATACCATAATATTCGTACCTTCACAGCTTTTGTCATCACCCATGAGTCGGTAGCCGTCATTGCAGGAGCAGTAATATCCGCCTTCATAGTTGGTACACGTGTGTTCACAGCCGCCCTCATCTGCTTCGGCACATTCGTCTACGTCTGAAAAGAAAACGGAAATCGCTTGACTCTTGACGTCCTAGAAGTTGGAGAACTAGGGACCGCAAAAAAAGTAGCCAACTGAAAAACGTTTGAAATTTTTTAAATTGCAATTCTTTTAAAGAAAGCTGAGCCCTGTGAACAGTGACCATTAAAAGTTAAACAAAGAGACATAAATACTTTTTAAGCTTTTTTTTCTCAAAACAACTCTCTTGAAAGAGGGTTCATTTTACCTTCGCATCCTCTCAAGTCGTCTTTTAGTTTGAAGCCGGCCCTGCAATCACAGTTGAAGCTTCCACCAGTGTTGTTACACACGTGTTCACATCCAGCATTGTTTAGGTCACATTCATTGAAGTCTGCGTAAAATTAAGAATTGGTCCTTGAAATAAGTTACAATTCTACTCCTTCTATATCACCTCTTAATAAAGTTTTCAAATTTAAAAATGAATTATTTAATATATGTCCTCGTGTCATTGGCATGAAAAAGAAACCGATCGTCTGATGGTTCATAGAAAAACAAAATCAACTACGGTTGAAATACGTAACAAGGGTTAAATGTTAAGATGTTCCACTCCAATAATGAGTTCTGCTATAAGGAGTCGGTGGTTGTTCAGTTGCAGTGATAAAGCGCTAGTCTGCAGAGTTGGAGGTTACAGAGTTTAAAACAAATGTCAAATAGAAATAAAAAACAGTTGCATATGTCCAGCAGTATATCGGATGATCACATACGTCATGGCGGTCCCATCGTGGAGTCGGTTAAAAAATGTATTTAATTGATTCTTCGTGTCGTGCAGAATACATTGACACTAAATTAAAGTAAGGAACTTTATAATAGAGACCAAGGATCCAAACAACATGCTTCGAAGTAACAAGGTGCTTTGAGCTGCAATTTCAGCTCTTGCAGTGACAAGCCTATAAACTCCCACGAAGTAGGAATTGAAAGAAAGAGACACTAGATAGTATGTATACTGGCTTCGATCTTAGAGGATATGAGTCTGAAAGGCTCTTATTGCATAAAATACTGTTTAGGGAGCCGTCAAATAATAGGCATTACACAGACAACACTTACATAATCCCGGTACTAACCTTCACAGAGGAATAAACTGTTTTCTTGCAGTTCATATCCCTGTTTACACGCGCAGTGGTAGCTTCCTGGAGTGTTGATGCACAAACCATGTGCGTAATCGCAGCCTCCATTGTTAGATTGGCATTCATCTTTGTCTAATTACACAAACAAACAGAAAAAGTAGAATTCGATAAAAGTGGTTTAAAACAGCGTGCTAATGGAATTAAAGGATTTCATTCACAAAGCTAAGGTTTTCATGTAAAACCAAAGGTTGTAGAACCTATCAATGGTCATGGATGGCCAAGCAAATTTGATTGATTGATTGATTCACTTTTATTTGAATACGGTAATTTCATAAGTTACATAACTTCCTTACATGAAAGCCGTATAGAAACAGAAGTAAATACTGTACAACTATACTAAAAATATGTACAAATAATAAAATGTAGTAAAATGTGGTCAACAGTTTGCCTGCCTACTAGCCAGTTTTCTTTTAAAGATAGCTTTAGATTCGGACGCTTTTATGTCATTTGGTAATGAATTCCACAGCATTCCTCCTCTGTATGAGAAAGACCCTTTATAATATTCTGTTTTTGGAACGTGGTCCAGTACAACATTATCCTCCGTATTTCTTAGCATAGACTTATAAGGGTTGTTCTCACAGACATTCGAGAAAAGATCGCTGAAGTAACTAGGTACATTTCCATTCACTGTATCATACATTAGTAGACTTAAGTGCCTTTGACGCCTTGAGGCAAGCTCTTCCTAGTTTCGTTGTTTTCTTCCCAGTTTAGTTTAGTTGTTTTCGTACTGCTGAATCACACAAACGAAAAGATAGGAGCAGGCGCAATTGCGAGATACGCATGTTTACGTATAACAAGACACTTGAATCGTGCTTACCCATACAGGTTTTTCCATCATAGGCGAGTGTATAGCCTGGCCAGCAGTCGCACTGGACTTTGAGGTTACACAGGTTATAACAAACTTGTTCGCACCCGCCATTATCAAGCTGGCACAGATCAGCCAAGGCACCTGATTCAGAATGAGACACACATGTGAGATGCAAGTCTATTTGTAAGATTTCTAGGTACCGATACCAGTTATTTTTAGCTTCGTCTTAACTGTCTGAAAATGTTTTATCTCAAAACTAGAACTTTGCTTACGTAAACTTTATGTTAAATATGTTATAATTAGCATTAAGAGGACTTCAATTATGTTGCAGTGGGCAAATGTATTGCTTTAGAAATACGCATAACCTGGTCACCAAGTACTAATCAGTTTTATTTATGACGAGTGGGAGCGACTTTTTAAAAGGCTTCTAATCGAAGGTCAAAACGCTATCCGCCTCCAAAGCTTGTGCTTTGCGTAAGATTCACGTGATAGAAGGTCAATACGAGGGTAATCAGATTACGAGTGATAGAAGGTACAAAAGGCGTGTGATCAGATTGTGCTCTATACATTCCATTCATTGTTGATGAAGTCCAAACGAATGCTGGCTACATACGTGTCAAGCATGCGTAATAGCAACCTGCAGATTAGGATTCCGGGCTCCTCTAGTCGCCCGCAATTATGCAGTCAGTGTTGACCATTTCATCGTCTCTCCAGTTTCCCATTTGCTTACAAAACTCAGCAGACGAAAAAGAAATCAACTCTAGCGTTCACTCACCGACTCTTGAGTAGACCATCACTTCACAGATTGACAAAATTCCTTCTCCGAACATCTGTACTGACACATATCGCCCTGGGATTGGTGGATCGCAAGAAAGTGTTAAAGCTGCTCCCTGGCCTACGGACGTAACTCGGTCAGAGCATGTGGGATTCTGTAAGTTGTCCTCGTTAACACCAACTCTTACTTCAAAATTCTTGAGTCTCTCATAGTGGTTAAAACGATTAATAATCTGCACGTCTAAAACAAACCACAAAATAACAACATATTTTACGATACAAAAGGCAAATTGCCATATGGCGCTTAGAATGGAAGAATGACCAATTTTAATCTTTCATAATTCATACTTGGCTACGAGGCTTAAAGGAATACAACAAACTTATTATATAATTCATTGCTGAGCCTCAAGCTAATTTCTTTTGTTGTATACCCCTAAGCCTTGGAGGTAAGTATGAATTTTAATACTGTATATCGAAATATTGCTCTTTTATGTTCACTCCAACATCAGAGTGCTTCGCTTTATTCCGCAGTGCTTGGTTTCACTAACGTCTTGCAGCATCAAGGAACTATTGGGCTGATGCTTTACTTGTAGTTCCTCAAATTGTCCACGACTTTTTCTATTATTAAAAACAAAGTTGGACAAATAGTTTACTCTACACCGTGTCATACGTATGTGTAATCAAATGGTTACGAGTGAAATTAAGGAATAATTTCACGCGCGCTTTGTCCAAATCCTGTGGATTTTTGAGATGTTTACATAATTGGCGATCAAGAACTCCACGCTCTCAAAAGTTTAGAGCTTAAAATTAAGAGCTTAAAAGATCTCACAATGTTCAAAATTGTTCGACAAAATACCTGTTTCAATCCTTCTTGATGTGCTCTTTCGTGTGTTTAGGTTTTCTATAGCACCTTTTACTGCGCTGACATCTTCATTCATAAAATTCTAAAACTTCGTTGCCATGTTGGCCCTGAGACGTGCGGAAGGTTGCCATGGCAGTTTTTTAATTTCGCATGTAAAATTATAAAAGTGAAGTTTTGCGCCAATTTATCGAAGTAACTCGTCACATGATATTAGCAGCATTATTTCATCGGAGCCTATAGTTATATTTGCAACTTTGCGACACATTGTAGAATACTCCCACACACCTGTGACAATGTACTCTCTTCCAAGATCAACCCTCCACCATGGATTCTCTTCTTGCTTGGTGTGTGTACAAGACTTACTATCATAATAGGGACCTAAATTGTCATCTACTGCCCTGCTGCTGAAGCCATTGTTATCAGTACTGGATTGCTCTGTTGTCTTCTTCAAAGCAAGATCTGCAAAGTAATATTAATACTAATAATAACAATTTGATAAAAATATTAATGACAATGACGATGACGATAACAATTACAATGATAACGATGACGATAATGATAATGATAATGATTATGATCTAGATGGCGGAAATCTTCAATTTCAATTGGCTATCTTAAACTTACGCCATCGTATTCCCGAAATTATGATCTTAGCCCAGCAAACCCTGTGTTTACAGTTATGCATTGCACATAGTCAAAATTCCCCACCGACAGCTTTAGAATTAACATATCTTTTAAAATTTTTTAATTGGCTTGGTATTTTGATAATTTCTTTATTTCATCCATCCAATTACCACTAACAGCAGAACTAAAACATACTTTGGTCAAACTTGGAACAAATGCTGGCGGCAATTTCATTGACAACCTCAAACCTCTGGTCGAGTCTTGCCTGGTCAAAATGGGTGCACTTGTCCAGGTGAACATGGGGATCAGCTGAAAACGAAACGAAGTATGATTGAGACGACAATAAATGCCAATTAAGTAATTTCAAAACAATCAGGAAAATACATTAAGATTCAATGAAAACAAACGTAGGACTGATTTTGGGCATGTTATAAAGCCTGACGTTCCTATGAGAGATCCTAAAAAATGATCTTACTAAACACTTGAAATTAAAGCATACTGAAGGCAAAAATTAGATAATAGTCTTTTTTTCTTTCAGAAGATTTTATTAAATCTAGCTCTTCATCCTCAAATCAGGATTTCTGAATTTTGTAATGGATTTTAGTTGCGTACACATTTGTAGTTTTATACTTAAAGGCGAAAACATCGAAACGTCTGAGCTAGGAACATTTTCTTACTTGGTATGAAGTTGAATTTAAGGTGTTCCTTGAAGGTCGAAAAGTCAGTGTTTTCACATGCGCTGCTCAGTACAATCTCATCGTTGTTAGCTGGCAGCATGACCTGAAAGAAAATCACTTTTAATCATTAATTTTCATGTTTTTCTTTTTATGCTTCAAGCAGGCAAAAAGGAGATTATGTTCGATAAGCCATTGGGTTTGTTTTTAGATAGCGCGAAGGGCTTTGCAGTGAATGGGGGATAAAAATTTTAACATCTGATTAAGGCCCGGTTCAGACACCGTACTTTTCATGAGCCGAACCTAATTCGAATTAAGACCGACCCAAATTATTTGGACCGGCTGAATTGATTCAGACGCCGATCTTAATTCCAGCCGAACTAAATTCAGGAGGAGAAATATGCTCATTTCGGTCAAACTGCTTAGAAAATACGTTATAATAATTTATGCATTAGGTTAGGTACATGAAAAGTTCAGCGTCTGAATCAAAGCCGTTCCAAAGCCGTTCCAAAGGCGAAATTCCCGGCCAGGCTAGGCGAAAAGAACGGCTGAGCCGTTCCAAATTGAAACAGGCGTTCCTAATTGATTCAGACGCCGAACTTTTCATGTACTTAATTCAATGTATTAGGTTCGGCTCATGAAAAGTTCGGCGTCTGAACCGGGCCTAAGCCTATTGGAGCCAAAGTAAACTGAAATGATCTTACTATCGACTTGCCTTTTCTTGGCTAGTCTAGATTTGAAGTTTGCTAAATTTACCCCCTTGATTACACCACACTAACAACCTTAAATTAGTAATGGTTTTATTAAAAATTGGACAGAAAATTTAGATATCGTTTGCACAGGAAAAAGCTGACTACTAACCCCTGATTGAGTGTCGACGCACTTTGTGCTTCCCACGTGCTGAAGTGATCCTCCAGTGGTAAAACTAAACTGATGGCCACCACATGACGAGTACAAACCAAGTGCAACACCATCAGTTACTTCTCCAACTGGCTGCACGCATTTTCCACTCGTGGTGTGGATTAAGCTACCATTGTCCAGTTTGAATTCTAGCCTAGTTTATAATAAAACAGATGTTTCAAGAGTGACAGTGAATTTTGTTCTTTCCGACATCTACGATCCATGGTTTCTTTGTCACCGCCTTTGGTTTTAACGTCCTTTCCACTGATCTGCAATCTGCTTTGATTCCCCTTTCACCAAAAAAAAAACCTCATTCGAGTTTCATATCGGGTAAGGAAAAAGGGAAAGCGAGATTTTTTCATGTTTATAAGTTTTCAGGAAAATCATTATTGAAATTATTAGCAGAAATGTGTTTACCGTGATTCATGTTTTACTTTAGCAATGAATTAAAGTAATGGACAATGCGATAAAATAGTGCTGCAAAGAAATCCTTGATGTAAAAAAAAAAAACATTGTCGTGTTTACTTCTACATAAGTTCTTAAAAGAAATTTTCTCTTGACAAAAACAACGGTTTTCTACAATTACTAAAAAATCTGTTTGACAGGTATAAATTTACGAGCTACGGTTATGCTGACTCAATAGTCTTTCTGCAATGGTTCTCCACAAAAGGGTGTGTGGATCACTTGCCTTGGTAAACATGATTGAGTTAGTTTCTCTTTATAAGTTACAGGCTGCTCACCGACTTTCACTGCATCCCGCAAAAATCATCAATTTATTTCCTTCAGATACACTGTCGCCTCCACCAACCGGATGGATACATTTTAAGGAACCAAAGTGAACTAAGGAGCCTGGTCCATTCACACTTGTTGATCCTAAAGAAGATCACATGTCAAGAACAAAAAAAAAAACATTTCTGTCAGTTTTTACCTGATTTCTAACTAGGGGTTAAATCCAAGATGGCGGCCATATTGGTGACGTTACAGGTCTCGAGCAACGCCACCACCCATGAAATAATAACCTCATCTTGTCGAGAAGACGAAAAGCTTTCCACTGGAAGCAAAATCTTTTCGAAATATTGCGACATGTCAAAAAACGCAAGGGAGAGGATTCATCAACCCTCCCCCCCCCGCCCGCCTTGTACAACGGTAGTGGTATGCCTTTGCGTGTATGTCCGAGGATACCTGATCCATCTGAGCGTTAGATCGTTGCTTACACGTGCATGTCTTCTACCGCTAATTCGAACCAGACCTTTGATTAATCGACTTATCGAAAAACTTTGACAAAAGAGTAGTATAGAAGGGAACGAATCAGCCATCTTGGGGATGAAGCCAATGGAGCATGCAACGTAGTCAACTCACCAACTGGAACTCGCCAACTCACCTAACGTCCAACATTGGTCGGCTCTTCGTCTCTTAATAGACCTAACGGCCAGGTCACACTGGAAATTCTGATCGTCTTGCCTTTCGTCACATGTGCTTTGGATCAAATTCGTGCCCTGTGATGCTCCGTTTGTATCAATACATAACTGAGAATACGAGTTCTTAAAAGAAAACAGATCGCGTCAGTGGTTCAAGTTTCTAATATGAGATTTTTCAGTCGTTGTTGCTTTAACAAATAATTACGCCCACATCTCTATAACAGTAATTTATTAAGAGCGTACGATTTGATGGAAGCACAGTACATTTATTGTTTCTGTTAACATTTTTGTCATTATTGCAGAAGAAAAAGTTGGCGTATACTTGCAAAAACATCGCGGAGAAATCTAATAGCCGTCGCCCATTTTGCATTTTTTGTCGGGAGCAACGGGCATCGCAGGTTATTTTTTTACAGATGGTAAACCTGTTAAGTTGAACTCAACTTCGCAGGCATACGAAGACTGGAATGGCTTCTGCTTCCAAAGGCTCCTTTCTCATATCGGACTGAACAGTATGCAATTTCGGTGGTTAGGTCCCAGGTATGTATAAAGGTTCGTCTATAGCTGAATCTCAGTAAAGGCTCTTATCGATAAAAAAAAAGTGCGAATATTGCCGACCATTGTAACTACCTTGACTTGTCCTTTTGGTGTATAATACCAGCTTTGTCTCTCGTCAGTTTCATTGCATCCCGTCACTTTAATAAAGGCACCATCTGTCTCGGAGTCCACGTAAAGACAAGGGCCGTATCTGTCATCAGTTGCTGACTGCTGATTCTCAATGAAGAAATGTTCTTGACGAAAAGAATAGCAGAAGAAAGGGTGATTCACTTACATGTAGATGCAATACTAACCCGAACTTTGAAAACCTGTGGGAGGTGTTTGATTAAAGTTCACGAGGGGTGGCTGGTACCACGAGATCAGGCGTCTAACAAATATACGGTAGAGGTAGTGGCTGCCTAAAAAGATCAATCTGTTTTTAGCTCCCGGTCCTAGCTTTGAGAGCTAGATTAACGTTTCCCGCGTTGTTCTCTGCCCCCTTTTTTTCACCAAAAGCCAAATTTCCACTGAAATTCCACTCCTATGAGAGATGTGACACACGAAAATCCCCAAGTGAATGGCCTACCACTAAAACATTATTCATTTACTTATTTATTTATACATTTCGCGCTTCCATCCACATTTTACCTGATAGCTGAAAGTCGACATGCGGATTCGGATTATCGTAGTAGTTCTCTGATGTGTCCGTAGGATTCTCTTTGTTCATTTTATTCTTATACCATTCAGTGGAACTATCAGCTCCAACTTTTAAACTGCCGACGGGGTCGTTCAGATTGAAGGCGATTGAAAGGTACAGGCTTTTCCCAAATATCTCCAAATCGACTCCCGCACTAAATATCATGTCGGGAAAGCCACCAGCCGCGTAAGTTGACAAGGCGAATTCAATTTTAATACTAAGAGATAACAAGACAAACAGTCAATAGCTTGTCAGCTGATAATTTGTTATGTACTCGGAAAGGGTTTAACAGATATGCTAATATAAATTTTATGGTATTTTGTTTTTCTGTAAGTTTTTGGGGGCGAGGGCTTGTCAGGTTGATAAGCCAGGGCATCTTAGCAGCACCTCGGCTGCCGGATTGGAATGTCACGATCTAATAACACACGCACTCTTTAAAAACAGATGGTCTTTCACTTCTTAGGTCTTCTTTAAAGAATTGGATAATAAACATAAAAACATAACTTTATTATTTATATAGCGCAAAATACATTGGTATATGATCTAATGCGCTTTACATTACAATGCTTATAATACTACAATGAAATGGATAAAAAATTACAGCTTTTCTAAATAGTTAATAAATGGTTACTAGATAAAAATATTATATATACGTGCAAAAAAATCTATGTTAAAATATTATAGGTTATAAGCTAAAAGCTAATGAAAGAGGAAAATAAATTGATCCGATTAAGTTACCTGTTCACTCTAAAAGCGGTGAGGATAAAGTTGATTGCGCTGCCCACCCAAGCAGTGGCCATTTCTGTCAATTTTAGGAAACCAACTGCAACATCCATTACATTACATAAACCCTTGCCAATTGCCTCCACCAACTTGCACGTACCTTCACAAAGATGAGCGATTCCTGCAAACAAACATATTGTCAGAAAAGGGATACCATGGACTCGTTTCTAGAAAATCTGTGAAATGCTTGTTGAATGCTGTATTCGAACAAATGGCGTCCAGTTGTGTCCTACAATACTTTATCACACATAACTAACCAGTAAACAGATACCCATGAGACATTTACAGAGGGGAAAGACTATGCCAGATAATTGATCACCTGTGAAAGTCAAAATGTTAATTGTTTAAATTTATAAAGCACAAGATAAAAACCTCTACTGGGAATTCGTCACTTAACCAACCTTCACAACTTCCTCCAACAATTCCTTCACAGATGAATTTACTGACAAAACGTCGCCGCCGAAGATGTTGAGCAAAATTATCGTTGCGAAGTTTTTCAAGTCCGCGCTTCTTTTTCCACCCCTTAAAAACTTTCTTCACTGCTTTTCCAACCTTAGATTGCAAAAAAAACAATGAACATGATCAGTGCATCGACAGAAAGCAGTTTTATTATATACATACTGAGAAATACTCACCAAAAAGCTATGTCGTAAATTTTCGTACGCAAATTAGTTCTAGCCAATCAGAGGAGCGAATGATGGTTTTCACTCGTGAAAAAAATGATACGTCCAATCAGAACCGCGAACGATGTTTTTTCACGTGTGAGAAAAATGATACGTCCAATCAGAAGCCACAGAGGTGTGTGAGTTTGGCGCCAAAATTCCCGCCTTTTATTGGAGCTTGCAGCGCCGCTTCGCACACATTCAACGAGAAAAGTTTTACTCAAAGAGTTTTTCTCGCTAAAAAAGTGAAAAACATTTCGGAAATGGAGTGGAATAGTTTCGTTTGTTTCGCTGTCGATAAAGAAAACGGTAGAGAGCAACAGCGAAAAGGGATAAACAGAACGAGAGTGGAAGACGTAAGCTTTTGTTGTGCTTTTTGTTCTCTGAAGTTACCCTATTTGGGTACAATGTATTAACAATTTTGTCGCCGATTGTAGTCAGCTAAGATAGAAACATGAAGGGATGAAAAGAGAGAGACCGCAGAAATTCATTCTAATGTAAGAATGCGCACTATTCAATGGTTTTTTACAATCCTGTCAATACAGCCACCTCCCGTCGCTCCCCGTCTCTGAGAACGTCTCGTGAGTCGAGAGACGACGTCTCTTGCCCATGATAGCGTCACTGCCAGCGTCGAGAATGCTGTAAGTGGCAGTATATACAGGCTACCTTTTTATCAGAATAGTTGGACACCAGAGAGCATTACATAAACAAAAGCCCTTTCGCTCTTTCCAGAATTACTCGCGATCTTCACTACTTTTTCCAGGCCTTACTACTTCAAAGAACAAGGACGAAGGGTCTGTACCGAGTCCGGACGTTTTGACGTTTTTAAGTAATGCTGTGAAAATTCAAGTTATAGCTTATTCTTTCTCCCAACCTCAGGCACTTTTTCAAAGCTATCCTGTAATACAGGTTGTAGTAAGATAACTTCAAGAAAGACCAGGTTATTCAATGTTGGGGAATTATTTTCCCATAATTAAGTTTTCCTTTTGTAAAGGAAATTCCTGCATGATGTAGATTTTAGTAGTCAGTGGAGAGATCGGTGTGAGAGCGAGTTCAATCTGTACAAATCAAAATGCTGTGATTATTTCATAGCAGAATGTGCTAAGAAAGGTATTTACTGCTATGGCACTTACCGGAGCTAGGATATTTTTACTTATCCACTTGCCAGCCGCATCCAAATGTCCTTTACAATTCTCCTCTGCTTCCTTGCATTTTAGATTCTTACAGCTATCGCATTCTAGTGACATTTTTCTTTTGCAATCTTCCTTTGCTTCCACAACAGCTTCTCTGGCATTCCTCAGTTCTTTTTCTGCTGCATCGAAAGTAGCTTGAACAGCTTTGGCGGCCTCGTCCAGGGCCTGGGAAACAAATGAATTTGCCTAATTACGTAACCATCACTCATAAAACACCTTCCCCTGGTGAGAAGTACCAGGAATCGTTTAGGTACAGCGAAGCCAAAATATGGAAGACACTGTCGCCAATGGACATAAGAAATATGAACGTCATAAGACCTAGAAATGCAAATAAGATGCTGACAACTACAGGTCATTCTGCACGAGTGTTATCTTGTACAGCTTTATGCACGCTATCTGTGTCAAGTTAAAATATTGTTTACAAAGAAACGGATTAAAGCCTCACTTCGTAATCTTAAGTACCTTAACATTTCTAAAAGATAAAAGGAATTTGGTTACGGTACTGTCAATCACAATCATCATCATAATCATATCTAACAGAACACTCTACACTAAATAATTCTAAAAATGCGGGGATGCTGTATTGGACGGAGACAGAGCAAATCAAAGTCTTTCTCACCTCGTTTATTCCATCCAAGTCCACCGTTACCCTGACGTAAAATTCAGCGCTGTCGAAGGTTAGACTGTAACTTGCAGATACAAAAACTTCAGCTTTTATAAGACCGAGAAAATCTCCCTGAAGTAGTAACTCCATGTGGGTCATTGTAAGGTTCATGCGGCAGTAAGTTGAGATTCCTAGAAGCTTCGTGTATCCCTCGATATACGCCTAATTGTGATAAAGTAATACCAAAACTACATACAAAGCATTACTTTTAACAGATTCAGTATTAACAGTTTAAGAAGAAGTACAAGTAGAATCGAAATTAAGTAGTTTGAAAACTGAATAACTTACACAATAACTTGTACCTTGAGAAACATGAAAAAGCGGCCCATATACGAACTGGAAAGTTAGCACGGAGTTGCATTGGTTGACTGTACACATCTTTCATGTTACATGTAACTGCCTGATGTACACTGAAAAACAAAGTGAAATCTCACCTCAAGGTACGGCGGGGACTGTCTCGCGTCAACATAAAACCATGGCCCTTGGCTGCTGTTGGTTGGACTTCGAACTATTTTGGCAATGCCTAAAATATCCACTGGGTCAGGCTTCAAATCCACAAAAATTGCCTGAATAAAAATCAGTAAGATAAAGGTTTTAATCATATAATTATCCAATCAGAAATGACTGAGGTGGGCGTGGCAGGTTTCATGCAAGTGATGTTACTGAAACGTTTTAGGAGTGAGAATCAAAATCTCTTTTCTATTAAGCTGGTCTAATTCAAGCGTGTTAGCTAAAGGAGAAATAATTTGAAATGAAGCAACGAAAAAAAAATAAGAGTAAAAGAAGCATTACCGATCACCCTGTTTCAAAATAAACGGAGAGGTTTTTTTTTTCGCGATGAGTTCGCAAAAGGATTGGAGAAAATATTGTATCACTTGAGAGATATAGAGTCCCATTTACCACAAACGGCAAACATCAGATATAAGTGACAATTTCTTAAATAGAACATGAGCAGATAAAAACAGTCCAAAACAATTCCTATGGGCAAAACGGGCTTGAAACTCAAGGTGTTAATTAGGTATCAGAGATCGGAGAATTCTTCGGCTAACGTTCCGTAGCCTATAACAATTTTTATTCAGAGGCGGAGACTCTTTAAAGTATTCTCCTGTTCTCCTTTCTACTGCTACTAGAACTCTTCATGAAAACCCTGGAAACTACTACTTTTTTTGTAGAAGTAATCATTGTGATGCTAGCAGTCATCAAATCAAAGAAACAGCTCTCTGAAGGAAATCTAAAAAGGGGATTTATCAATATTCCTGCACTGACCGCCATGTTCGTATAGAGTACTTGAAAAATACTGAAATGTGGCGGCGACAGATGTATACAACTCACCGTTTCTGATAACGTGACATGCGCAAAAATCCCCCATCCCAGAATGTTGACCGTTCCTTTAATCATGAAGCCTTGGTAGATATATGGACCACCAGCGACTCGCAAGTCAAAATCTGCTGTCGCGTATGAACTCTACAAAAAACAAATGTTTAGACATTAAATTCTCGGATAATTTTCCCTATTCTTTTTTAAACCATCCAATGACCAAATTGCAGACCAAAGGAATTAAACTAGCTTTGCGTTTGCTTTTAAAAGCTTTTGTATCTGAATTCAAATTTCGCACAAAGCCTGGGTTATCTTAACCCGCTGAACAAGCCAGCCCAGAGCAAAAGGCACAGAAAGTTAAGTGTCGCAGGGAGGCTGGGTAGAGCGGAAAAAAGGGGAGAGGAACGATCGGTAGGGGAAAGGAAGGAAGACATCCTCGGAGAACGTTCCTCCCGACTTTTCTTCTCAATCTGACCCCACTGACCGCCCCTGGGTCTCCGAGGATGGAAGGAAGAGAGCCTTCCGCATTTTCTCTCTTCTTATTGTCCACCACATACCTATTATTTTTTTATTATTGCGTTTTTTTTTTTGGAATAACCAGCGTTCGCTTCTGCGGAGGAGAGAGTCCCCTAGGTATTGGAGACTGGCTAACAAATAAAAAATTTGGTCTGGTCGTCGCCGCCGTGTTTGCTTGAGCTCGCTATTGCCAGTGCACCTAAGTGTCGGTATTTGATGAGGAAGCCTGAATGTCTTCGTGAGTAATAATTCAATGCATGTTTACTTAGTGTGTAAAGTAATACGTAATGAGAACCTATATCAATATTACCTCAGCGCCTTCTGGGAAGCCTGTAGCTGCAATGGGTGGGGGAAGCTGAAATGTTGCTCCAAATAATCTAAAGACTTTTCCCAGTGTTAGCGCTGTTATAGACGCGTAGAAGAACTGTGGCTCCCCAACACCAACGTATCCGCTACCTCCAAAACAATGACCCTGAGAGTAAAAGATTGGTTAGATTTTTGTTAAGTACATGATCGTTTTCACTTCCGTTTATAATGAAACGACAATTTGACGATTTGGTCAGGCGATATTCACACGACTAAACCAAGTGGATTTTTAGACTCGCCGGAATTACTTGACTCCGGGTTTTGAGAAACGTTTGTTGGGAACTAATTAAGTAAAGTTTGTTTCTTTAGACAAATTTGTTCATTCTGTTGAAGGGGCTCAACCCAACGCTTTAAAAGAAAGACCTTAATATAAAAGAGAGTTTCTTTGTCCCAATAGAAAGCTCAATATAATTTTCCTCTATGCTGTGACGGGTTAAGGACAACAGACACTTTCTTGTGACCCGAGTGAAACGCTTTCATACTTGTTAATCCTGCCCTTCGGACGCCTGTGTTGTGCACTGACTCGATAGATCTTATCTGTTAGATCATTAAGTTTTTTCTTAATTTATATTAGGCGCCTTTGTCTGACCCAAAAACTGGAAATTACAGAAATAACGGCGTAGTTACCTCTCAGAAGCCTGCTTTATATGGACAACGGATAAGACAAGCTGAGTTTGCTGTCGGTGACCCTTTGATGTCCGTATTAACTATGTTTTATTGTACTATAGAGTGGAAGTCGGCAACCAGTTTAATCCCCTCCCCCTAAACCTGGATTCGAAAGATCTCAGCCACGGTCCGATCTTAAGAGCGCAATTGCATTTTATTGCCTTTAAATCAGACATACTGATTCTGGGTGAAAAAGACGTTATCATAATTTTAAGATAAAATTGACACTCACGTCATCATTAAAGTCTGCTGGTATAAGACAGTCGTAACCAAATTCAACTGCCATTCCAAATTGCACACCAGTTATGGGTATAGGCGCTCCAACTTTGTAAGTCAGCCTGTCAATTAAAGCCCAATATGTATCAAAACCTTTCTAGTCTTTTCATGGAACTGAATGTTCGAATTTATTAACACTTGCGTGAATCCTAAAATCCTGTTCATATCTCAAACAGAGACAAAAGGCATCGGCCTTCAATCCGGGAGGGTACTTAACAAAGTTTTGTTTAGGGGGATGCTCCGCCCAGGGGTCTAACAGTAACCTCTTAACCATTTATATACCATTTTTGACAGAAAAAGGTATTCCTTTCGTATACCTTAATTCCATTGACAAATGGTACCCCTTTCACATACGTAGTTAAGAACTTTGCATTAATTCCTTTTAACTGCTGTAAATCCATTGTATTTTGAATGTGAATAAATCACAATACGCAAAAGTTTTCTTGACTATTTCACAGCCATAAAGTCCTGCTGTAGCCCATTTTGGTCATAGCAAAGGCCGATATGACAGATTTCATATACTTCAACTCGTCAAAGCCCTACCCTTTTATATACCTGAGGCCTGAAAAAGGTGCCCCTTTCGGGTGGAGCCTCTCAGTATAACCCATTGGAAGGAATACTACCCCCCCCGGCTTTTGATTGAGAGCGCTACTCTTGCAATTCGGTGGCCCAGAGTTCAAGTCCCCCTCTGACAGCTAGCTTGATTTGTTCAAGGTAGTCACGAGTTCAAATTCTCGGCAACGCTTGTTAACAGCCAGCTGGTTTGTCTCCAAACCAATTCTTAACCTTGAGAAGTTTGGTGTTAAATTATTTGTTTCGGGCATTTGATCCACCCCACTAGCAGCAGTGCTATAAATCGTAAACATCATCAACATCAACATCATCATATTCATTTTCATCCTCCTCCTCCTCCTCCCTCATCATCATCATCCTCATCGTCATCATCATTATTATTACGTTGTAACCAAATTAAAGTTAAAGATATGTAAGTTCTAACAAACTCGCATTTAATCGACGATAACGTCGCCAGTGGAGACAGCCGAGACTGATCCCTCTTTCGTTTTGATATACAGTAAGTGAGTGCACAATGCGTGCTGTTAGCCATGCGGTGTTTTCATTAAATGAATACGGTCTTACCCAACAAAAATATCCCCCATAGATAACCAATCAATCCAGTAAGCCTTTCGCCACATTCCTCGCATACCCAGCTTTCCGGATACTTCTTGTTCCAGGAAGTCGTACTCTAACACACCAAACAAGAAGAGTTCATTGCCGGGAGCTTTGATCCCGTCACGCTCGATCTCTCCATTAACAGGAACTTCTATTTCAGCGTGGAAACCCATCTTGGTATGCGTGTGTGTGTTGTTGAATTCCGCCTAAGAATGAAAACAGAAGAAACATGCAATCAATGGAGAAGGACGAAGAAGAAGTTCACTATGAAATGGCCGTGACATGTACAATTGGATTGATACAATGAATACAGTCGGGAACCTCGATATAACGAAGGGCTAAGCGACTGGCAAAATATTTTCGCTATACCAAGTATTTCTTTATATGGAGAGGTTCGTTATGTCAAGGTTCCATTGAAACTGCCATTGAAATGATTTCAGCATAATTGCCTCGACCCACTGACTACGACAAAGTGTCATAAACTACGAGCAAGCTCTCTGTGGCGTCATGGCGGCGAGGCGATAAAGGAAGGAGAGCTTGCTAGTAGGCTGACGCGGCATGGTACAAGGTACGTACTTGATACAACATTTTTCCCTTTAAAAGGCAAATGGCAAATGACAATTTTACCCCATCCCAAAGAGGCATTTGCATTTTTTTGCCCCCTGCTGCAAACACGTCGTATATACGCGTTACTTTTACCATACCTAAAAAAATTTGGACATTAATTTTTCGATTAAAAATTTAGCAAAGAATATCTACGTAGTTGCACTGCTGGATAGTTTACTAAAATGTTAATTTTCTTAAATCAAAACTAAATAAATCCAGTAACACTCACCTCAACATATAACTCAAGCTTGCTAAAAGAAAGTCCTTCACAAATGCGAATATTGGCAAATCCTGTAGCGACTTTGATCTTTTTCCATTCAAAATTTCCAGTTATATACCATTTAACTGTTGGTCCTAGAATCATTTTGACAATTTCACAGAATTTGTTGTTTTTGCAGTCTTTCGGTAGAACAAGCTGGGCCGCTGCATAGATTCCATTTGGAACGCTAGTTGTTACCAAGCTGTGAAGAGGTTCTTTAGAAAACGTAGTTTCTGCATCAACTGCTAGTTGCTGAATTCCAAGTATTTCAGACACTTGAAACGATATTCCAATCTATAAAAACAAAAAAATTTACCATCAAAAGGAATATGTAATACTGTATTGGTCTTTAATTTCGCGATTTGGCGAGACAGTATTTCGCGGGGTTTTATTTTCGCGACTTCAATAGGCAACTATGAAAAAAGTTATTAAATTTCACGACACAAGCTTCTTCAACTTCTTCTTATTTTCCACAAAGGTCTGAACTTTTTAACATTTATAGATAAACTGGAGCAAGCCAAAGGCATATTTAAAAGTAAACTTTTAAGCGTGTTTAAACGTTATTTAACAACAGAAAATACAAAATGGAACTTGATGTGTATTGTACTTGTACATTTTGTAGTTTTAAAATGTTATGAATGAAGACGTCAGGACATTACGAAAACCTAACCACACGAAAGAGTACATCAAGAGGGATTCTAGCAGGCATTTTGACAAAAACTTCAGAAACTAGCAAACTCACACCTAAATATATGCTCGAAACTTTTCAGTGCGTGGAGTTCTCGATCGATATATTATTAGGATTTGTACAAAACACGCGTGAAATTATTCCCTTATTTCATTCGTCACCATTTGATAACACATACTAATCATTTTTTTCTTTGATTTGAATTTTCTATATGGTTATTTTAAAAATTTCTCAAGTTAAGATGCGCGGGATTTTTATTCGCCGGGGCCCATAAATCAAAACTAGAAAAAGTAGCTCTTTAGTTTATATTTTACCGACATCACTATTTGAAAACTACTCAAAAAATTGTAAGTAAAGAGAATCCAACCATATCACTAACTGCCGTTGCAAGGGGCTAGAAAAGTAATGATCACAACTATGGAACACAGAAACTGAAAAATCTGGAGCAGTTGAAGGACTTAAGTGTTACAGTAGTGGGCTGTTGGCAAAACCTGGATTTGTTGCTGCGGACGGAAGATGAGGAAGTCAAAGAAGGAAAAGGTAGAAGAAATAATGAGGCCCATCTGTAGGAACAGGTTGAACTGACCGGAATTACTTTGGTTAAACTTATTAGTCGTCTGATAATCGAAGATGACTCGAACTGCTGCTGGTTGCGCATTGTACGACTCGATCAATTTATCGCTTTCATGGCCCGCTACCCGTTTTTTCTCTCTTTTCTCCATGCTGAAAGTAACAAAAAAGGCTTATTTTCGTAAACAACTTTGAAGTATTTTTTTCCATAGCTGACAGCTATGACTGCGTAAAAAGCCGTATTCAAGTTTCTGTTCAAATGCATAAATATTAAGCTTAATTCGTAAATTTTGGTCATCTTGGATTCATAGCTTATTTTATTGATTTTTTCTATATTTTCCGGAACTGTCAGTTGCGAATAACTCAAAAATTTTAGTGAAACTGGATCATACAAAACAAGTTTGTTTTTACTTCTTTCATTTTAAATTATAAAAGAAGATAAAAACTGAAAATAGACTCACTTTGTCATGCCTTCTTGCCAGCGAAAAATCGTAGGGGAAATATCGACTCGGACGAGGTGTATTGCCTGACACCCGCCCTCCGATTTGGTACCACGTGACCCCAAAAAGCCAATAAAATCGCGCGAAAATTAATCAGTGGATTATAAAATGCTATATAAGTAAATAAATATTATTATTATTATTATCATTATTATTATTACATCTTTTGTTGCAGAAATAGGAACTGGGATAGCCCAGACTTAATGCAATTTTGATTTCTTTTCTTTCTTTTTTTCTTTTTTTTTTCTTTTTCTTTTTTGCTTTTGTTTTGTTTTGTTTTTTTCAATAATCCAATCTCAAGCAGCCAATTGTAAATTACCTATACGTAGCGAGATTTACAATTGTACATTCAAAAACACAAATAAAGTTTCCATTATTATTATTATAATTATTATTGTCTCTATTATCACAGTCTTTGCTGGTGTTCTTTTTGTGCAGCAGCCGGGCGCAAACCATGCACCTAAAGCGTCAGTCACTCAAGTCAATCATTCTGTTCATACACTGAGCACCTTTCTGAGGATTCGTGCAGATCCCAGCATGCAGATCTTTTGAATCTTTTGTGATACTTCCATCATTGTAAGATAGCTTCATCGTAGTTTTCCAGTTGCTCATTGAGGTTCTCATGAACTTGATTAGTTTTTCATTAAATCTGTAAATCTGTCAGGTCTTCAGTATCCAACTGTAAGGAACACTATCATAGGCTTTTCTGTAGTCTATCCAAGTCATACTCAAGTTCTTTTTCTTCTTTTTGCAGTCTTCTATGATCATTTTATTTATTAGAAGCTGATCTTTGCATCCATATGAATCCCTGACACAGCCTCTCTGTTCTTCCGGCAATATATCATTCTTTGTGATATGGGTGTAGCCTCTTTCAGTTAAAATCGATGTGAGCACCTTGTAGGATGTTGATAAACAGGCAATTGGTCCATAGTTTTTGGGGTTCTCTGTGTCTTTGTTCTTTTGTAGTAAATATGTTTGTGCTGTAGTGAACCAATCAGGCAGATTTTCTGGGTTTTCTATTGCTTGGTTATATGCATTCAGTAGGTGTTGATGTAGTGCTGTGAGTTGCTTTAGCCAGAAGTTAGGAACTGCATCAGGGCCGGGTGACTTCCAGTTACTTGCTTTCTTTAAAACAGTCTGCAACTCATCTTGGCTTATGTCCTCCCATGGTTGGCATTCTGTATCAGCATATTTCTGCTCCTCCCTCTTTATCCACTCTGCTGAATGGTTGTGCTCTCTATCGTTCTCCAAGATGTTACGCCAAAATGTTTCTGCTTCTTCCTTCTTAGGTGGTTTTTCAACTGATATCTGGTCTTTACCAAGGTTTCTGAAGAACTTTTTCCTATCGTTTGCAAACATCTGGTTTTGACTGAATTGTTTACTTCTTTTTACATATCTCCTGATTCTTTGGGCTTTTGCTTGAATTTTCATTTTAAGGGATTCTTTTACTGTTTGCAGTTCTTGATTTGTTGTTATTTTGGATTTCTTTTTAATTCTTTGTTTTTTCTTGGAGATCTTTTGGCTTTCACCTTTCTGTGCCATGTCCGTTGGTACCGACAGATCAGGTCTCACGCTTTTAATCTGATTCTCTATTCTTGTCCTCCATTTGGTTGTTGCCGTTTATTGCTCTTTGTCTTTGGGAGTTTTGGCATTTTACCCAACTTTTCAGAGTGACATACGCAGTGACATATTGTAACAAATTGATGTTATTGAGTTTGGGTGCTTCTTCTGCTATTACCAATTGAATTGCTTGGTTTGCTTGTTTGATCAACAGCTCAGCTTTTCTGTTCACAGATATCTTGTGTAGAGGGGGCCTCTCTGCCATCCTGATGTTTTCCCATTCAGCTCTTGCCTTCTTAATTTCTTTAACTAGGCCTTCGATCTCAGATGGATTTTGTGATGGTTCTATCTCATCTTCATTTGATTCCTCACAACAATTGTTGGCTTCTTCTACAAACACATCATCTACTACACTATCTGTTTGGTTGTTTTGTTCATTCAATTCATTTTTAATCTGTTGCTTGATGTTATCTAGTTCAATTTCTGTTAGTTTGTGTTGTTTTTCAATATATCTACGTTCATCTCATCCTCTGGTTCATCAGTGCATTGGCTGTTAGATTGGGCCTTTCATTTGGGTTTCTTTCCCTCCGTATTCTGAATGTGTCTTTTTCAAAACAAGTTTGTTTTTACTGCTTTCATTTTAAATTATAAAAGAAGATAATTATTATTATTATTATTATTATTATTATTATTATTATTGTCATAAGCGGTCAGGAATCAGAAAATCAACATCTAATCAACATCTTTATAATCTGGTGTAATTGGTCGAACATGATAATAAGAGTTGATAAATGTTCTACTTTTGGAATACGGAAACTGTGCACTAAATCTGTCCAATATTTACCCAAACTGTTGATCAATGGAGTTCTAATTCCCTGTATGGAAACGGGTGAATCATTTCGTTACTTAGGTCGCTTCTTTGACTTCAACATGTCTAACAACCAACACATGTCTGAATTGTCCTCTCTTGTACAAGACTTGATGAATGACATTGATATAAAGCCACTACATCCTAAACACAAACTTCTTCTGTATAGCCTATATGTCCTATCTAAATTGTCCTGGCATTTCACTATAGCTAATATATCCAAAACCTGGATAACAGAACATCTCGACTCTGTAGTGAATGGCTTTATTCGAAAATGGCTTGATATTCCGATATCTGGAACACTGAGCAATGTTTTCCTAGAACACAAATAAATTTGGTCTTAATATTTGCCCTCCCTCTATTAAATTTACTCAGTGCCAAACAGTTCTCCGAAATTCATTAAAAGAGTCACCAAAGGATCTCTGGAAATCGTCAAGCTGTCACACTAATATTCAATATGATGTGTACAAATATCCACTGCGGAAGTTCTTAAAGATTTCCGTTCTAATCAAGAGGATAAAATGCAACACCACCCAACATCTCAAGATTTCTTCTTCTCGAATGTTAAGTACTCATTGTCATCTGTAAATTCTATTTGGTCAGAGGTCCAGTCTCATCTACCCAAGAACATTTACAATTTTACAATCCGCTACATCAACAACTCCCTCTCTACACGTAAGAATATGGCAAGACGGGGATTATCACAAAGTCCTGATTGCTCCTTTTGTCTTAATCCTGAATCACTCCTTCATGTTGTCGCTGGTTGTCAACAGTACCTTGATCGCTTTACCTGGAGACACGACTCAATCCTTAACTTCATTGCCAAGTCACTTCAACCTGTAATTAATGTTCACTCTTCACTCTATGCAGATGTTAATGGTTTTCTGAATCCCTCAATAATAATTGGTGAAAATTATCGTCCAGATCTTCTTTTCCTAATCCAGTCCAAGTGCCGTATATGTTCTAGAATTAACAGTTGGTTTCGAGTCTAACCTTAACAACAATGCAGTGCGTAAGAAAGAAAAATATCTGAACTTGATCAACGAAATGAGTAGAAATTACAGATGTGTGAGATTTGTAAATCTCTCCATGAGTTCCCTTGGCGTTTTCTCCGATGAATGCTCCACGTTCTTACACATGATGAATTACATTGGCATTGACAAAAAGCAGCAACGTTATATAATCAAGAAAATGATAAATATGGCCATTAGAGCAACATATTACATCTTTTGTTGTAGAAATAGGAACTGGGATAGCCCAGACTTTGATTTTTTTTTTTGGCTTTTGTTTTGTTTTGTTTTTTTGTTTTTTTGCTTTTTTTTTTCTTTGTAATAATCCAATCTCAAGCAGCATTTGTAAATTGCCTATACGTAGCGAGATTTACAATTGCACATTCAAAAACACAAATAAAGTTTCTATTATTATTATTATTATTACTTCATTGGCAATATAGGGAACCGATTCTAAGGACCTCACGGTCACGACATTTCGACAAAATACCTCCAGGTTGAGTCCAATTACATCCAAGAAATCCACTCCAATTCCCGATAACTGTTCTGACAATTTACCGTACGATTCTTGATCGAAAGAGAAGCCAACGGCAAACTGGGGTCGAGCATACTTCATACCCGTCAAAACTTCGACGTGGATCGGAACACCAACTATGTCAAAAGAACCTGTTATACGGTAGATACCACTCTTTTCCAGTTTCCTCAGGTACTCTACAGGCTCGAGAGTAAAATCCCACAGACCCGCTCCCCTAAATTTCGAAAGACAAGAAAATGATAAACATTTATTGGACAGGGTCCAGAAAATATCGTGATTTGTAAGTGGCGAGCAGATCAGTTATTTACCGAAGCCGAACTCTGAGGCAAATAATTGATCTGCGAGACACTGACAAATCACGATATTTTGCGATAACCGAGCTCATTCATTGTTTTACCGTTCGATCACAAATTGCTCTTTGAAAGGTCAGAGAAGCAATCGATCTGCCATTTTCACGCAAGAGCGATCGCAAGAAGAAGAAGAAGAAAAACGTGGTTTCATTTACACACGAGCAGAAAATTGGTTGCAGCTAAACACAGTTGAACGACATTGCGGATGAACAGACCATTATTTGTGGGCAATTATTTGCAGATCACGTGGTGTGCTACCCTGGGTGACAGAGACCTTTTTAGCGCGGTTTCCGGTTTCTGTCACGTCTTTATAGTGACCCGTGCTTCGCCGCTAGTGGCTTCGGCCTTCGGCCAACACCGAATTCGGTGGTACCCAGGATAGTGGCGGGCCGTCGGCCAATGAAAATGAGAAAAATTTGCATCGAGCTATAATTCATATTATCATTTCCTTGCTAATTAATCCCTCGTTTGCTTTATCAAAATGCCGTATAACAATACAGCCTTCTTTTTCATGCTCCCCATTTACTAGTATCGGAGAGAAGAGTGAAATAAGGGTCTACCGAAATTCTTTTTGGTTGGAAGGGTTTGTAGGTAACACAAGAGTTGACAAAAAATGCATGGTTATGACAGACGCAAATCTAATATTCAGGATTTTATTGCTAACGCTTTAACATGCACAAGCAAAGCTGCAAGGGTAAGCGGCATAACCTGGCCTGCAGAATAAAAAGAGTAAACATAGCAACTTACTCGAGGGCATCGACAAAGTAATCTGGCATATCGACTGGATTTACACCATGTGAAGACATCAATTCTTCAAATGTGGCAGAGTCAGCTGTCCCCTCAGCATATACACCTCCTGACTGAACATCTGTCCAAACTTCTGATGCAAAGACGTTCCCAGTTTCCAGTGTGTAGTCACCTTTTGCCTTGAATGTCTGAGAATTTCCCTCTGTATAATACAAGAACCTAATAACACACAAACTTCATTTAAGTGAAAGATGCAAATCCCTATAAACCTAACCAAACTAGAGCCTAGTGCTGGTTTCGTCTGTAATTATTTATACTTATTTACAAGAGAACATAAGACTCCTTAAAGAAACCCAAGAAAACACAGAGACTGTGGCAGCAAATTTTGAGGTGTCTGTCAAGGAGGAAGTATGATGAAAGAGAAAAGATAAGCAGACGGGCGAGTTACCCGTGGAATAACCTTTCCCAGAGTTCCAGACGGAACCAACCCTTTGGTTAACAGATACCATAAAATCTATAATATAATCAACGGAATAGATGAAAACAGGTACGTAGCAAAAAGCCCATCAAGACGTAGTGGCCGTTACGTAGCTTCTGTAATAACTGTGAGACAGATTCGTATGGCGCAAAGAAAAATTTAAAACAACAAATGAACGCTTGATGGCAGGTCAACGGTTGATTCATCTTGGATTACCGCAAGCATTTACACAAGGACGGTTGAGTAACAAATCCCTAAACGTCGCAAACGGGACAAAGAATGTATTTCATGCGAAGCATAGCCTGCACACAGACGTTGTTTTCTTTCTCTTTTTGATAATCGACAAGCACAGTCAATAAATCTCCTGCGGTTGTTATTTTCATACGCGCGCTCGACGATCTTAAAAGAGAAAATAGAGGGCCTGTGAACAGGCTAGGGGAACCATAACTGACCACCTACCCCTCCCCTAAGTCACAATTTTACCCTAAGTGAGAAGTAAGTGTTAATAATGACTTAGGGGAGGAGCAGGTGGTCAGTTACCCAGAAACTTCAAATGAACCATATAATGACTAAACTAACATAGGTTATCTTATATCCACTCAACGGTGAATATTCACTAGGGGGGGGGTGGTCAATTACCCCAAATTTGACTAACGTAACATCGGTTATCTTATATCTACTCAACGGTGAATATTCATCAGCCTTCGAGCACCTACCCCTCCCCTTAGTCACAATTTTAGCCCAAGTGAGATTGACTTAGGGGAGGGGTAGGTGGTCAGTTACTCAGAAACTTCAAATGAACAACATAATGACTAACCTAACATCGGTTATCTTATATCCACTCAACGGTGAATATTCATCAGCCTTTACCCTCCCCAGAAATTTTCAAATGAACAACATAATGACTAACCTAACATCGGTTATCTTATATCCACTCAACGGTGAATATTCATCAGCCTTTGAGCACTGAAACTCGTATTTTCTAAGGGCCTGTGCATCGTCAATCCAGATTGAAATAGCCGGTACGTTTTCTGTTTCGTTAGGACGCGTCCACTCTGGGAGGACGTCAATCGTGGAGTAGTACGTTGCCTTGTTGTCCACGACCTTCTTAATGGTCAACGGGTCGATAATTTCGAAACAAACCTTAACGAGGAAACAAGACATATAAATGAAATTAACACTTGACGATTTTACTCTAAGGAAAAAAGCTCACAGAAATTCAAATTTATTTTTGCCAAATCCTGATAAATAAATATGCTAAGCAAAAGTTCTACGCTGCCACGCGTGAGAAAAGCGTGAAGGGACCAGAAAGATCCGTTTCCATTTCTCCCCATTCCCCTCTCCCTTTTCCCCCCTCCCCTTCCCCTTTTGAATCTATGCCAAAAAGGTTAATTCATTTTAAAAATAACACCAGAGAATTTGGTTTACAGATTTAAAAAGTTAGTGTGAAAAATAATCCCACCTGACTCAGTATAGGAGTGAAAGGGTTAAGCTGTTTTTAACCACTGGCTTTTTAGTGTAAAATTTTCAAGGAAAGCATTGAAGCTTTCTCAGGTTCTGTTTCTGAAATGGACTTTGACAAATATGTCGCCAAGAAATTTCCCCATTCCCAGTTTAAATTTTAAGGAGAGCTAAATGGACATAAAACTCCTCAACAGGCTACCGGCAAAATATCCAACTTCAAGCAGTGGAAATCTGAACACATCTTTAATTACTCACTTTTCGAATTACTTAGTTAGTTAATAAGTACTGTGTTTTTATCCCGCAAGAATTTCTTCGGTGTATACAAGTTTCGCCTATTGCAAATAAACGCTTTTAAAACAAACCTTTGTGAGATTCTTTATTCCATAATCATCTTGATCATCGGCTTCAATTTTGATCGCAAACCAGCCGCTTTCCAGCTCGGTTTTCATAAAATCAAAGTTTGAATACACAGCAGAGGGAACGTCCTCTTTGTACGCTCCCGTTGCTGAGAATTTTTCTGTCGCTCCACACTCCAGAGCTATCCAGGATTTTGGGTCAACAGACGTTTTGTCTGGTTTACTCGGCTGGTAGACTAAAGGAAAAGAAAATAATAGACCGCAACAGTACTCACAAGCTACAGTTCTAGGCCAAAAGACTCGCACTTTGACCGCATTCATTCAACAAGTCTATGTTAAATAGGTTGATAGAGCAGCTAGCCTAAAGTGCAAGAGAGAAGACTATTGCATGTGAAATTCTATTTCAATGCGACTTGTGTGATGCAAAACCAGCAGATGAGCCAGACAAGAACAAGTAAGCTTCTACTTGCGACCACTTTAAGCCCCTTCGTTTAGCTGTGCACGAAATATAACATCTTTAAGTTAATAGAGAACTCAGACACCATCTCTAATAGTGTCCAATCGGACTCGATCAGGGACAAACCGTTTCAGTGACACCGCATAATTATTATTACAGCTGATCTCCTGCCAGTTTATTCTCACAAACTGCTCTGAATATCTTGAACTAGAAAAGACACCAAGACGTCGCTCGATTTTATCGGCGCTGATTTATTATTTCTGTTGAGCAGATCATAGTAAATCTGACAACAAATTTTTTTTAAATCTTTAAATTTTGGTCTAAATTTTTCACTAGTTGTAAACATTGCAACTGAGCTCATATGTAGTCATGCATTATTTCAGTTTCCGTGGAGCAGTTCGTTTATGCGTTATACTTAGTCGTAACATTTAAGCTTGTACATTCGCGCTAGATTCAAAATTACGCTAAGAGCCCGTCAGCATCTTGAAATAAAAGTTAATTATTATTCATTTAAAATATTTACCTTGTCAGTTAACTGGCTAGTAAATGTATACAGCTATTCCGAGAAAGCTTGTCGGAAAAATTGTGCACGCGACAATCCCGAAAGGTACTGATATGGGATGTAATCAATACACCCTGTTCCTGACACTGTAGCTGTCTAACCTACTTTTGTGGCTTTCTTTTAGCACTCGCAAACATACGTTCATGGCCTCTCGTGTCATTCTTTCAAACGTCTTTGAAGAACAGCTAGTGAACTCAAAACCACCCACAATACCTTTCAGGATAGTCGCGTGCACTTTTTCCGACAATCTTTCTCGAAATAGCTGTATCTTACCTGTACATCCATCTGCTTGAGTGGGACAATCTTTATTCTCCACTGACAATCCCACACAGTCATCTCCGCCATTTGCTGGAGGTGGATTAGTGCAAGTACGCGTTCGCTTTGAAAAGCCTTGTAAACAATACTGGGGTTCTGAACATGCGGTCCAGTTAGACCACTCTGAAAATCCTCCGTCAATTGCACCTTTAAAGATCAATTTTCATTAGATTAGAAATACTTTTAAAAACATTTTGATCTATCCTATTTTATGTGTTTGGGTTATTCGTGTTTCGATTAGACTGTTGCAGTACCGTTCACTTTGCTTAAAAACAAAAGAACACTCGGCATTAAATCTACTGGAAAAGGCCAAGAAGTTTCATCTGCAAATTGACTCACAGCACAGGAAAAAGAACGAAGATCAGATCAATGTCTTTTTGGTCAAGTGCACCCTTGATGTTTTCGGGTGTTCGACAAATAAATGAATGTTGCATTTGTAGCTTTGGTGATTAAGTCTACATCTTTTCTCATCGTGAAATTTCAATGTATGCTATTAGGATCCAATGTTGATAGTGGCGTTCCGTTCTGATAGTTACAACAAATAACGTAATTCGTATGCAATTGAACATGTTCTAAAATCCCGGTCGGCAGTTGGCCGTTCACAAAGGTGACGGAGGAGTCGGACTTAAGAGAGTAGTCGTCTGAGCAGGACTTCAACTTCAGACATCGCACTCTAAGCCTTTCTACCTGGGGCTACATGCAATGCATCTTTACTAGTGGATGGAAAAAAACACTTAAGCGTTATTTACCAGGGCAGGAAGCGATTTTACAGCTCGTTGCCTCACTATAGTCTCCTGTGCAATTCAGTCCATTGCTGGCGGGGACAGGGTTCGTACATGTTCTGTTTCTTGATTGGGTTCCAGTCCCACACGTCGCACTGCACGTTGTCCACGTGGACCACAAACTGAAGCCACCATCGACTGACGATAAAAATACGGCAATTAATACTGAATACTTGGTTGTTTTCATAAAAAAAAAACAAAACAAAACAAAACAAAACAAAAAAACAAATGCTAGAATCGACTGAATCAAATAACGCAAAGGGTCATTTAGCCTCCAATAACATCAAGGACTGAACATAAACAGATATCAATTATTCCAGAACCCTCCGCTATATGTAATCTTAAAAGATAATGGGTCAGCTCGGATGAAGATTATTTTAATCAATTTATTTGTTAATTTAGATTTTGTTTTTCTATTATTGGACTTCCTTTGACGTTTGCTGATAAACTTTAATTGGAGCATGAATGGAAAATTGCGGAATATTTAAATGCAAATAACTGAATGAAAACCTTGCTAACCTGGACAAGGCGTCAAGCATGACTTGGCCGTTTCTGTATCATTACCAGCACAGGGCTTCCCGCCATTCATAGGAGGAGGCTGATTGCACAATCGTGTTCTACTTAAAATGCTTCCTCCTGATATTCCACAGGTTTGTGAGCACTGCGTCCAAGGAGTCCAAGGACCCCATTCACCGTCAAGAGGACTAGCTAAAATTAAAACAGTGATTCAGCCGTTTTTTTTTTTTAATCAACAAATAAACAAATGGAATAAAAAAACACACAATGATCATTGGTGGAGTCTGTTCCAGGTTCCGAGATAATCACGTCTGCAAAATTGAGAGAGCGCAAACACGAAAATGAAAGGGGAGGAAATTGCTATGCATCGCCCCCTTTTCCCAGATCACACGCTCATATTTTCGCATGCCTGTCACTCCCGCGTCATCCTTACTATCTGAAAGCCCGGAATAGGCTAGGCTATTAAGTAAAGAACAATTTGTTTTTTCCAGAAGAACCACGTAGTATATTTTTTTGGAACGTTTTATTTAAAGGCAATGAAAAATAACTTACTTGCGCATGGAGATGTGCATTCCAGTTTTGTTTGAAATGCGTCTCCAGAGCATGGGTTCCCATCCGAAGTGGGGGTAGGGTTAGTACATGTTCTGGTTCTGTTGACTACGGAGCCCCCACAGGGCTCTTCACATAGTGACCACTGACTCCATTCTGTGTAACCTCCATCAACTAAAATAAAATTTATGTACACGTAAGATTAGGTTAACCTGTTCGCTTATGTTTTATCGTATTTACAGATACTGCATTAAAAAGGCAAGCTTCAATGGTGCTTTCCTAGTGCTTTTATTTTATGGAAAAAAATTGATCATTGAACACTTACTCATACAATCCAACTGCTCTGCATTTTCTCCTGTGCACCAAGCTCCATCTTCACTTGGTAAGGGATTGGTGCAGGTTCTTGTCCGAATACGCTGATTTCCCGCGCAAATGCCAGCCGCACAGCCGCTCCACGCCGACCAATCCGACCATCCGCCGTCTACTGTTATAAAGCATATTTCTGTTAGTTAAATTTCCATGACCTTAAATGGAGTTAGTACTTTATAGGCCCTTTGTAGTTCCTCGATCTCTCAAAACATCTTTGTGTTCATGCGAAGTAGAAGTTCATTTGAGAACCTTTAAAAGCAAATAATTTAAAAATTTGGGCGATTGATGAAATGTTTTCTTAAAATAGCACTAGAAAAGGTTCACGTCTGATGAAAAAACTACTTGATTGTGCATTTGATACACTTACGATTCTGAAAAAATCATATGAAAGGTGTTTAAAAAGACTTAGTGACTGTAATTGTCGCCCTCGGCAAGAAATACTTCTCCTCTTTACTCAGTTTTCCACTTTTGGAGAAGAAATAAAGAACTCAAATGGAAATCATTAACCCTTCAATTTGTAACCCCAACATCAAAATATTTTCGTCTTCTAAACCAGAAAGTGAGAAAAAAAAAACAATAATAATTTCACTCAAATTATTAGAACTCTCAACTAAAAAAAAAATTTTCTCTTTATCAAAAAACATTTACTTAGGAGAGACATACTTACCGACTCCTCCAACTGAATTGAATAACGATGTTAAAAATATATAGAATAGTAAAATCATCACGAAAAATTAAGAAAAAATATCAAGCTATTTTAAAAAATGGCTTAAGCATAGCCATTCACTCCGTTGCTTTTGAAAAAATAATGAAAATGATCTTAAAGCTAGAAGTAATAAATTGGCTAATATTAATTAGATGACACCTGTAATTAGTACCATGTAACCTACGCGTTAATTTGGGTACAATGAAACACGTCGCTGAAGAGTTGTATCCAGGTAACGTTTAATTCTTTCAGAATGTTCTCTTAACATCAAAATGGTCTGCAAGGAGATAATTCACGTTAAAATAATTATTTTTGAGCATATCTAACCGCTTAAACGTTTAATAGAATGTCTTATTTTTCCTAAATCGCTTTATCCTCTCTAGTCGTACTTAATCTGACAATTCAGAAGCAAACAAAGAAAAAGCACACCTTATGGTGGAAACGTTTTAACTGTTCTGCTTAAATGTGATGTAGATTCGTTAAAAGGAGTTTGAAGAAATAGTTTCGTCAAGTTTTCGTGTATATTAACCTCATACAAGTAGCAAGAAACTCTATATCTAAGGACAAAAAATACAATAAAAGAAAGGAAAATACACAAATACGCAACGGTTTGCTAAATGTAAAAAAGGTTGCAATATATATTTTGTTAATAACGTAAGTCAATGTTTAGTTGAAGATATAGAATTTCTTGATAACAGCAACCTCACCTTATAAAAAACACTTAGAAAGCGAACATTTTGAACACAGTTATCTTTTTTAGAACTTGCTTAGTTTTCAATACTGGGAATTTCGCCACCTGACACTTGTCCTTAAGTTATGAAAAATTCCCCCCAGCGAAATTTTTCACACTTGGGAAACAACGTGATTAACGTTATTTTGAGAGTTAGATAAATAAATCCTCGGCGTTAATTTACCTATTCTGACGCGTATAGTTCTCTTTTATTTTAAAGTTTATGAAAGCCAAAGAAACCACTCGGAGAAAACTAGCTTAACTATCGTTGAAATAAATTGTCATAATTGGACGTCAATGTTGTATATCGTTATCTTCAGATTCTTAATACTTATTTTATAAGGCCTTGGTCACGGTGGTTCTAATATGTTCGAAATTTCCGCGTTGATTATGTGCTTTTAATTTAATGCAGCCTCATTAACTCTTCCCCCCAGTCTTACCCTTTTAGGTCCGTTTTGGTTTTCCCGAGCCCGGGGGGGCCCCGGGTTCCCGAGGGGCGGTGAATTGAACAATAGCGACCAGGCCCGCATGATTTATTTGCATTACTTTCGCCTTTCCACTTCTCATCAAGTGATATTTTCACAGATAAAAAAATTCTACTGTAAAAGGAATGTGAAAAGGGAAAGAAACAATTAAAACAAAGACAATCATTAACTGTAAAAAATTCTTTCTTAAAAATTTAACAGATAAATAGTTACAACGTTTAACTTGAGCCGTCATTTCAATGAAAGAAATGTTTCCTTATTAATTTTCACCGAGAAAATCGGGCGCTATAGACATCAGAGCTAAATAATAGTTAAGTTATTAGCCTGGGAACAGGCCCACTCGGCGGCAGCAAAATGTTCCCCGAATTCGCACATTAGTGGGCCTACTCGCAGACTATGAAATTGTTACCCTGCTAGCACGGCCACTTATATCGAATTCGAAGCGACTCTGCTAGCAGGGTATGAAATTGTATGAAGACGATTCAATGAACTTTGTAGACGGCTTGAACTTAACAGTCATCTATTTTAATAACAGCATCCGTGTGACTTCACCTGTTTTCTTAATCAACACCATTGATCAAACTTCATTTGAAGAATTTTGTAGTCGCAGCAATGTAGTCACAACAATAAAAGAATGATCGTTTTGCCTATGTCTTCATATCTTCTGCTGTCATTACGTCGTACCGATTCAAAAACGCTATGGATCCATGTAAGTAAGTGCCCAAGGAATACCTTTGAGGGAATTTCATCTATTCTAAACGTTTCAAAGACCACTAGAAAAAATAAGTGGGAGGTAGTGGCCTCAAACTCACAAAACGAAGAAACTCGTAAGAAACCCACCTATCAGAAACGCTCACATATATCCTTGCAATTGTGCTGGATATCAGAACGAGCTTTTGTTCACTAATTCGCAGACGGACTATACAAATGGTTTACACGATACGTGGGGCGGCTGCAACGCAGGCTAGAATCAACCAGTACCTTTGATTTATTCATAAACTGCACATCGGTTTGCGAACAACCACGGCCCGAATTATAGGATTTCAGATTTGGTTACCGAGATTTTGAAAAGAAAATATAAGCCCGGGAACTGAAATTCGTTACCCGCCCTTCAGGGCCCCATTTTATTGAAAATCTTTATTCCACAATTCAAACATTTGAATTTCACATATCCTTTCATGAGAAATAATTTTGCTCAGGTTTTAAGCAATGTTCACACTATAACGGATAGCTTTTGCGCCGACACGAAAACCACACCAGATACTAGGGCTTCTGTTCGCACACAAGAACCGGTAATTTAGGCGCGCTTTCTGAAACGGAGCGAAGTTGCGCAGCGCCGATCTCTAAAGTGGAGAGTCACATATCGGATAGATGTTCATACTATACCGGATAGCTTTTCGTGTCGGCGCCGACACGAGAAGCTATCCAGTGCTTTTGTACCCGGAAGCGTTGTGTCAGCAAGAAAAAAATCCGGTACACTGAAGACGGATTTGATCTAGATTTGACATGTATACTTTCTATTTAGGCTATTTTCACATTGACTGGAAAGCTTTTGCTCCGGCACGATCTCCATACCGGATAGGGCTTCTGTTCACATATTTCTGCGCAGCGCCGATCTCTAAAGTGGAGCGTCACATATCGAATAGGTGTTCATACTATACTGGATAGCTTTTCTTGTCGGCACGAAAAGCTATATATTCGGATCAGGGCCCGGTAACTCGAAGGATTAGTTTAGGATTAGTTCAGGCAGGATTAGCTCAGTCGGTAGAGCGCTTGACTGCAGAGCGGGAGGTCAAGGGTTCGATTGCCAAGGGCGGACCAATACTCAGGGTCTTAAAATCACTGAAAAATGAAGGTACTTCCTTTGCCCTGTAAGCGGCTAGACCTTCACGTGGCTCGGATGACCACATAAAATGGCGGTCCCGTTTCCATTAGGAGACTTAAAAAATAGTGTCCCCAATTAGTGCTTTCGTGCTAAATACATTTACATTCAAGTACAATATATTTTTTTACCCCAGAATTAACCAAATTTTAAGCAAGGTTTTCATGTCTAAGCACATGGAACTCGATTGAGCCTTTACTCCAAGATACGGTAATGATAACACAAAATGTTACTCTAAGCAACACATAGGAAGTAAAGTACAAAAACGAGACAAAATTTTAAATCTGGATTAGCGCTGATCGGCCTTCAGGAACTGGGCCCAGGAATGGTACGCGAAGAAGTACTTAGTTGATGTGCCACCTCTAAATCGCTTTTTATATTTATGTTTGCTTAACCTTTCTTTTATAATTTCCCGTAAATTATAATTGTAGTTTTGCAATTCTACTTACTTAGTCCTAGATCTCAACGTAAGAAAAGCGCGCCATAAAAAAAAAACACATTGGTACACCTCGTTTACTCATGGACCAACTTCTGCTTCATGGAACAGAAAGAGGAGAGAGACCTTTGAACAAGGTTTAAATAAGCGGCATGTAGTTGTTGGCGGGTAGGTGATTATTTTGCACTGTTGACTCCTGATTCTAACAATAATTTGAAGGAAAATAAAATTACGAGATATTTAGCTTCGTGGAAAATACAGAAAAGAACCTATTTTATACAGCAAAGAAAAAAACATTTTAAGGTTTTAAGAGACATTTTATTACGGACTTTTATTTTTGAGACTACACAACATAATAGACAATAATGAAATAATATGACTGCTTTTGGAAAGCTTGCGAAATTTCTTTGTAATGTCTTCTTTACTTTAGTTTAGATTATCTGTGAAATAGGAAGAATAACAAATACGTCAAAACATGCACAATATAAGTTAACCCAGGGACCTCTTTGCACAAACCAAAAGAAGGTCGGCTAATATCTTTCTGTTTTGTTACGGTACTTAACAAGTCTTTTGCAATACCGTAAACTTCCGCTTATAACCTGTGGGCTTGTAAAACTTCATAAGGGGTTTTGGGAGGACTTCTAAATGTTAAGGGGGGGGGGTGGGGGGGAAACGGGGGGCTAATAACTGGAGTAAAAAACGTATTTGAAAACAAGCTTCATTACAGTCATGTAAGCTTCAAAACGAGGTAAAAAATTGAAGAAAAAAATGAGGGGCTTATATAACTGGATGTATTTTTTTACAGGTAGATGTAAACTAGGGGTGGACTTATAAGGGAGCTGCAACGACGACAGCGACGGCAACGAGAACGGCAAAAAGTGATAGGTAACGATTAGCAAGGCAACAACTTTGCACGCGCATCACGCTTTTTTGTACATTTCTTTGCTGTCGCTGCACGACTACAACGCGTGTAAGTGCCTAGTTTCACGTTTTGTCTAGGACGTGAACGAAGACAACGACTTTCTTTTTCTTCCCCCGAACTTTGAAACAATCTTTTAGAATTAAACTCCATAAACAAATAGCCAACATTTGACGATTTGAACGAGCTGGAATAAGCACGATAAAGTTTGAAGTAGCGCGGATTCTTTTTTTAAGTGACGTTTTCGTAGACGTCGCCGTCGTTGTTGTTTAAGCCCCCTGTAAATAGGAGGGGGGAAGAGCTTGTAAGCGGACGTTTACGGTATACGAAAACAAGTAAGAGACTGCAGAGGGAGAAATGAATCTATCTTACAGATAAAAAGACTTTAATGTTCACAGCTTAACAGCCTGGCAGTTAGGAGAGTACAGTTATGTTGTAATTACAGTTAAAAATACTGAAAGTTACAGTTTACGTGTAAGTCTTAAAACAAGGAGTCCTGAGTTCCCGCTGTATACATCGTTGAAGTTGCTTTATTACCTCTAATTAAAAAGCTACATTTGTAATAATTTACTGGCTATTCGACATTAAGTTAAGTTGGTAATTTTAGGCGGTAATAAAAACCCTTCAATTATATGATAATTAGTTTTTACCTTAAATTTGGTCATTATACAGCATATAATTATTTTAGAAAAATTACTTTTATAACTTATTAGAAATATTATGTAAAAAAAGCTAACTTTTTCACGTTTGCAAACAATGATTCAGCGTCTCGGACAAATTGCTAATGTTGCGATCTATATGCTCGGAAGAAAATGCAGCATTCTGAGCCTCAAATAGACCGTTGTTAGCATCAGTTTTCTTGTTCATTAGAAGAAGGTGGTTAACAGAATATTAATAAACTATCCAGTCTTAAACAGTATACGCACTTAGAACGAGTACGAACAACATTCAAACGATAGTCGAGGAAAAAAATACACCAGACTCATCGATAAACTAGAAAACTTCGCGTGCATCTTCTGTTTTCAAGCGGCTTTCCGAATTACGCAACAGTACTTTGTCGTATTTACCTACAGCTCGCTGGCGACAGCACTAATTGCAGACCCTCCCCCCGCAAAAAAAAAAACGACAACAACAACAAAGAAACAAAGAAAATGAAGAAAAATACTCCTTCTCGTTGACGTTCTCGTCGTCATTTTCTCAGCAAAGGTAAAGCTAAGACTTAATTGCTAGTCCGAAATGTTATTTACAATGATCTAACTATTACCTTCTTAACCGCTGGGTGCTGCGCCAGCCTGAACAGTAACCGTAATTTGCTTGGTAACCGTGCCCTGCGTGTTAGTGGCTTTACACTGGTAAGTGCCTGAATCAGAGACCACCGCTCCAGTAATCACCATTTCCACACCCGTTAGTTTCGCACGCAGGTCGTAGTTTTCGTTTATCGTACTGCGGCCATCAGGGAGAGAACCTAAACAAGTTACAAATCAGTGATAACTAAAAGACGAAACTAGGGTACTGTACTGAATGGCTTGACTCGGTGGTGATATCGTACGTAAGATTATGTACTTATACACCGTATTCACAAATGGCGGACACGCGGAAAAAACTGGTGCCTAGTCATGAAAGCGAGGCGTTGGAGGATAAACAAAAATTGCAAATGAAGACTTTCAGTGAATTTGCAGAGTGTTTAGCACGGATTCCACCTAAAATAACTTTGTACGGACTTCTTTTTAAATACAATTACGTGGGATGTATTCTGCTTTTAATGTTTAGTAGCGATTTGCTGTTTGCAATCATAAGGGACCCGTATATCTTCAAGGAAACAGGATGATTTTGTAGGTTTCCAAAGCATCAGAAGCTCGACAAGTGGACGATGGCTGGAGAAAAGCGGCACACATGCTGGCCCAAACTTCACATTGAAACCGAGCACGAAGACCAGCTCACTGCAATTCGGTGAAACAGAAATATAAACAAATCTTGGTGGCAAGAAAAAAATAAATAAGCGACAGATATATGCCCTACTTGCAACTGTTAACGGAAGAGACGTCTGCCGTTGAACAAAACAGTTCAAGTCGAGATGGAAAAAAGGAAGACAGGAAAGAAGAGGTGACTGAGGTTTCGATGAAGTTATGTTTGGTTTTTGTTTGCCAGGAAGTTATTCTCTGGTCTTTATCAATGAAGGACATCAATTAGAACTATTTTTTAGGTATAAATGGAGGAGCGATCGAGAGGAGTACGCTCAAAATTTCAACTTGCTACACGGCAGACTCGGTAAGCCGGCCACATATCATTTCAGCGAGTAATTTCGTATTTCTTACCTTTGGCTGTTAAGAGTTTTAACTTGATGTTCGGAAATATTTTAAAGTTGAAGAATACATAAATAAATAAAATGATGGTCTTCTTAAACTGATCCAGACTCGAATTCAATTATTCGAAATCCGAAGCTTGCCGTGTGCAGTCCTGACAAAAATATTGCCTTAAAATTTTAACCGAGTAAAATGTAAGCTTTATACCACTTTTTTTACCAAGAGCTCTGAGATAATGCCCTAAAAGAAACCAGGCAAATAGCAAGCCATAAGATTCACACACCACAGCTTCTAATTTTGATAAAATTATCTTGAATTATTTCGCAATGACAAAGAAATCATGAGATTTTTGCTAAGCTCTGAAGACGTACCTCTAACAATTCACTCCAAAGCGACGGAATTAATTTGATCCAATAAAGAATTGTAGTGATCTGGCTTTCATATTCGGTTTCAGTGTGAGGTTTGGGCCAACATGTTTGCCGCTTTTCTCCAGCCATCGCCTGCTCTTCGAGCGTCTGATGCTTCGGAAACCTACAAAATCATCCTGTTTCCTTAAAGATATACGCGTCCCTTTTGATTGCAAACAGCAAATCGCTACTAAACATTAAAAGCAGAAGTCATCCCACGTAATTGTATTTAAAAAGAAGTCCGTACAAAGTTATTTTAGGTGGAATCCGTGCTAAACACTCTGCAAGTTCACTGAAAGTCTTCATTTGCAATTTTTGTTTATCCTCCAACGCCTCGCTTTCATGACTAGGCACCAGTTTTTTCCCGCGTGTCCGCCATTTGTGAATACGGTGTATTGACTGAGTGGAAGGGCCGGACGGGAAACCAAATATTTTCCTGTCCAGTCCTACCTAACTCAATCAATAACCATTTTATCACATGACCGTTGTGTTTTTGAATTTTTCTGACGGAGTGAGAACCCGCGTCGATCAGTGCGCTTTTCCAGCAGGGCCGTACACGCTTTCTTCGGCCCTAACACTTGACGCGTACGGCCCTCGTGCGGGACTTTTTTCATATGGTCTTCCAACGAAATGGCGCTTGGGGCCCGCTGTACGGGTCATTCCGAGCTTAGCTACTTTATAATCTTGTCGCGCGCGAAGGGCGCGCGCAGTCTGCTAACCGCGCTTGGTCTTAGCCAGCTGCGAAATTCGAGGCTTCATAAATAAATAAATAAATCTTTCTTTCTCTGAATATATGCTTGGTATCCGCCAGAGACGTCATGGAGCATTTTGCGTTTCCAGGCAACATAGAGTTCGCCGCCCGATGACCAAGGCGCACTTTGATTAGCCTGTGCCAGGCTCTCAGATAGTATAGTGGGGACGTATTAAACGAGGAAAGCGAAAATAAGACGCGCGCGACTTGGGAAAGGGGGCGGTGGCGGCGGCCCAGCTCCCGCAGGTTTTTCCCATTTCTTTTTACTGAACGACTTTTCACCACTATCTTGGAGCCTGGAACAGGCTACACTTTGATGTGTTTAGTCATCGTCTGTGAATCAAAGTTTACCATCGGTGAATCACGAACAATTTCCCATGCAAATGACACACAAGCACAACAAGTGACTCCAAGTCCTTGCCCGGGAAGATTTTCCACCGAAACTCCTCTGGAGCGAGAACGCCGACTTCCAATTCAGCGTGGACAACGAAGGAGAAGACGTCAGCAAGAAACCGTGTAGCAGAAGGAACATCGCTTAGCACAGCGAAGGTAACGCCGACAACAAGAGACAGAGGAACAGGAGATTGGAATCAGAGGCATTGTGATCGTTCACTGTCGAAAACCCATCCCCGCCGATATATGTAGATCAAAGTCTGCAAAGTTTCAGCTCTGTATTACGGCCCGAACTATAATAATTTTCCGGTGAACTGCGTCGGGCAAGATTTGTTCTTTGTTTTTGTCTTTTTCTAAATCCGGGCGCCGAAATAATGCTAAATCTGCTTTTCAATACACTGTTAACAATAACACCACATAATACGCAAAAAAGAAGGAGAAGAAAAGAAAGAACAACGTATGGACCTTTAAGACGATATTCGCGGTTGGTCACCCGTTCAGTTCTTAACCCCGACCGGCAGGGCTTAACTTTAGTGCCCTTACCAAACCCAGTTTCGCGAGGCTTATTGCAAGATACGTATTTCAAGTATGATATAAAATACGTCCGTCCAAGTTTACTTTTAAAACTTACAAAAATGTAAGTATAAAATGTGATACGTTAACGAAGAAACTCAAGCCAGAATACGTCAGTTTGGTTTGACCTATGGGTCATATCATACGAAAGATGAATATGATCGTCCCAATACTGTGCTTTTGGAAATTACGAGAATTTAAGAATACAATAAGAGCAAATTGAGGTTTAACAGTTGTTTCTCAGTAAACCAAAGCTGAGTTTTTATTTACATTGTTCTTAAGAAAACAATCGAGAAAAGAACGAGTACTGGGTGAAATAACAGCAGCTGGAGTTTGAGCAAGTCTACTCAAAAAACTGTTTCCAGCTTGTTTGTTTGTTTGCTGTGTGTGTTTTTCAAGTTCACATAATGGAAAACTGACAATTTCTACTGGCATTTGAAAATGGTATTGAAATACCTCTATGATATTAAAACTAATAGACCATTTTACACTTGTGAGCTTAGTATTCCAGCCTTTGAGTGTTCAAACGTGAGGCTGAGGTTGACCTTGCTTTGATACAAACCTCGTTCTTTTACTTATGAAAGTCATGCGTAAGAACGACATGATTTACATAATAAAGCAGGAAGAGTTGTAACAAAACCAGGTCAACTCCAGCCTCGTTTCCGTCTGTAACTGTAAAACGGACTACCGTTTATTGATTGTATCCCAAATAAAGATTGTTTCATGTATCGACTCACCGCCTGTTTTGTTCCAGGATGCAGACGGTGATGGACTTCCCTCGACATTGCACAATATGGAGAAGGTATCATTCTCATGAACTGAAAAGTCTGAACCTGGTACAGTCTCGGTTATAACTACAGGAGCTGAATAAAATAAGAAAAGCAAAAAAAGCACCAGCAAATGAATACCGCCATTAACTCGGAGTACAGTTGTATCTTGATTTTTTTCTTTTTATACAAAATGTAAGTAACAGTTAGTAGGTAATCAGTATGAAAAATCCATATGGAGCACCTATCCGACTCTCCTAGGTTTTCCTGCTTGTAGTAAACATCTTTCTCAATGGGTCCTAAAAAGTTCAGAAACTTTTCGCTTCCATTCACGATAAAAAGACAGAATCATTTATAGACTTTTTGCAATTTTTGTATACACAACAATCTGCTCATTTCCTAATTTGAGAATTCAAATTGTTCACCCGATTCATCCGTGTCGTTTGAAGTTTGCTATAAACTCTTAATCTCTCCAATGTGAGATTCTGAGACCACGCTAAGTGAAACATGCGCTCCAGTCAGCGCTTCTGTGAGTACAAAAAAGTGTGAAAGGAAAAAGCCCTTCAGCATTTCCAGAAAAAAAAAAACGCTGCACGGAAGCTGAGCGAGTTGACACTCATCTCGACTCTAAACACATTTTGTGACCATTTGACAAGGCGTTAGAAGTGTTCAAACTAATCTAACTTTCATTATCATCCAGCGTGTTGAACCGGACTATAATTGTACTCCGAGCTCAACATCCCATTCAACTCTAGTAATACCTAATTTTAACCCGAGACAGTTTTGTTGCCTCTTCCCTGCAAAAGTCTAGCCCTTCACGTGGATGTCATGATGGCGGTCCCTTCTACAATAGGGGTCCTTTGTTGTCCTCAGGGAATTAGTACTAGGGAGTTAGAGAGTATAGAATGTTTACCCTTTCTTACACATACCTACGCAGTCGTGAATGGATTTACTTCCAGTGTACAACGTTCTAGTTCCAGCAGGACATGCTTTACAGCTGGTCATTTGTTCATTCTCTTGGAATGTATTAAGAGGACATTTCTTACAAGGGCAAACGCCGTTGTTGGTGGAATATTTTCCCGCCCGGCAGATGGCTGCAAAACAAGAGAGGCTTTGTTGTTAAAATAAGTAAACGCTGTGAATGGCATATAAACTAGACAACAAAAGTTTACAATTTAAAAAAATATACCGGAAAAATTGCTTTATCTACGGAGATTGTCATGTTGCTACTTGTTAGGCTATAATAAACTATCTTGAAACAATAGTCACACTACACAACTTCTAATGGCAGTATATCACATAAGGTGGCTCTAACTTTAACACCTATAAATAACCCTAGGTTTCATGGATTTAGCCTGCATAAGATGTCTTCTTTTACCTATAGGGTGAGCTCTTTACACTGGCTAGATGTGAATAATTTCCTGTGGTAGAAAGACTGATTAGAAAATTTCTTACGTTTGCAGTCAGAGATATTCTTGGCTCCTGTGATGGCTGTAGAGCGGCTCTTTGCACATATCTGACATTCTGGTTTCCCTTCTTCGTCCTGATAATATCCAATGGGACATTCTATACATGTGTTAGTAACGTTGTCACCATAACTTCCTGGAGGACAGTTCACTGAAAGTTAATAAATAACCAATTGAGCAAGACTTATAATTCATGTACTTGAATAGGAATTAGGATTAACGTAAGACCCTGAGTGCGGGAATGCATTAAAATCGATTATTATTCATTCAAAATATTTCCCCGATTCTGATTGGCTAAAAGCACACGTTTAATTCACCATAACCAGTTACTGATGACCAAATTTGGAAGAATTTTGACTTTAACGAGGAAATGACGTCAAAAATGCAGCGTTTTCGCTATTCATACCTTATTAATATTCATCAGACTTCGTGCATACTATAATTATAAGCATGTGTTGATTATTCATAGTTGTCAGTTTGTCTAACTTTGGTTGGATTCGCACCGACTATGACCAGTACGCGTCCGTCCCAACCGAACGCTGTGGCTGAAGTGCAGGAAGTGTTGCGGCCACTGGAAACTTCTCGTCGGGAAACGCCGCCGTCACCACGCCACCTGTATTGCCAGCAGAGACAGAAGCGTCCGGGAGTGGTGCAACTTTGCAGGATATCAGTAATGCCGCGACCTCGGAGGAACAGCAGTCGTCGGACAACCTTCAGGTAGTGTTTTCAGTTTCCGTATAATTCCGCTTTCCTGTAGGTTTCTAGTTGTCGTTCGTTTCGAATGGCGCCTTTTTTGTTCTCTTCTCTTTTTGTGTTTTTTTCCCAATTGTTGGTTTTCATCGAATTTTCTAAGCGGTCTGTCAGGTCTGGCTTTCCGTTATTTGGAAACACGTGTTTGGTAATTTATTCGTCTGACACCTTAGTGCCAGTCAAAGGATTAATTATGTTATTTATTTAATGCACCGTCGTAGTTGTCATCTTTGTCATTTAAATCTACGCGAGGTTGTTTTCTCCGTGCATCGAAGGACCGGTCGAAGTAGATTCTAGTTAAACAATGATTGGGAAAGTGTGAGTCGTGGACTCCTGTTATGCCACGGGGTGGCATCGGAATAGAGGAACGCGGTCGAGGACCGAGGACCTGTTATGCCACGGGATGGCATGAGAAGAGAGGAACCCGGTCGAGGACCGTGGTGCGAAAATGAGAAAAAAAAAGGACGAATGGAGGAGAAAGGAAGTCTCGGACATCTGTTATTCCATGCGGTGGCACGAGGGACGTGGCACCTGGTCGTGGACCGTGCAAATGAAGGGAGCGTGAGTCGTGGACTCCTGTTACTCTTTTATCCTGTTAAATAGACAGAGGGAGAGGAATAAAGGGACATGGAAAGCGGGTCGTGGATTTATGTCATGCCATGAGGCCGTGGTGTGTTCCCGGTCGAGGACCGTGGGAGGAGCGTGTCGCGAACTCTTGCGCGTTTGGCCTCGCAGGTTACTTAAGTAACGAGAGAGAAAGCGCGTGCGAGGGCACTGCAGTCGCGTAGAGGTTCCCATGTGGTGGGGACGGGTTCGATCGGGGAATAGTTTCTAATTAGCGTCCATTTTTGTTGTATGTAGGAATCCGCTACAACAGTTGGGACATTGAAGAAGGAGTTGGATGAGTGGAAAAGAAAGGTTGATTCTTCGGTGGTGGACTCGGCTTTGTCTTCGCTACAAATGGTCATCGCCCGGCCGGCGGCCTTGTTCGACCCTTACGCCGCCATTGCCGCTCTCGAGGAGGTAGTGAACGTTACGAGAGACAAGAAAGACGACAGGGCCACCCGTTTTCAGATAGTTCTGAGACAGTGCCGCCCATTGGTTAACAGTCCAAACCTACAACAGATTCTTATTAAGCTAGTGGCAACGAAGGAGGAAGCCGCGGTGGCTAAGGTTATAGCCAAAGCGACAAAGTAGCCTGCCTCAGCCTACCACGGGTCGTTCAGGGGACGGACGCGTGGAAGCCCGTATTCAAGGCGTGGGACTTTCCTCATAAGGCCTCCAACCGCTCCTCGTTGTTGGCTGTGTGGAAAGATGGGCCACATCTCCCGTTTTTGCCGAGAGAGGCGCTGATCCTGATTTTCACGTTTGTTCTGATATTCTTTTTCTGGAAGTTATTTGATAATGTTTCATTGATAATAAAGCGTTCGAGTTTGTACTTAATACGTTGTCTACGTTTCTGTTAGTATTTTCCTACGAATCTGTTGTCTCAAGGTTAGAGAGGTGACCCCACTAGCGTTTTGCTTATAGGCATGCCCTTGGGCCCGATTACTCGGGCTACGGTGGTCATTCTCTCTGAACTCGGATGCAATTTTTCTGGGCGCGGGTTACTTTCCCCTTCTGATCGTTCGTTTCGATGATTTCTTTTAGCCTACGGTGAAGCGTCTAAGGGGAGAGGTATTAGAGTTTGCGCCCTTGGAAGCGGAGAAGAGGGCTGAACATAGAGAAATACGCTGGATATCCTTGGATGGAGACCCAAGTTCAGAGAGAATAACTAACAGTAAAAAGTGCCTGTCGGATATTTGTAGCATTGTTCGGGGTGAAACACCCGTTTCGATGTGTGATTTGTCTTTTCGTGATCCTGATTCTTTTAAGTCTGGTGAACTCCGTACATGCATTGACCTCTGGAAGGATATTTTGGAGGGTTATGACCAGGCGGAAAATGTCCTTGAGTGGATAGGAAAGGGTGTAAATATCAGGGAATTTATGAGGCCGTTTCGGGGGTCCTTTATGGGTGTCAACTATGATAGCACCGATCCCCCATCGAGGGCCTTCAAAAACCACCACTCTTGTAAACAGTTTTCGCAGTTTGTTACGGAGATACTTTTACAGCGCATCGAGACTGGGGCAATCCGTGTCTAGGGTCGGGTTGGGGACGTAAGCCCGCCCCACTTGGTCCTCCCAATGACAATCGAACCGCAGAAGCCCAGATTATGTATTGACGCCCGATTCTTAAATCTGTGGATGAGGGATACCCCTTTCTCTCTTGACGCGCTCGTTGGAGTTCCTCGCTTCGTGTATCCTAACTCTTACATGAGCAAGATCGACGACAAGTCTGGCTATGATCATATTCTGCTTTCCCCTGAGTCTCAGCAATATTTCGGCATCGCGTGGCAGGGGTGGTGGCTAGTTGGTGTTACGCTCCCGTTTGGTTGGAAGAATTCCCCCTTTGTTTACCAAACTGTTGGCTTGGGTCCAACGAATTTTTTTCAGGAACTTGGGGGTGGCATGTTCTCTTTACATTGACGATTGTTTAAATGGGGAGTTGTTTTCTTCGGAGGGTTTTTGGTCGCGCCCCATTTCTCGGAGAACTCCGGATTACAGTTATCGGTCTGCGATGGTGGCCTTGCATATAGTTTGCAAAGTTCTTGTTGGTTTGGGTTATTTCTTGGGTCTTGCTAAATGCGTTCTGGTCCCTGCGACTCGGATCCAATATTTGGGAATGATTGTCGACTCTGCAGCGCAAGCTTTTTGTATACCCAAAGACAAGAAGTTGAAGTTTGCTCAACTGCGGGAACAGATACTCCTCCGTGAAGCCACTGTTTCCTCGAAGTCGCTTCAAAGATTAATGGGGAAATGCATTTCCTTCTCACTGGCTTTTCCTGGGGCTAAATTTATATCTGGGAGATGGCAGCGTCCATAGCGAGGGCGTCTAATGGTAGCGAGGTAAAGATATCCCCAGTTTTGCGAGAGGAGATTTTGTTCTGGAGGTTCCTGGATAGTTAAGACAAAGTGGTTCGATGGAGAAGTGAAAGTCATGTGGCAATTTCCTTTACCTCGGATGCATCCTCCTTCAGATGGGCAGCGGTCATTCATCTTCCCTCCCGAACGCTTTCGGTTGGTGATTACTGGGATGAAGACATCCGGGGCGAGCACATAAACGTGAAGGAAATGTGGGCCGTCCTCAAAGGTCTACAGTCCCTCCCTGAAGATATCCGCGATTGCCGGATTGATGCACAAGTCGACAATATGGTGGCCATCCATTCGTGGTCGGGGCGGGGACCGCGCTCGAGGGCCTTAACGCAAATTTCACAACTTATTTTCCAGTTTCTGGTGGCCAGAAATCTTTCTCTTGACATGTCTTTTGTTCCCTCCAACTCGAATCAGGCGGATTGGTTTTCTAGGAGGTTGTCTCCCTCGGATGCTATGCTTTCGCCGACATCTTGGGATCTTGTCCAGCGCCATTTTGGGGGCGCTAACGGCCATGATCTTGATCTCATGTCGCTAAACTCTAATGCTCAATGTGATGGGAAAGGGAACCCGTTGAGGCATTTTACCAATTATCCTACCCCTGGCACGTCTGGGGTTAATGTTTTTAATCAAGACCTGTCGGTGTGCGATGGCACCCATGTAAACGCTTATGTTTTCCCTCCTTTTTCATTGATTGGCCCTTTGCTGCGCCTTTTTGCGTCTGCAAATGCAGCTGTTACAATTGTAGTTCCAAAATTGTCCCCTTTGCCTGGTTGGTGGCCATTGCTAAATGTGTTGGCTACCCGCAGAGTTTTAGTTGCTAAGAAGGGGTCGGCCGATGCGCTCCTCTTCCCTTCTCGACATGGTTTTGTACCCCGTTTATGCCCCTATGACCTCTGGGCGTTTCAAATTGCACGCTCCTCCTCCCGGACGACCTAACGGGTATGTTTTCCTTTCAGTCTTTACCGATTGTTCCCAGACTGTTTCAACCGTCTGTGTCTTGTCCAGTTTGCGCCAAACCCAATGACTGTGATTTCCGCTTCTGTCAGAGGTGTGGTTATCAACGTCAGAAGAGAGTTTCCCAGGCTTCTCCTCACCTTAAAGCTCCTGTCAATTTGTCCGTTATAAGTGCGCGTAAGCAGTGTTTGGTTGCTAGGCAACGCTCTACGCCATACCAGAAACAGAAAGAGTGCCTTAGAGGATGGGTTTATGGATTTCCTCGGATTTACTTCACAACGGCCATTCCTGATGATGTCGTCGATTTCTTGATTAGGAAGGACAGTTTTGGTAAAACGGTGGTACATTGTGATACGTGTCCGTTCTTTGGAGAGGGAAGTAATTCGTCCTGTTCGTGCCCTAAACGCTTGGCGTATGGTTCGGTTGACTCTACCATTGGGAAACTGAGAGCCATTGTCAACAAATATGGTAGAACTGCCATTGATGGCCCTTTTCTCGGGCTCGCTTATCCTGCAGCTTCCCCTGAGGTCAAGTCCTATTTATCGGCCATTAGAGAGGAACAGTTGGTTGCACGGGTTGTCCCCAAGCAAGCTGAGCCTTTCTTTTTCAGGGATTTGGTGATCTTGTCGCCTGAGATACTTCAGCGCTTGAACACTGACCTTCGTTCTCCATCACAGTTGTATATTTTAGCACGGGATCAAGCGTTTTTTAAAATACAGTTCTTTGGCGGTGACAGGGCGGGGGACTTGGGTCGAGTACGAACGCAGGAGATGCTGTACTTCCCCAACAACCAGGGCTTGTTGTTCAACCACACCTTGACGAAGTCCCTGCGGGATGGTGCTTCGAATCTTTTTGGCCTTAAGCGTCATGTGGATCCGACAGTGTGCCCGGTTACCGCCATGGAGGTTTACGTTAATCTTTGCGACTTATTAAAGGTTCCTGTTCGCCTTGGATTTTTGTTTCGACCTTTGAACCCATCAGGGGAGGTTCTGCCTGCCCCTTTTGGGTCTGCTGCAGCCCAGTCGCGATTATCACTGTACGCTAGCCAGCTCCCGGACTTGGCTAATCGGAACGTCACTCTGCACGGTTTAAGAAGTGGTTGTGCGATTTCTCTTGCGCTGGCCGGAACGAAACTTGATCAGACCATGGACCATGTGTGCTGGAAATCATCGTCCACAGTACTGCACTATAATAAACTGAATCAAGTACTTAGCTCTGGTGGCGCTGCTGACGCCCTATCTTCTTTGACTTTAGACTTAGCTGACGCTTATAAGGAATATAATGATTTGCGGGGTTTTACTAAAGCCTCCACTTAGAAGTTTTCGCCTCTTGCAGGTCATTAGTTTAAGGGACTTGAACTTAAGTTAGGGTTGGGGATGTTAACGCGTTTAAGGATTGGGTAGGTTTAGGGGGTTTATTTGGTGTGCTTGGATGATCTATTAGGGTAATTTCACAGTGGTAGGCGCAGTCTAGGTTGACTTTCCCATAACTAAATGCTAATGAGTATGCAGGAAGGATATTGAACTATTCAAACCTTATTAATATTCATTAGACTTCGTGCATACTGTATAAGCATGTGTTGATTATTCATAGTTGTCAGTTTGTCTAACTTTGGTTGGATTCGCACCGCCCTCCCACCCCTCCTGTGTACTCTATTAGCACCTACTTGTCTTCCCCAGCGGGTTCGCTCGTCTGGGGTGACTTTCCCATAACTAAATGCTAATGAGTATGCAGGAAGGATATTGAACAAGTTAAGGCACCGTTAACCGAGAAGACCTGGGGACGAGGTTGAGTTGTTTTGGATGTGAACTTGAAAAAATGGCGGACATTTCACTCGTTTCAAGAGTAAGAACTAGGCGAAAAAATAGCTAAAAACATGGCAAGAACAGTAAGAAGACAATTCGAAGGGCGGCATCTGCTATTTGGAGAATATTTGCGGAGCAGGACAAACCTAAACGTACACTATCGAACATGAACTGAACATCGATGGATCGATAGAGGTAAGCATGTTTTAGCTATGTTTTTAAACTAGGAATTATTTTGAATGAATAATAAAACAGTTATTGAATTCGGCTTTGGCATCACATGAAGAATTATGGAGTCCTCGATCTCCATAATTCTTCATAAGATACTCAGCTTCATTCATTAACTGTTAAATAACTTACAGCATACTTGGTTATCCACCAAAATGGATCCAGCTGGGCAGGGTGAACCACTGTATAGCAGGTACTCTGGGAAAAAAAATAGAGAATAATCTTTCCATTCCAGATCTAGGTTTCAAGGTTGTGTCCGCATGCGTTCGGCGGCTCACAAGCTTGCAGACCACCGTTCACGTATGGACGGAGGCTTTTAACACACACGTTTAAGGACTTGTGAGACACAAAGGAGAGTGTCTTCCTTAAAGAATTACAGATATACAGATAAAGGTGGCGACAACAGGTATCCTTTGTAATTCGTATTGTATATTACTTGTAGTAAAGGACTATATAACAAAAACAATAACAACATCATTTCTAACTACCGTTTCTTTCACTGCCATTTACATCTATGGATTAAATCAGGGAGAATGTGATCCTTGCGGTTATTTTAACAACCTAAGCAGTTGTACAGAACCTATACAGGGTGTCCCAAAAGTTCGTTCCTCTACTTTATAAGTCTGTATTTCAGTACGATTAGACTTGGTAAGCAAATCATTGAAACAAAATTTGTCTCTCAATCGAATTCACCATTTTCATACTTGCTGTGCCAATTTTTTGACTCGAATATTCGATTTGTGCACTTCCGCGCGAAAGGTGCGCGTGCGCGAGTATATTTTCCAGCCACATATTTTTTGTATTCTATAGCCCGAATTGCTCGAACTCCTTCCTTGTTTTTTGTGAATATCACGAAAGATAAATCCCCTCAACGCAAAAACCTTCAGCTATTTTAAGGGAAGAGCATTTATATTTCGATTTACTGGCTTATCTGTCGTAGAAACTGCTAAAAAACTGGAAAAATCCGAATGTTGGATGGTAAAATGATCATGAAGGAATGAAGGTTTTGAAGGCAAGAAATGAAGGGAAAGACCAAAACTCCAGAATAAAGCAGCTAAACAGTTTTAAAGGAGGCTAGATATATAAAAAAGGAGACAACGAGAAAGCTCTCACATTAGTTAGCAAGCCAAGCCCAGAAAGGGTCATGAAAAGCTGTTTAAAATATTTAAAATTAAAGACCCCTGAGTTGGTTAAAAAACCTCTGCTTAGTCTGCCAAGTAACGCCCAGGGCCCAGTTGCTCGAAGCATGGTTAGCGTTAACCAGCGTTTAATAGTTTGACAACGCATTGGTTTTGATACTGCTTAACCAATGGTTAAAGCTGACCATGCTTTGAGCAACTCAGTCCTACTCGTCTCAAATTTGTAGGGAAGTACAAAGTCTTGCCGTAGAAGGAGGCCGGGATGATTATCTTTTTTGTATGAATGCCCAAAATATATTTTTTTTTCCAGGTGCCTAAACTTAACCAAAACTAAACTAAACAAATATTAAACTAAAAAAATATTGTTTGGGGGTTGATCAAAAATTGTGGTGCATGAATTTAGAGGAGCGACCTTTTGGGACACACTGTACAATTTCTCAGGTTCTTTTTAGCCGCTGAACCGCTAAACCGTTCATTCAACTGCAAGGATCCCGTCCACTTTCATATCTTCATTCCAGTTCGTTTATACATGATTGGCCTGCTGTTCAGCTGGCTTAATAAGCTTAATTAGCAAGTTATCGCAAATATCCGGTTTACTGTATAGCCTTTTTTTTAGGTTCTTTTTCAATTACTTAGATTATTCAATACACCATTTGCACGATGACGTAATTTTACTACTACGACCAGAATCCTTCACGTCTTTCCTTTCATATTCAAATTTGGTAAATCCCAGTGAGGTTTAAATAACAATTGCACAAGAAAGTAGAACCCTGAAGGATTCTGGTAGTCGTAGTAAAGTGAATGCGATCGTGTAAATGGCCTATTAACTGCGAGGATCACATCCACATACAATCCGCTGTTGGCATATTATATGATTTACCTCGAAATGTAAGTAATCAACTTACTCATACAATCCAGTTTTCCTCCAGGCAATTCGGCTTTCGGAGTAGCAAAGGACATCCATTTATTGTCTTCGCACCTGTATGATGGATTTATAAACAGGCCTGTGTAACCAGGTGGTTGTGGATTGAAGAAATACCCTTGATCGCAACTCAGCTGCAGGAAAGTCCCAAAAACATTCGCCCTACCATGACTTGGTTGCGTTGGCGTTGGGCAAGTTGATCCTGCAAAACCGAAGAATAAAAACAAAAGTTAGTAGTTTGTTCGTTAATGAATAACATATATGCATAAAGGCGGGGCCTGGTGAAAGTGAGTTACAGTTTAAGGCGGGTTTTCACTAGCAGGGGAGTCGCAGTCGAAGTCGTAGTCGCAATCCGGGATTAGTAAGTTATGACCTAGTGAATACCATAAATGATCGATTAAGCGCCGCGGCCCTTATTTCATTTCCCCTGTTATGGGTGCGGCGCTTATTTCAACTACGGGTGAAATACTGAGGGGAATATAGAGAGAATCAAGTGAGGTGCATACTGAGTATGCACAATAAAGTATATAGAGAATACTTCATGGAAAGTGCTGGCGTACGGTATTTACGCACGAGTTGTTGACGTATCAGAAATCGAACGAGTGAGCGCAGCGAACGAGTAAGATTTCTGATACAAAAACAACGAGTGCGTAAATACCGTACAAAGCACTTTCCATGTGGTATTGTGTTTATTATATACATACTGAGACATTCATCATTTTGGCGGTATTTTTATTTTAAATCTTTCAAAAATGCTAAAATTTGCCGCTACACACTTACCGCAAAATCACAACGAAAACGAAGTATCAGCTTTTTAGTAAAAACGTTTGTTAAAAACATAAATGACGGTGAGGATATGAGGTAATCCAAGAACTATAAGTAATCTTCACTGTTCCTTCTCAATGCACAATTGAAAATGAGTGAATTTAAGTAAAATGGCCGGTTTCAATATAAGCTTAAGCTTAAATGAAAGGCAAAGTAGCTCAGACAAAAAGCACAACAAAAGCTTACGTCTCGTTCTGTTTATCCCTTTCCGCTGTTGTTTCGCCTGCTCTCTACCGTTTTCTTTATCGACAGTGAAACAAACGAAACTATTCCACTCCATTTCCGAAATGTTTTTCACTTTTTTAGCGAGAAAAACTCTTTGGGTAAAACTTTTCTCGTTGAATGTGTGCGAAGCGGCGCTGCAAGCTGCAATAAAGGGCGGGAATTTTGGCGCGAAACTCACACACCTCTGTGGCTTCTGATTGGACGTATCATTTTTCTCACACGTGAAAAAACATCGTTCGCGATTCTGATTGGACGTATCATTGTTTTTACGTGTGAAAACCATCGTTCGCTCCTCTGATTGGCTAGAACTAATTTGCGTACGAAAATTTACGACATAGCTTTTTGGTGAGTATTTCTCAGTATGTATATAATAAAAAATATGTACACCTCGAACTGTTATATGAACTGGGTTTCAAGAGTTTCTCTACATAATAATAATAATAATAATAATAATAATAATAATAATAATAATAATAATAATAATAATAATAATAATAATAATAATAATAATAATAATAATAATGATAAGAAAACTAACTACAAAATCCGGCCTATTTACTATTAAATTTTGCTTAAAAAAAACTATCCAGTACAAGTACTATTTACAATTCATTTCGATTAAAAAAACCCACATAGTTCCGATTAAAAAAATTCATTTCAATTAAAAACCGTTATTCGAATACTAATACTAATACTAATACTAATCAATACTAATACTAATAATAATTTTTAATAAATAATATTAATAATACAAAACTTTATTCATAGATTTAAAAAAATAATAGACTATTTACAGATTCAAAAATATGAAATATTAAAATATATACCCTATGTACATTCTTCTTGTGTACGAAAGAGAATTGTCGTAAAATTACTATCTAAAGACTACTAATAACAATTATAAAAAGCATCAAAAAGTAAATAAAAAGAATAAAAACTATTTAAAAATAACAATTCAAACTGATAAATAATAACATAATATAAATAACAATAATAATAATAATAATAATAATAATAATAATAATAATAATAACAATAATAATAAAGTGATGGTATCCAGCATAGCAAAATGAAAGAGAAGATAAGAAAAGAATATAATAGGAGAGTAAGGTTAATCCTAAGAACTGAGCTCAATGGAAGAAACAAAATAGAAGCTATCAATAGTCTTGCAGTCCCAGTTGTGCAATATAGCTTTGGCATCATTGACTGGAAAATCTCAGAACTGAAGAAGATTGACACAAAAACACGCAAACTACTGAACATACACAAGATGTTACATCCTAAAGCAGATGTGGAAAGGCTGTACATCCCAAAGAAAAGATGGAGGTAGGGGCCTGATTGATGTAGAAACAGCATTCAAAACTGCAACAATAGGGCTTGATCACTATCTGAAGCACAAGGAAGGGAAATATCCAAAGCAGGTGCTTGAACATGAAAGATCTAAAGCCAAAAATTTAATATCCAAGAATGCTACTAAATTCAAAAGGGAAGTAACAATGCCAGAGATTGAGTACAGAGAAGATAAATCTGCCTCTGAAAATGCTAAAGCCATGAAACACGTGTTTAAGTCCAGGATGAAGTCAACGAAAGAAGAAAAGTGGAAAAACAAAGCATTGCATGGTCAGTATCCAAAGATCCTAGAGAAGCCTCATGTAGACACAGTCACTACCAACAAATGGTTGTCAAGTAATTTGAAAGGAGAAACAGAGGGACTACTTGTTGCAGCTCAAGACCAGGTAATAAACACCAGAAACTACCAGAAAGTAATATGTGGCAAGCAAGTGGAGAGCAAATGCAGATTGTGTTCGCAACATGAAGAGACAGTGGAACATATTGTATCTGGATGTGAGGTATTAGCCAAAACAGAGTACATCTCCAGGCACAATAATGCTGCAGCATATCTCCATTGGAGCATATGTAAAGATCATGATATAGAGATTACAGACAAATGGTACGAACACGAACCAGAGACCGTGATACACAATAAAGATAACAACATCACCATCATGTGGGACATGCCAGTCAATACTGATAGAACTATAACAGCGAACAGACCAGATATCATCGTTAAAGATTCAGTGAATTCCACCTGCAAACTTATTGATATGACTGTTCCATCAGATAGAAACACCGCACTGAAGGAAACTGAAAAAAAATGCAAGTAATAATAATAATAATAATAATTTTATTTATATAGCGCTAAAATCCAATAATTGTCCAAAGCGCTACCTAATTACAAAATAAAATATAAAAAATGAAAAATATAAAATATCTACAATATACAATATAATTCAAATATAGCCTAAGTTATCTACCATATAAATCAAAAACATCTCAAAACAAAAGGAATCTCATAACCTATATGCTAACTTAAATAAAAAAGTTTTAAGGGATTGCTTAAAAGTTGCCACTGAAGCACATTTCCGAATCTCTAGAGGTAAATCGTTCCACAATTTAGGTCCTGCAATAGAGAAAGCTCTGTCTCCATATGTTTTCAATCTGCTTCTTGGAACCACTAAGTATTCTTTACATGAAGAACGCAATGACCTAGAGTATGTTTTAAAATTCAAAAGGTCAGAAATATAAGAAGGTGCAAGGCCATGAAGGGCCTTGTATACCAATAAAAGGACTTTAAAAGTTATTCTGAACTCAACTGGTAACCAATGAAGATTAATTAAAATAGGAGTTATATGAACATGCCTCGGTGTCAATGTGACAACACGAGCTGCAGCATTCTGAACTGCCTGTAGTCTAGCTAACAGATACTTAGGAAGGCCATGTAATAAGGAATTACAGTGATCAAGTTTCGAACTAATAAATGCATGGACTAAGATTTTACATGTATCTTGGCTTAAGTACTTGCGGATTTTAGCAATATTTCTCAAATGATAGAATGATGATTTACAAATGTTCTTAATGTGCTCCTCAAAACTAAATATGCTATCAAACTGAACCCCTAAATTACGAACAGAGTCACGAGGTGCAATGCACTCAGAACCAACAGTAATGTGACCGATGTCAGGCATAGGATGGAATCTGGAACTGATGACTACAAGGTCCGTTTTGTCCTGGTTTAGTTTAAGATAGTTTCTTATCATCCATTCATCAATGTCCCTCACACAGCATTCCACTCTCAACTTCACTACAAAGACCTAGAACTAGAAATACAGAGAATGTGGCATATGAAAACCGTAGTGATCCCTGTGGTTGTTGGTGCGCTTGGTACAGTGAAGAAGGGTATGGTAGAAAACATCAAGAAAGTATCAGAAAGAGCTAATATGACAGAGATTCAAAAGATCTGCATGCTGGGATCTGCACGAATCCTCAGAAAGGTGCTCAGTGTATGAACAGAATGATTGACTTGAGTGACTGACGCTCTAGGTGCATGGTTTGCGCCCGGCTGATGCACAAAAAGAACACCAGCAAAGACTGTGATAATAGAGACAATAATAATAATAATAATAATAATAATAATAATAATAATAATAATAAAGACCATTTCTTTTTAAAAGTGTCTAAAGAATTATGGTCTTTTGCAATTTGCCTTTCTATTTCCACAGTACGTTGAACTGTTTGTATGTACAGTTGGACATTTGGGCGCGTATCTCTTTGTTTACAGGTGTAGGTATAATGCCTGGCAATAAGTAGTAAATGGTGCAGTAGTAAAGCTTTTGCATCGTTAATTAAGCCAAATAAGAGAGCTCCCGAAAGGTTGAATTTTTCTACTTTGGAGGTGTTTTGCATTATCCATTGATAGCAGTCTTTCCAAAAGGCGTTAGAGTATTTACAGCTCCAAAATAAGTGAACCAGGTTTCCCTTTGCTTCTCCACAGAAGGTGCAGGAATCAGACTGTTTAATTCCTATTTTTTTTTATAGAAAATCATTGGTTGCAATTCGTCTATGTAGAAGTTTAAACTGAAACTCTCTCTGCTACTTCTTTTTCTAGTTTTCTACAATTTTTGTAATTTTTCCTTTGTATGTAAATATGAAATAAAGTGTTGTTGTATAAAATAATAATAATAGTAATAATAACAATAATAATAATAATAACAATAAGTGTTTATAATGGACAAACAAACATATCCCATGTTACAAAAGGTACGTGAAATGGCAATTAAAATCTAATAAAGTTAAAGAACTAACTCGTATTTAAAAAGTAGGCCGTTTACAAAAGGACACGATGAAACGCTCCAACATTAAAACTTTATAACTCACAAGTTGGTCGAAGTCTTATTTCTCAAGCGATATGGGTTTGATATCTCTTTATATCAAGCGCCATAACAGGGGAGGGGGGGGGACCGTTAATTTGTAAATTCCAATAGTAGCGTCACGGCGCTTATTAAATTATTTCCTGTAAAGATGCAGCGCTTATTCGAGTAGTGGCGCTCAGTAGATCAGTGATTTTTAAACTCGACTGAATCGGACCCGCAAGAAACAGAACGTTTCCATTTTCTTTGAACTCCCCTCTTTAATCCGTTTAAAGTGGAAACCAACCTTCATCACCTTATTCATAAACGAAGAGAGTTTACTTTACAATCCGCCTCTCTAAGAACAGAGATAGACTGCGGACTGCAACTTGAGTGCAGGCGAAGAGAAAATGGAACGACTGACAACCGACGATAACGTAGACATACTGCCCCCGGACAAAGGACGGATGACCGTTGTCATGGACAAGAAAGACTAAGACAAACGACCGACCACGACAAAAAATAGACACACTTGTTAATTAAAACCACATCTACGAAGAACTTACAGGAGACCCGACAACCGCCCTGAACTCAAGCATAATTGCCAATAACTGCTTAGACTGAACTAAAAAATACTGTCAAAGTCGACTTGACGTTACAACAGCTAAGATGTAGTGACCTGCAGCCTTCTTAGCTGTGCATGTATGGAATTCCGAAGCTACAGACCCAACATACCTATGCGACCCAGAGTATCACTCTGGGTATTATAGAAAAACAATCACATATTATTAATATTATGGAAAAACAATCGCATTGTCCACTGGACAGAGATTTATCCAGCGGATAGCGCTGAGAGAGTTGTTGCGTAAATTACTGATTTTCACTCATGGACGTAAAGGGTTGAACCCACTATAAGATAAATTAAGAGAGGCCTTTGAAAAGCGACGTTTGACGTGATGGATAAAAATGACATGGTAGAGTGAAGACCCATTATTGCTGCTATACCTTCCAAGGTGATGATGAAAGTGCAATAAACAATGTTTCCTGCCGCATCAGAAGCCGTGTATCGCACTGTTAGTGATGTGTAAGTATCCATGGTGAATCCAGGTTCGCGATTGGACAATACGCTTACCACGGCCACGTTATCAGTGAATGTTGGTGTTGTCCACGTGATGTCCTTTTGTAGTGAGTTGCTGCGATCAGTTATATTAGAAGGACAGTTCTGCACCGAGGGAGGAGTCACGTCTAGGAGAATAAAATGATCAATTAAAACCTCTTAACTTAACTTAATGTTTTTCCACGTTGACATGGGGAAACTGTTGGCTTCCAGGTCGGGCAAACGGTGCGCCAAATTTTAAAATAGAAAATTATGTTGGGGACCGGCCACATACATGGCTATTTGCACAATCACTCTCATTCCCAGAAAGGCATCCACTCTTTAAGCTCCGACTGGTTATTTAGCTCATTTGGGTGGACCCAAGGCTAGGGATTTGGTTTGATTCTGGGTGGGACTCAAGACCTTAAAAGTAAGAAGCGAAAGGTGCTGCCTACTGTTCCACACCAGTCTGTAAATTATTAAACCTTCTAATCTTCTTGGATAAGGATTAAAACCACATACCCCGTCGGGATCATTTTCACTCATCTGACTACAAGACAAAAGTAATAAATTACCCCTTTCAACCCCGTGATCCACATACAAATTCTCAAAGCTGATCTCCATTCATTTTGCACCCTCTCTCCCCAATCCCCCTCCTTTTTCCTCCCTATCCCCTACCCGTTTCGACGCCTGCTTCGCAGGCTATTCATTTTGTTAACCCTTTCACTGGCAAATGTGCCAAAGGTAAAATTCAACAAAAAATCCCAAATTTCATTTTGTGAAATCTTGAAAAACAAGTAGCACCATGTGTAAGTACAGGTAGAGAGGTTTCACTTGAATGGTCACTCCATAGGGTTTCGTCCACATACTCAAAAGTTAGAGTTACCTTACAAAACTCCATCAAGCACTCCGGCAGTGAAAGGGTTAAAGAATGAGTAGAGAGAATTTATATAGAGATCCACAGTTTTCCTATAGGTGATCATTTTATTGATCCTGGTGACCTTTCCCCCCAACTATGCATTGATATTGTTGGGAGAAAACTGATGTTGATCACTCTTGGCACTTGAAGAGCTAAGTAAGTAACAATTTCTAGAGTCGACCACCCCCTAGTGTCTAAAGGTAAATCTAAAACTAAATCTAAGAACGGCATGAAGCAATTTCTCACCAACAACAGTGATATGGAAACTGCAACTCTTTTGTATTCCACTGTCACTAGTGCCTGTCCACGTGACACGATGCCTGCCTACAGGAAAGGTATAATTCTCATTGTAGTTGCTGGGTGACACAACAACGTTAATCATGTTGGTTCTTGGAAGCTGCCATTTATAGCCTAGCACCACTGTCGACTTGGTTGGCTCAAGTTCTTCTACTCTATCGATTGGGCACACGATCCACGGGTCCTTGTACACTGTTGAAAGTTAAAAAATAGTGGAGGCTTGTTTTATTTAATTTTTTTTCCATTTAAATCTTGGTAATCAAAATCGATCAATTACATTATTTAGAGACTGCCTGAGTGTGACAATAAAACCAAACGTTCTTCCATTTTAAGTTTTCTTATAACTTTGACCATTCGGCCCAGAAAGAGTGACACAATGAGTAATAACCAGCATTTACGTCAATCCCGACCAATCAACGTGTTTCTCTGCAGACCGGCTGTACTATGAGACATTATAAACATCGAATACATCAAATGAAACTTTTTACCTCTCTCACAGGACAATGCTCCGATTTCGCTCCAGCTTGTGTCGTTCTGACACGTAGTGTATCTGGGACCTCTCAGCGCATACCCATCACCGCAGTAGAAAACACAGCGTGTGCCATATTCGACGTCCGTTTGAGAACAAGATGATGGAACTACCCCACCGTTGTCTGGTACAGTAAGTTTCGGGCAAACAACCGCTAAAAGTGAAAAAAAAACCTTCCAAGTTTTAATGTGTCGTTATTTTATAGAGTACTGGACAACTGAAGACGGTCACCTTCTATACCTAGTACTTATAGACTCAATAGAAATACATGAATCGCAGGACCTCGCGGAGCACTTCGGGGGAACGACAAGAAGTAGGAAAATAAGAAAATTTATAAATGGAAAAAAAGACTGAAGCTATCTAAAAGCTCAGGCGAAACAATTAAAATACGGAAATAAGAAAAGATAACAAGCAACGTCCTCATCTTTAAGCTGTTTCAGAAAGAAAAAAACTAAACAACTGACAGGTATTAAAAATGTAAATTTAAGGGGCGAGGAAAGCTAGTAAAAACTCGGAATTTTACAAGTAACTATATTGGCTTATTAACTTTTGTTACCCAGGTACTTTTAATCTTTTTATGGCTGGTATTTTCTTACGAATTACATGCAAGAATTATTTTTTTAAACAGGATCGTTAGTTCGTCAATAATCCTTTTCAAGTTTTGGAGTTAATGCCATGCCTGGATTGCCGGATTACCCAGGTGACCTTTATTCCGATAATACTTGAAGCGATCCAGCTCGAAGCCGCCAGGTTTACAGACAGAATTAAAGCAGAGCGCATGAGCATGCAATGTTTCGGTTACACGCTTTCCTGTTACTTGTTTAGATTGCTGGCGAGCATGATAACATGACGGTTAGCATTAAGTAACATCGGTTGAAGACAGATTGGACATCTTATGAGCTTTACACAACACATTATTCTCTTAACGTAACGAGACTCGAACAGAACCCCACTTTTTGCATGACTATTAAATGGTCGTCTCGTTTTGTGAGAATATAGAAAAACCTCGACCGGATAACTCGTGCTGGCAAATGCTATCACTTGTTTGCCCCCTGAAATACCACGTGACATTGCTTTTATCCCATCAATCGTAAAGCGCGGGCAAAGATGGCGGGTATCATGAATAAGGTCTATTTACTCACCCGTTACCCGGCATCACAATTCCTGGATTTCAGCTAAACCGGCTGGCTCCATTGGCGTATAATTTCGAAACTGCATTTTTACTGTGTTTTACTTATGTGCCCCTGCAAATCAAGTCAGCCCTGGGTACCGGACGAGCCAGGCTCATGTAGTCAGGCCCTAAACCTTCTAATAGGGCGGTAAAATCACGTCACAACTTTCCCTTTGTCACAAGGCAGCTGTTATACTTACGTTGACAATAGGGCACAGTTCCTTGCCAAAGTCCGTCGATTTGACAGGTCAGTGAATTATCCCCACCTGTAACGTAATGTCCAGTCTCACAACCATAGGTACAAACCGTGGTACGCCGGATGTTCGCTCTCTCGTCTGTGCAGCTTGAGGGAGTGATGGAGCCACGGAAGGGAGCTTCCAGAGCAGGACAGTAAATTTCTTTAAAAAGATTGGTACGTAAAAGCGTTAAGTACAAAAAAAAAAGGAAACGCCACGCCAAAGATCTGGGTTCGGCTAATTCCACCCACAACCGTGCCCATGATTAGTACAAACAAACAAACAAAACTTTTATTCGCAAATTAGCAAGGAAACACTATTCAAGGCAGGGAAATGTAACCGTATTGAAAATGATGAAATGAGTCAACATAACAATGCAGAAGCTGATTTGTAGAGTTACACATTGGTACGTGGAGTTATTCTGCAATTCTTGAGCGTCATGCCTTTCTTCTCTTCGCAAACAGTAACAGTTGTTATTTTAAAACCTTTTGAAGGTATGGTTTCCTCATTCTTGTCATCTTGTTTCACAATTTTTGCCTCCATTTTTGGCCAGTCGAGTTTTCTTTAGGTTTTGGTTTCATACCTCACAATATCTACTCTGTTTGTGCTATACTGGATGGTTCAAACCTTTGGGAGCTTTTGAGTGACAGAATTAACCTATCAATGTACTCGGTACCTTCACATCCTTGGTCATCATCCAGTAATCGATACCCGGCATTACAGGAGCAGTAATATCCGCCTTCATAGTTGGTACACGTGTGTTCACAGCCGCCTTGATCTGCTATGATACATTCGTTGATGTCTAAGAAAGGAGATAAAGTATTTAAAGGACCAAACTCCAGATACTAACAGAACGAGATTTTTCGCATTCCCCACATTTGCTCACTATTAGGGAGCTTTAGCAACGACGGCGACGAGCACTTCAAAAACAGAAATAGGTTTGATAAGCAAAACATTAACTCTCCACGTACATTTTGCCACTACACGTCGACTACGACGTGAAATTACCCTATGCAGCGTTTTCACATGGAGCATGTAAGCACAAGACAATGAATGGTCCTTCTTTTTCTATATTTGGGTTTACATATTGTATATCCTTATCAGACCTTAGATCACCGTTACCTTCGCAACCTCTGTGGTCCGGTTTCAGTTTGAAGCCGGCCCTGCAATCACAGTTGAAACTTCCGTCTGTGTTATTACACACGTGTTCACATCCAGCGTTCTTCAAGCTGCATTCGTTAAGATCTGAAAGATAAAAAATTCAACTTGTATAAGCAAAGGTTAATTTAGGTTGTTAAGCGTTACAAAAAAGGTTTCCGGAGAATTCAGTTGGAAAGTAAACTGAACACTTTTTTTAGTCGATGCAGTGGAAAATTTCGGGGAGCAACGGAACATCTGATAGATCCGTCCTACACGGAATATTCCAAACGGATATTCGTGTTCCATTTCTTCAAAGCTACAATATCTCTGATACCAGTTTCAGGCCTTCGTGGCAGTCTTTCGGTAAATGAAAAATATTTCTACAAATGATTAACGCGATTCCACGACGAAATTTACCAGTCCTAAATTTTGCTTACCATTACCCAAACCGTTAACTTACCGGTTTGCCTAATACGCAGATGGTAAAACACCTCAGTTTCTTTGTGTTTAATGGATGAATTACCCCAATAGCCAAACACACTCAAGTTGTGCTGTCGAAGCACGCTTGATCAAAATGAAATTTATTGAACTGAACTGAAAGACTCCAACTTAGCGGGAGGCAGGAAATGGGAGGAGGGAAATGAAAGAAAGTCACATTCGAAATATGCAATGTTCAAGGCACCAAGAGAAGAGCTAGATAAGCGGTGATACTCTCAATTCGAAGCAGCTAAACCATTTCCATTTACCATTTTTTTAAAAAAATAATTGCTCTGCTGTAGTACGAAGTGAAATGTAGGGAGCCAGAAAATAACTACTGTGCAAGGAACAAATATGCAGATGTTTCTCACCTTCACACTCGAATTCACTGTTCTCTTTGAGTTCATATCCCTGTTTACATGCGCAGTGGTAGCTTCCAGGTGTATTGATACATAAACCAAGTGCGTAATCGCAACCTCCATTGTTAGACTGACATTCATCTTTGTCTGAAAATTTTGAAAAAAGAAAGAAATTCTAGGCCGCGAGAAAAAGACTAAAGACCCACTAAAAGAGAACATTTTTGACCCTACAAGACTGTTTCGTATTGTCACCGCCATTGCTTCGGAACCATAATATCATCTTGGATACTGCAGGTAACGGCGAATCGCATTACAAACAAAATATCATGACTAAAAAATTCATTCACTTTTCTCTTTACCAAAAAGAATTGCTTCCTCTTTGCTTTTAGTAATTAACGATGAAAGAAAGATCTTGCGCGTTGGGTTTTGAAAACGATCTTTTCGACTTTGGAGGTCAGCGTCATTATGAAATAATTCAGTTTAATAACAATAATAATAATAATAATAATAATAATAATAATAATAATAATAATCTTTTTTAATCTTTAATAATAATCTTTATTTCTTAAGATAAAATTACATATCCTAAGTTACCCTAAGTTACCCTTTCACTGCCAGAGTGCTGGATGGAGTTTTGTAAGGTAACTCTATGTGACCATTCAAATGAAAGCTCTCTGCCCGTACTTACTCAGGGTGCTATTTGTTTTTCAACATTTCACAAAATGAAATTTGGACATTTGGTCAAAATTTCCTTTTGGCGAAGTTTGGCAGTGAAAGGGGTAAGGAAAAAAAGGCCCTCCTTTCACAGCTAACCTGCTAACCTGAAAAGAGTAGCCCTACTGTATTATTATTTAGCCTTACATATTATTTAAAAAGAAGCTGACTAAATATCGGGATTTTATCCACAGTTATGGAATTTTGTTTGCCGGTCCGCATCCATTTTCAAGTTCAGTAAAAATCGAAACTGACATAGTCGAGTGCATTGAGTCTTAATCCTTACTTACCCATACAGGTCTTGGCATCATAGGCGAGAGTATAGCCGGGCCAGCAGCCGCACTGAACTTTCAGGTTACACAGGTTATAACAAAGCTGTTGACAGCCGCCGTTATCAAGCTGGCATAGGTCTGCCAAGGAACCTAGATCGAGGAGACACAGACTAGTGAGACAACTTAAACGGTGAGCTGCCTACCGAAGAACAAGAGTCAAAGGATGCTTTCGTATATTTTCATATATTTCATGTTATATTGAAACCTTTGAGCTGGTAGTTTAACACATGGGATTCGTCTAATCCTCACTGGACCAATCCTTAAAAGTAGAGCAAGTTTTTAAACGTCCGGTAAAAGATACAATTGACCATCGTTGAATACTTCCGCCGCAAAAAAATGTTTTCTGACAGGCTGGGAAACTGACACGCTTCCCTGTTTCTACCCTGTACCAACAGTTAAATATTTCAGATAAAATCAATAGTCAATTAATGAAGCTTCAGGGCGAGTTAGACCGAGAGATCTCCAGGCATGAACTTATGTCGGTATTCACGACACAAAATATTGAGAAACCGGCTGGCTCTTCCATGTTCGTCACATCAGCTACTTACCAACTCTGGAGTACACCATCACCTCACACATGGTCAAAATTCCTTCTCCAAACATCTGTACTGACACATATCGCCCTGGGATTGGTGGGTCGCAAGAAAGTGATAAAGCTGCTCCCTGGCCCACGGACGTAACTCGGTCAGAACATGTGGGATTCTGTAAGTTATCCGTGTTAACACCAATTCTCACTTCAAAATTCTTGAGTCTCTCGTAGTAGTCAAAACGATTGATGATCTTCACGTCTGCAAAGAGAGATAAATATTGACTCACAATCGCAAAATTAAGGTAAGCACGCATTTTTCGCCTCATTATGCTTTATTACTAAAAATACTAACACTAGTTTTAAATTGTAATTTTAAATCCCGGCCCCCTTAAGATCAAGTAGATTATCAAACAATTCATTCAACATCGTGCTGGGTAAAAACTCGACTTTGAATCATGAAAAATCAGCTGTGAAGAGGATCTTCAGACGGGCATACGTCTTTCGCGTCGATTAGTATATGATCTGATTGTGAATTCTTTTGTAAGAAATAATCAACTTTTGTCAAACTGTAAGCACCGTTACCTAGGTCACTTTGTTATTTCTTCACCGCTTCCTTGCAAGGATAAGGCTAAACTGTACCTATGGCATTTTTATTAGACTACCTCATGCTCTAACGAAACGGTTAGGATAACAAGAAAAAAAACATAGATGACACAGTGCCATTGCCACATCTGGCGGGATATCTTAGTCCACTTTTAAGTAGAAACATGACAAACCGTACCGCCCGAAGGCTAAAAAGGGTCCCTATTAACTGGCGTTATTTTTTATTTCAACTTTCAGACCAACTACGCATTTATTTGAATTCCATCGTTATGTTGTGCATTGCAGCTTGTCTCAGAGACAATGTTCATTTCGACGCTAAGGCTATATTAACACTATACCGGATCATAGACATTCATGCCCAGTGAACACTTTAACGAAACGTGACTGTGATTCCACTTTAGAGATCTGCGCGGCGCAGCTTCACCCCTTTACAGAAATCACGCAGAAATCACCGTTATTATGTTGAGCAGCAGCCCTGGCCTATAATGTATGGTTTTCGTGCCAGCGCAAACTCTATCCAGTATAGTACGGTGAACATAGCCTTATATCACACACCTGTGACAATGTACTCCCTTCCAAGGTCAACCCTCCACCATGGATTCTGTTCTTTCTTGGTGTGAGTACAAGATTTACTGCTATAATAAGGACCTAAGTTTTCATCTACTGCCCTGCTGCTGAAGCCATTGTAATCAGTACTGGATTGCGCTGTCGTTTTCCTTAAAGCAAGATCTGTTGAGTGGACAAAAGACGAAATCTTGAATATACAATCGCACTGCCAGTCACAATGTACTCCCTTTCAAGGGGATGACAAGCTAAGGCGCTGGCCAAAAACTTAACATTACCGCCCAATCTGAAAGACGTCATTATTTGAAATGAGACAAGATCTTAAATCAAGCCAGCATTATATTACCACTTGATTAAAGACCTCGAGGTGAGGAATGTAAATACAAGAGAAGAGGACTGAATACGTTCGTCATACTAGCTTATGCGGAAAGATAACCGTTAAAGTAAGCGGCCGTTAATGCAAACTGACTTACTTTTGTCGAACTTGGTACAAATGCTGACAACAGATTCGTCAACCACTTCAAACCTCTGGTCGAGTCTTCGCGTTGCAGCATTAAAATACGTGCACTTTTCCAAGTGTACAGTAGGATCAGCTGTTGATAGAAAATGACAATGGGATGTTTAAAACTGCAACGCAGATTTTAAAACTTATAAGCCAAAAATTAAAATACCTGTCATTAGTTGGCCATTTACACTTCAAGTCATCGATCGTATTATCACTACATAAACGCTAACAAAGAGGATCACTTAAGCCGGAAGAGCCACAAAAGTTTTTTGATTGTTAAAGGGCACCTTAGGGAGTCCTTCAGACCCCGAATTACACAGATCCAGGACAAATCTTAAACGGACAAATGTTTTACTCGCCCAATCCGTTTACACGGAACAGTGGAAATTCTGTTACAGCAATGTTTACACGAGTCCGTACGAATTTTTGCCATTGAAATGACTTTTTTTATCAAGGGCGAGTAACGTAGGCAAACCGTGACAAATTTGCACGGTCTAGGTGAGTACTACCTAGGTGAGTACTCGTGAAGTGGAACCGTACCGGTAAAAGAAATTGGCATTACTTCTGATCTTGCACACTTTGCCGATCAAAACTTACACGGTTCCGTCGGCCCCTTTCAAAACTTTGTCCGGACCCGTAGTAAACGGGGTCTTCATCTTGAACAAAAAGCCATTGTTGTATCAGGATAATATTGACGCTGAGAGGTATGAAGTGTCAAAATGGCGGCAAATTTGAACGTTTAAAAAAAATTCACGTTATGTTCAAATCGCAAATGGCGATTTTCCTGCAGAAGTTGTCGTAGTAATGTGTACTTTAACAAAAAAAAAAATAATAATAAAACTTTTGGGTTATGGGCAGTTAAAATCTGCAAATGAATCTGAATTTTTACTGTCTCTGAGAGAACATAGCTTCGACCAACAAATTGAAACGGGTTCCTTTGACGTATCTGTATAAAGTGAAACTTTACTTCCGTGTCTTACTTGGTATAAAATTGAACTTCAAGTGCTGCTTAAAGGTTGAATCGTCAGTGTTTTCACAGTTATCACCCAATACAATTTCATCAAAGTCTGGTGCCAGCATAGCCTAATGACGCAAGAGAGCAAAATAATCATAGTACACATGGTTTAAGGGACTTGAAACGTGAAAGGGTTGCTTTAAAAAGATCAAGGCAAGATCGGTCTTCAAGCTAAAACATGGGTGTAAAAGAAATTAAGACGGAATCCACCAGGAAATTAAGTAATTTTCAGTGGACAAAAACCTTGTACCAGAATAATTCAAAGAATATTGCATTATTTTTTTTACATTTTCCAAGGGCTAAAGATGTAATTAGTCATCTGTAATAACACCAAAGAAATTTCTCATGGCAGTCCGAGAAAATGAATGTCAAATTTCACAAGAACAGACCTGTTCGGCTAACTCAATGTTGTACCCAATTCAGATCTCCCGGGGTCAAGATTCTTTGTGCACTGTATTTGCATTATAATGTTGCATTCACATTTAAATGATATGTACAACATTTAGTTAGCCGAATAGGTCTATTGTGAAAACACAGGTAAAATTGTGAAAATTTCATGTGCAAGATGTAATTTTGTGAAATTTGACATTCATTTTCATTTTCTCAATTTCCTGGTGGATTCCGTGTTAAAGAGTTAGTTTTTGTTACCTGCAACGATGCCGAAATGCCTCGTTTCATAAATTGCTATTCATTTACTCGTTCTCCGAATACAAACTGTTTTTAATAACGACCTCAAATACACTTCAAGAGAGAATAATGGGACAGAGAGAGAGACGCCCAGTCTCGCCCTTGGGATTTGTGAATTTCAACAAGTTATTTTTAGATCAATTACACGCTTAAATAGGACAATTACACGATGACGATATTTGACTCCAACTACCAGAATTCGTTTCGGTTTTGCTTTGTTATTTAAATTTGTCAATCCCGCTGAGGATTAAAGAACAATAGCCTTAATTTGCACAAGAAAACAACACACTCAAGGATTCTGGTAGTTGTAGTAAAATGACGTAATCGTGCAATTGTCCTATTAATCAGAAGATACACCGACATCTTTGCCAGCTATAATTTAGGAAGCATGACACATTACGGACTTTTCTTTGACTTCCACGTCACTTATCATATTCACACGAAGTGGCCGAATATGAATGAAAACTTGAGCTTCTTGTCGTAATTTGCCCAAACACAGACTTGCAAGAAAAAAAAAAACCGACAAAGTAAATCGTTCCCGAAAGTGATGCGTGTACGATGCGACTAGATATTTATAGTTGTCTTCTTTTCCCACGATATCGCATTTCAAAGCAGCTTCGCTGAAGTGGTAATATTCACGAACAAACATAAATAAAAGGACGCTAAATTCATATTTTGGAAAGTTTTATTACAATTTCGATACGTTTATCTTAACAAGCCATTCGGGTTTCACTTACCGCCTCGTGAAGGAGTCAACATAAATATTTAATCAAATGTCGAGCATATGCAAACTCTGTGATTGGGAACGTTTAATGGTATTTTCGCAGCAGCTACCACAAGAGCCTTGGATACCTGAAAATTCTTCAGGGCCGTTAACTGAATTTCTTCAGTTCTAATACCGAAGCAGCAAAAGACTTTCGCGATGAAGTAGATATAAAAGAAGCAAAAAGTTTTGGTTTGATCAAAGAGCATGCGCTGTGAGGCCCAAATAGCCAGATTTTGTCTACTCCGGCGCAGAGTTTTCCAGAGCTTACGCGCGCATTCCCAAACCCGTAAGCACTGGGGTCGAGAATGGATCAAGACCACAGTGGATCACTACCACTGATGAAAGCTGAGCTACGGGGAACAATTTCAATAATGAAGAATACCCGAATTCAACCAACGGCAATCATTAGTGTGGATTGTAATACACCATTCAGAAACAGCCACGGTGCTTCTAATAGTCCCGCACAGCTAACAGATGCTATCAACTGATGTCAATATCAATTATTGATTACTGTAAGACAAACGATAAACCATGGCCAGCTATCATACGATAAATTTCGTTCTAATGAATACATTCAATAATAAACAATTGCGATTCTTTTAAGGTTCCTCAAATTGCACTTTCAAGATTAAAACTCACCCCTGATTTAGTATTGACGCATTTCTTGCTACCCACGTGCTGCAATGATCCTCCAGTTGTAAAACTAAACTGATGACCGCCACATGACGAGTACAAACCAAGTGCAACGCCATCAGTTACTGCTGCCACTGGCTGCACGCATTTTCCACTCTTGGTGTGGATCCAGCTACCACTGTCCAATTTAAACTCTACTCTGATAGGGGTGTGAAACAATTTGAATTTTTTCAATTTTGGAGAAACGTTTGTTTACAAAGAATGAAGTGGCTCGTGTCGGGCCTGCGTGTTAGTAGCTTGATACATCGCGGCCATAGCTTGAAATTGCACGGTTCTAAAACAAAAACTATACGCCACTTGCACATCTCCCATAAGGCACCTTATTTGCCACCCAAAATTTTGCATAAGCATTGTTTTCAATAGCCTGCGTGGCAGGCGCTTGGAAGTATTTGGGCGCAAGAAAGAAAGGGCGCGCGAGAGGGAGACACGCGAGGGGAGAGGGAGCGCCTGCCCGAGAGGCCCGATTGACCTCGCACAAACAAATCGTACAGCCAAGAAGCGTTGTACATTTATATCCTCGGTTTTAATATATCTGTTATAAAGATCAGCTAGTTGGTTATCTGATGATATAGCGACGGAGCAATAAACGGACTGTTAACACACAGCTTTAATTTTTTTTTTTTTTACCACGGGCACACTAAATACGAAGAACAGAGTCAAAAATGGGTATTTCTCAAATAATGCAGGCTGTGTATTATAAAAAGCTAAATATTACTCTCTCAGATTACAGAGTCACAACTGCACAGACACCGAAGATCGCAGCGTACGTGAAAAATGAGCATTGCTTTTGCTGCGCAATGTAGCAGTCGTTTTTGGAGCAGACTTGTGTTACTAAGCGGACTTAAACTTTCAGCGTACAAACTGTACCGAGACGTTTTTAAAGGCTGCAGAAGCGATACGTAAACACCAGTCGCCTTCGAACAAATAATAACAGTAGCAAAAGGTTTTCCAAATTCATGCCCCTGGTATATGTATCATTTCATCAATCCTGTCCAGGTTTTGATAGCATGCGTTCTGTTCTCTTTCAGCAAAGAAGATTATTTCCTATGCTCTTCTTTTCAACCATTCGACAGATCTTTTGTCTGTCGCTACTTCTACTAATGCGTCCTTGGTGCCCGTCAAATCTTTCCTTCGTAAATACCGCTGGAACACTCCAACTTTTCTTTTAGATTACAGCCACATAGTCCCATTGAACCATAGTAAAGTGACCTCCAAGATCTGAACTTTTATTATGCCATTTAGTATTTAGTGGTGTAATATAATATTGTACCTTGTCCATGTATTACATGTTTACCAGCGATCTCGTGTTTTCTTTGATTCACATTTTTTCACGTCTAACGCGAATACCTATCCACTTAACAGACTCTCAACCAACACGAAATTTCCGCACTCTCGGGAAGCGAGTTGAAACGATTTTCATGGGCTTCTCGGGTAGACGCTCGCTCTTCCCTCGCGTGTCTCCCTCGCGTGCCCCGTTCTTTCTTTTGCCCACTACTTTCAAACGCCTGCTCGCAAGCTATGTTTTCAATTTCTCTTGGGATGGCTGTAATACCCAGGAGAAATAAAAAACAAAGGTTATGCAAAATTTTGGCGGGCAAATAAGGTGCATTATGGGAGATGTGCAAGTGGCGTATAGAAGGCGTCGTCGTAGATACATGATAGGATCAAAAGTTGAAGGAGCTAGCATGGTTAAGCAATTTTGAGCTCTTTGAAAGCAGTAACAAAGGAAATAGCAGCAACTGAATCAAAAACTACAAAATTGCTGGGTAGAAAAACTCACGCTCATACCTTCTTAGTAAAGTTTTTCCAAAACCATTCGTAATATCAGAATCATGATTTAAGAGATAATTGATTAATTTTCTGAGTTGTTATTTTCATAGCTTGGTCAGACAATGACAAGCAGACTTTTATTAGGCATAAAATGTCAACAAAGATTCGCCCATAGTTTTGGAGGATACAATTACCGCTTCAACTCGTTCTAATACTCAGTGTTTGAAAATCCCAAGACTCTCCCTTTTTTTAAAATAAACATTAATAGGATGAAATATCCTGTGTGTAAGGTTTACGTACCGGTCCATATTACAACTAGAATAAAGTTCTATTCTTTCTCCATCAGATACACTGTCACCTCCTCCAACTGGACGGATGCATTTTAAGGAACCAAAGTGAACTAAGGAGCCTGGTCCATTCACACTTGTTGATCCTAAACAATCAAAAATACGAGGTTTAGAAGTTGCTATGAAAACTGCGACAACAACAACAACAAACTTTATTAGGAACACATCAACAAGACAACAGAGTTTAATGTTTAATGTTCCCCCGCAAATAGGAAAATCTAATCGATGCGGGGGAAGGTAAAAAAAGAGAAAGAAATATTAATGCTATTAGAAACAAAAAACAAAACAGAAAACAAAACCAAAAAGCATAATGAGAGCAAAAAAATAAATCAAATAAGTAAATTCTTGATAAAGTATATACAGTATATAACACATTATATCACATCAAAAGTATAGTATTTTTAATTAAAATGTCCATAAATAAACGAATAGATTGATTAATGAGTATTTAGCAATGGAATCGTGATCGTACAAAACAGTTTCACCAATCTAGTATGTTTCAAAATATAAATCTTTTTTGTTCGTGAACATAGAAGAGGATGATAGCCACCAGAAACAGGGGAAAATTTTGGATGCGAACTGCAAACATGAAATAAACACTGACCTAGAGTCCAGCACATATCAGCTCTTCGTCTTTTGATGGACCTAACTGCAAGATCACACTGGAAATTCTGATCATCTTTCCTATGGTCGCATCTGCTTTGGATCAACTTCGAACCTTGGGATGCTCCGTTTGTGTCAATACACAACTCCGAATACAAATTCTACGAAGCAACGACAAATGGAGACACCTTTAAAGATTTAGAATGTTACGCTCATTTCCTAACAGCAAAATTTACTCAGGCTTAACATCCGACTAGCAGAGCCTTCTTTATTTTTTTCAGTTCTGACTAAATTGACTCAAGCCATTGAAGTCGCCGCAGCCCATACCTCTGGACTACTCAATCTTGATTTCTCCTGTCAAACTAGTAGTTTTTCGAGTGCGTGCATCTTTTTATTGATAAACCGATATTTATAACTGAGCCTGCTGTACCAAACGCATAGTTATTATGCCTGGTTTCGAAACTGTATCCTATCAACATGCATTTCATGCACAACGAAGATCTTACTCGATTCACGCAGATACGCCAAAATCAAGCAAGCGAAATAAAAGCTCTACTCAGAAAGAGCTATAACTTAGCCCACAGCCTTCTTAACAGGCGTATTTTTCAGCAAGAAATTTCCTACCTTAATTTGCCCTTTCGGTGTATAATACCAGGTCTGTCTGTCGTCCGTGTCATTGCATCCCGTCACTTTAATGTAGGTACCTTCTGTTTTGATGTCCACATAAAGACAAGGTCCATATCTGTCGTCTGTGGCTGACTGCTGATTCTCAATCATGAAGTGTTCTTAAAAGTTGAAAGAGGTCGGTCGTTTAGAAATGGAGACATGAGTAGTACCCTCCTTTGAGTCCCTTAACTTTAGAGTCATAAATTTTACAAAACTACTGAGCAATAGGTTTCTCCTAATGGGTGTTTTAGATTATATACCTGAAACTAGCACCAATATCTCTTTCTCGACAGTGAAGTGAACGTTCTAGGGTCAAAATGACTAGAAATCGTAACCGTAATCCATCATTGGGTGTTGTATCTACGGGTCATTATAAATACTGAATGTAGCCTACATTGTTTCGCTTATGCATTTATAAAAAGGTGCTTCGTACATTTAAGTTTGCTTATTGTAAACTATTACTCTTCTGAAGGCAGCGCCAGCAGTTCCACCAGCCATGCATACATTATGCTAAACTGTTGAAGTTGTACTTCTAAAACCTTAGTCATTTATGAAAAGAAAACAAAGAAAATCTCTGCCGAATCAGGTATTACCACTAGGAAACACCGTACCTGCATTTCAATTTAAAACCTTGGCAGTGCCTCGTATGTTTGTTTGTTTTTTAATCCATTCGATGTTTGAATATTTTATAAAACATTCATTATGGCGTCTGAAATATTACCTGAAAGCTGGAAGTCAACAGCAGGGTTCGGGTTATCGTAATAGTTCTCTGAAGTGTCTGTTGGATTTTTTTTGTTCATCTTGTCCTTGTACCAACTAGTGGCACTATCCGATCCCGCTAAAAGACTGTCTATAATTGACTGCCGGCTGCTCAGTTTCAGAGCGATGGAGAGGTAAAGGTTTTTTCCAAATATGGTCATGTCTACACCAGCGGCAAAAGTCACGTCTGGGAAGCCTCCACCAGCGTATGTTGCCAAGCCAAACTCAATGACAATGCTATTAGGACATAAAGAACTGTTGATAAACTGCAGGTTCGCTGAGTGAGCACCAGGCTCGAACTCCAGCTAGACTACTGACCAGGGTGTCCAAAACTAATGAGGTCATCATCTAAGTCGTTCTAAGTCGTTGGCCACACTACTGTTGCTACTAAGCATTGAACGTTTCCCAATGTGGAACTACTGATGATGTGGTCATCGTAGAAAAATCGTTAAAACGTCTCACAGCTTCGAATCTTGATTGAAAGGCTAACTGATACCTAAATTTTGATTATGACTTTGTTCAATAACCCTTGGTAACTTTTCTGTGTTGCCCCTTTCAGCGCTACAAAGGAGGTATTTCCTAAATTTAAGTCATGTCGTATCAGCGAGCGCACGTGGAGCATCGTGAGTTTTAAAAAAAGAAATGGTATCACGCGACTGTACAACCGTCCCTTTGACGTCTGATACACCACCTATGAGAGCGCCGCTTTTAGACTTTATATCTTTGTTATGTTGCTATGCACCACTAGTTGCAGAGTTTTTTCTAATCAAAGTAGAGAAAGCCGATGCTGGTTGTTGGACGTACAAGGACAGAGGCTGTCGTGCAGAAGTAGAAAAACAGGAATATATTTGAAACCTCTATCCACGGGACACCCAAGGAACCGGGGCACGTTAAATCATCGATGTTCCTTTACAGGAACTTAAAGCGGGATTACGGTACTCAGACAAAGTGTTCCTTTCCCCTGAATGGACGTGTCTATTAAGCGTATAAGAGAGGTAACAGATGCAAAGATCATGAGGACGCTTTACCGGGACCAAACTTGTTACCTGAATGGATGGAGGTGTCTCTTAAAGAGAGGTGTCCCAAAAGGAGAGGTACCACTGTGGTGGGCATATAAAAACGGAAACTAAAATAATCTAATGCCCTAAAGAGGAAGGCAGTCATAAGAAAAAATCTTGATACATCTACCTGTTTACCCTGAAAGCGGTGAGGAGGAAGTTGATTGCGGCACCAACCCACGCAGTCGCCTTTTCGGTTAAGTACAAGAAACCAACCGCCCCATCCAGAACATTGCAGAGACCCTTGCCGATAGCCTCTACAAGCTTGCACGTTCCTTCACAAAGATGAGCGATGCCTGAAAACAAACACGGGTGTCCCATATGTATTGTTATCAAGAACAAGCCATCATCAAATCTTACACCATACTCTTTGAAAGCCTGCAGCCTAATTTTCCAACAGGAGAGATGAATACCTTACACGAGTCGTAGTAAGTACAAACTTTCACCCAAAAATTGAAATGTGGAAGAATTAAACAACTTTTTCAGCATTTGTTTTTTTCAAAATTCTATATTACCGGGATAACTTTAGCGAAAATATCCTCCACGGTTCTCTTTTGATCTGACTGTGCACAAAAATAGTAAGTCTTGACTCTGGTGAATAACTTTATTTGCTCCATCGAGTCTCCCACCTATCGGCATTCCCGTCCTTGCAGTTTTTTTGTCTTGGCAATCAAAAGCCTTTATTTCCGAAAAAAATAAGTGATTTATGCTTCTTGTGACTGTTTAATAAGGCATCTTTCCAGCTACCAGTGAGTGGGGCGTTCCCGCCATCCGGTGGGACAAATGTCGGATTGATTTTTATGTCGTGAAAGCGAAGCGTAAGACCTCTCTGTTCACTGTTTCCGAATTTTCGTTTCTTTCGTCTTAACGAGTCCAAAAAATTTGAGATCAGTAATCTCACCTTGGATTGTCCCAAACAAAAGTACTTACAGTGGCTGTCGCTACAAACACTAATTTTTTAGACTGCAACCGTCTATTATTTTCTTTCCAAAGTTACTCCACGCGTAACCCATGCACGCGAGCGTCCTAATCCCATATTGTAACGTCGTTGTTTACAATCACACAAGCTGGGATAAGAACTGAACGGATTTTAACAAAAAAGGCGGACTGCAAGCAGTCTGCTAATTTTTTAAAAAGAAACATTACTAACCTGCGCAAGATCCTCCAACAATTCCTTCACAGATTAATTTATTGACCAAACGACGCCGCCGAAGATGATGGGCAAAATTGTCGTTGCGTCGTTTGTCGAGTCCGCGCTTCCTCTTCCAGCCACCGACAGCTTTTGCGACCTAAACACATTTGAGACCGAGAAAAAGACGAAACAGTCTTTAAAAAGACGTGAAAATGCCAGCTGAGATGCAAGGGCGCGAGCTACACGTACGACGCTAACCAGAAGTACGTTTAACAATGAAGCATGCACGCGACAACTATATAAATGATAGTGCAAGGTGTCGAGAGGATATGTCACTCGTGAGATATTGTTCTTGACATAGTATTTTGGTCAAGATTCGAGCATAAATGAATTTTTAATTTTTACACTTATTTTTAAAAAATCCCGGTGAAACGTACATAATTTTGAATGAAACATACTCCAGTAACAGGACGCTCCCTATTATGGGTTAGGCACTCTTTGGTTAAGCCCCAAAATCAAAACGAGCGGGCATTATTGAACATTAGACACAACCAAACTCTATCTGTGCCTTTCAGGGGCGTGCCCCTGTTGCCTTTGTCCTTTTGTTTGGATTTAGACTTCTTTTGTTACTTGTTTATAAAATTCCCTTTTTCTTCTGCCTTCTTCCAGTCTCGCTTCGATGAAAAAGTTCGTCCTGACACAAATGAGATAATTATAAATTTCTGGGAAAATGTACATACATGCTACCCCTATAGCGCAAAAGAACATCTTTTCGCGTCACTATTACGTAAGCTAGTTACTAGGGAGATTAAGTCGAGGTCCCAAGGGGTGCGCTCAAGCAAGGGACTTTACTGTATTCGTGAATACACATGATAGTTGTTACATCTGCAACACAGAGGCTAACGTAATGAAAATATCACACAAACTATTATCGTAAATTTACCGGAGATATGACGTTTTTGGAAATGAACTTGCCAGCCTCGTCCAAGAAATCTTCACAAGCTTCCTCCGCTTCTTTGCATTTGAGATTTTTACAGTTATCACACTTTAGTGACATCTTTCTTTTGCAGTCCTCTTTCGCTTTGACAACTGCTTCTCTCGCTTCCCTCAATTTTTTCTCTGCTGCATCGAAAGCAGCTCTGACTGCCTTTGCAGCAGCGTCTAAAGCCTAAAGGGGAAAAAAGAAACAAGGATTTGCCTCGGAGAAGTGTCGAACGATACTTGAGTTAGTTACTACTGGTATTGATAGAAATGTGATGGTGAATAAACTAATCTTAATTGGACCATTGCCGTACTTACTAATTGTTCTATATTTGGGTTCTTTCTACCCAGGCGGGTGCAGTCAAGATTAAAGCGACATTAGAGGTAAAAATCAGACTAACAACTCACCAGTTAGCCTAAGAAAACAGCCGACATTTCGCGACGCCACCACTTCGGTTTCCCTGTAACCTGCGATCAGGTGGTCCTTCTTCCCTTTTTCTTTAGCGACCGCTCTTCCCCGAAAAATGAGAACGCCTGATCGCAGTTTCCCGGCGAAATGACGCCCGAGCAACAAGCGCAGAAACTCCATATACACTAATAACGAGTTACTAACCAGATATGGGAAGTGCTTCTGATTGGTTAGAAGCATATTCCCAACGCAGCAGAATAAATAAATTTAAAGGTTCACACACGTACATGTACGCGAGTGATGCATATCACGGCTTCAGTACCACCGTGTTTTCCTATGAACCTTCTCAAGCCATGACAGCTAAGTTAAAGAAGAAAGAGCTTTTTTCTTACGTCATTTATTCCAGACAAGTCCACTGTAACCTTCACGTAGAACTGGGACGAAGCGAAGATTGAACTGTAAGAAGCCGTGAGGAACACCTCAGCTTTTATAATCCTAAGAAAGTTTCCTTGAATCAACAGCTCCATTCTGGACATTGTAAAGTTTAAACGGCAATAGGTTGAGATTCCAAGCAGCTCCGTATACCCCTCAAAGTACGCCTGATTGAAAAAAAAATACGGTCATTAGCAAACAAAATTAGGAACCCTTTACCCTTACCAACGAGCGCCTTTCTCTCCGCCTTTTTTTTTTTTAGTTCCTCGAGATGACGAGATTGGACAGCTCTTAAAAGGTTTACCCAGGGTAGTATTTCTAAGCATTTTTAAACCACTAAAATCAACCAGAAGATTATTTCAAAGCACTGAATCTCCAGTGTTAAGGGCAAATTGTGAAAGTGGAAGTGGTAAATCTTAGTTCATTGTTAAAAAAAAAAAACAAACAAAAAACAAAAGCAAATTCCCTGTAGCTAACTAGTATGGGTGCTAGTCCGATGGAATGAATCACACAAGTTGAATGCTCACATTTTTTCCTGTTTCCACTTTCGTTTCTTTAGAAGTGTTAAAGACGTTCGTCATTTAAAGGCATTATAATACCTTAAATTTTACTCCCCCCTTTTTTATTATGTATGCATATTATGTCTTGCCCAATAAAGTATGAACGGGTTGTGCTTCAATTTTTTCCTTGAAATAAAAGAAAATTGTATTTAAGCCTAGGGCAAGATTGATAACTAACTAAACTAAAAGGAGTTTGGAGGATTTGTTTGGATTTGTACCAATAAACGTAAAACAAAACGTAAATTTCATGGTTCATCAATTAAACGACTTGTAAACGATTATGTAAACTCCCCTCAACTTACCTCAACGTAAAACAAATCCCGCCTGGCATTGACATAGAACCATGGTCCCAGTGAAGAGTCGCTTGGGCCTCGGGTAATTTTAGCAATACCTAAAATGTCCACTGGGTCAGGCTTTAAGTCCACAAAAATTATCTTAAAAGCAAAAAAAAGGAAAAGTTCTAATTACCCTAACAATGTGATTGGGGGAGAGGTCTTTGTCTGAGAGGGGGGTTGGAACGCCTACGACATTGGGAAGCTTAAGCAACGACGAAGGCAACGATAGCTAAAACGTCACCCACCCCCAAAATAAAAGGATTCGCGCTGTTTTAAACTTCATCGCTCTAATTCCAACTCGTTTAATTTGTCAAAGTTTGGCGATTTTTTAGAAGTTGAATTCTAAATGATAGTATCTAAGTTCATAAAAACTAGGGGAAAAAGAAAATCGTTGTCTAGTGTTTACGTCTTCAACAAAACGTGAAATTAGGAAATTTCACGTCATAGTCGTACAGTGACGGCAAAGCAGCGTAAAAAAAGCGTGATGCACGTACAAAGTTGTTCTTTTGCTTGTCTAAACCTACTACTTTGCCGTTCTCGTTGCCGTCGCCGTCGTCGTCAGTTGCTTAAGCCTCCCATTCCCTCGCTCAAGTCGGATGTCTAGGAATTAGTCAAGGAGAGCTGCAAAAATGTATAACCGTCCTCAAAACTGCTAGAATGAGCTACACTACCCAACCGTGTTTTTAGAGGATACGCGTACTGAATACCGCCTGAAGCAGCTCCAGCACCGGCCCAGAGTGATAAATAACAATAAACGTTTGTAAATTTATAGCTCGGCGAAGAACATAGAAAGGCGAGTCCCGTAGCTGCTACTCATTGGTAAGGGGCAAATACGATGTTTCATTTGGTACGTATTGACCTTTGGTACACATAATACATGATCAAATGTACATTAAGAGTTTCTTAAAAATTTCATCGGCGTAGTAAGGCAATGTAAACATCAGAGTTTGACTCCAATTTAAGTATTACTAGGAGATAAAACGGATAGACGACAACACCGAGGTCTACATCCCCTAAACGTTTCGAACAAACAAGAAGGTTATCCTAAGTTTCCTTCGAATTGACAAGGAAGGATGAAGGAGACAAAACCAACAGCTTCATGACAAACCCCAATGACGCGATCATCTGAAGTGAGACAAGGGCATAAATCATGGCTATCACTAATCTTACCAGTTTCTTTTAAGACCCTGGTTAGGGGTCCGCTCTGGGTTCAGTCGAGCCCGTCCCTTTCTGTTCGACAGCGAGACCGGCACGCATCCAACTAAGCTGACTAAGCGGTGATTGTGGGAAGGCATTTCATAAAAGTCGAGTATTATGGTTACTTACCTTTTGTGATAACCTGATTTCTGCAAAAATTCCCCATCCCAGAATGTTAACCGCTCCTTTCATATAGAAACCTTCGTAGATAAACGGGCCACCCGCTATTCGGAGATCAACGTCGGCCGAAGATCTCGCAACCTAACAGAAAAATTTGAAGTCCGTAATTGGGAGAGAAAATTGCTATTTATCAGTATAACATGCACAAGTTACTTTAAAGGCTAAGTAGAGGACTGTTTTAACCTTTTGACTCCTAAAATTAAACAGCCACTTTCTTGGATACACCATCTCCGATTTCGTGATGTTAAAAAATAACATCAAAGCTTAGTCAATACAGTTCAGATATAATTCGGAAGACAACAAATTAAACAAATTTAAATAAAATGGCTTTATGTCACAGTCAGAAGGTGTAATTTGGCCCCACTCAGATTCAAAGCAAGAAGAGGAGTACTACTAAAGACCATCACATTCTAATATGAGGACAACTGCGAAAACGCGAGATTTTCCCATCATCGTTATCATTATCATTATCATTTTGCGATCGAGAGAGGGCTTTACTTTCAGTGATAATAAAAACGGTGTTAACGTTTGCGGTGGTGAAAAAAAAGGAAAAGGAATCTTTCCGATATTTCTGTTTTCTCGGAATACGCCAAAAAAAAGCGGAGGTCAAATTTAAATCTCGTTCTCGTAATCGTCCTCGTCCTGGAATCTAAAGGTCTATAATATCTAGCTTACAGTCGCCCCTTGTGGAAAGCCGGTAGCTGCTATTGGAGGTGGAAGCTCAAAAGTTGCTCCCAGCAATCTGAAGATCTTCCCAAATGTGAGAGCTGTTATACTAGCATAAAAGAACTGTGGCTTTCCAACACCAACGTATCCATCACCACCGAAACAATGGCCCTAGAAATAAATACATTTTATTTATTACTTGATATTATAAAATGAATTAATATTTTTGTAGGAGTGCTTGCTCAACTACTTTATTCTAATCTCATTTTAAGGTGGCTCGATACAGTTTTTCAGGGCCAATACCTCCCAAGTTTGAGCATAAACTACGTCGCCATAATCAAAGTTTTGGAAAAATTGCCACCACAGTTGTATTAGATAAAGATGAAAATTGAAGCGCTTTTTACATGCAATTTCACCTCATAGTAGTTTCAATCTTTTTAAAAACGTGTGGGAAAGATCATGGAGATAGCTCCAGCCGATTGCTAGAAAGAAGGGTTTTATTGGCATGTATCGAAGCGCACTTGTTAGCGGTTTTATAAACATTTTGGTCTTCTTTAACAAATTAGCGAATAGTTTTTAAACCGCTCGATAGATTTTTTTTTTTAAATTTAAGATTCTTTAGATTAACCTTTATTTTATATGACCTTTTAGTTTCAATATTATTGATAAATTGTAAGGCAGTATAATAAGGGCTACAATTCGTTACTTTTTTATCGGAAGTTTTGTTATTACAAGTGAAAGCCTCTCATTATTCAAGGCATTGTCTCCAAGTTTCATTTTCACGTGAACAGCAGTAACTAACAATGCATTTGACATATGCAAAAATGCTAGCTATTGTTATGCCCCAAAATATGAAACTTGGACACAATACCCTGAATAATGAGAGGCTCACATTTGTAAACACAAAATTTCTGCCAAAATATTGGCGAATTGTAGCCCTTATTTTACTGCCTTACAATATATCAATAATATTGAAACTAAAAGGTCATATAAAAAAAAAGGTTAATCTCAAGAGTCTTAAATTTTTTTTAAAAGTCTATCGAGCGGTTTAAAAAAAATTCGATAATTTGTTAAAGTAGACCAAAATGTTCAAAAACCGCTAACAAAAGCGCCTCGATACATACTAATCAAATCCTTCTTTCTAGCTTTCGGCTGGAGCTATCTCCACGGTCTTTCACACACGTTTTTAAAAAGATTGAAACTACTATGAGGTGAAATTGCATGTCAAAAGCGCTTCATTTACTACAGATAACAGCCAAACATCAAGATTGTTCATTTTTTACCGTATTTCTAAGCACAAAATCTTTATCCCAAAATATCTCGATAACGCTCTTACAGATTTCGCTTAAACTTCACGAACATCGAGGCGGCTATTGGACGAAATAGCTCTCGTGAATAATTTTGGAAGAACAGTTCCCAGTGCCGAGAAATACTTCTGTAAGTAAAATGAGTAATAGCGTCATTTCGTTGCTATGACAACTCCGATGTCATTGCAACCCTCATCATAACAAACTTTCATCTTTATCTAATACAACTGTGGTTGCAATTTTTCCAAAACTTTGTTTATGGCAACGTAGTTTATGCTCAAACATGGGAGGTATTGGCCTTGAAAAACTGTATCGAGCCACCTTAAGAAAACAGATTTTTTTAATTGCTGGTTTTCACATGGCATACAAATCATATTTTTGACAATGAAGTGTTCTACGAAGATCCATATAAAGCTTAAAATATCTTCTTAGACTTGCGTCAGCATTAAAAAATTGAGATGTTTTTTAAGAGTTCAGTGTCTTTTAAACATCTTCCAGTTATTGCAAAATTAAAGCATCTTTGTCAGCATGACAAGGGATAAACCGTCGGTCTTGTGGCCTTGTCTACTGTGAAGACTGCTCACAGTCAGTTGTAGGTATATTGAAACTAAACGAAGCATACTACGGTTCAGTATAAGTTTATGAATTAACGTAATATATAGATTTAGCCAGGGCTAAAAAGCGAAGCTCCCAGTAATAAATATATAATTTAAATCAAACAATAAACTTGTAATCCACAAATCAGTTAACTTAAGGGCACATTTCATGTGGCTTTTGAGGGGAAAGCTAAGTGATTTTAGGAAACATCTCACATCGAGTTGACTTATATGTTCACCCAAAAAATAGCAATCATCTTCGATCACATTCAAGAGCCATAACGGCTCTTGATCACAGTAGATTAGGCCTGGAAAACAAATCAGGCCGAATCTTTTGCTTTCGATAAGTTTAATTTACAAAATCTTGCCAACAAATCTGGAGGTGTGTAAACCAAACCTTTTATACTTTTTATACATCACATCTGAGGTGAAACAGTACTATGAGGCGCTGTATTTATCATACAGACCTTGGACAGAATGCAGTATTTCACTGTTTGTCAGGACAAATTGCACTCAGTCAATATTCAGGACGATCAATCGTTGGCTTTTAGCGAAACTGTTCAAAACATTTCCAAAATCACCTATACGGCCAGCTGGTTCTCACTTTTGACAAGCGGTCGAGTGTGTGAATGAACATTAATAGAGTTACGCTTCAAAATAATAACGAATTTATTATGTTAATTTTTTTTTATTTAATGGCATTATAACGATGCGTAATCTTGAAAAGCGTTTGATACGCGCGACATTTTGAGTACATGTACTCCTGCAAGCGATGTTCATGAAAGACTGAAAACAAACGGCACAGCGATTCAAATTGCAAAATAGACTTCTAAAAATCAATAAAAGAAATATAATTCGGTGAAACATTTAAAGAGACAGAAATTTTCATTCACGAAGACAAGTATTTATTTACTAAGGCATTCGATACCATTGATCATGAGATCATCTTGCGTAAGATGTCATACTTGGGTGTCGATCAGGCAGCCATAAAATGGTTCTCGTCGTACTTAAGTGGCCGAACCCAAAGATGTAATGTCAGTGGCAAAATATCATCTGCTCGTAACCTCAGTTGCGGCCTGCCGCAGGGTAGCATATTGGGTCCTTTGCTATTTTTAATTTACATTAATGATCTTCCCAACTCCCTGCGGGGCGCCGTACCAAGAATGTTTGCCGATGACACCAACCTTACGTTATCTGCTAAGACGTTAACAGAGCTTAAGCTAGCTCTAACCCCTGAATTAAATAACCTTAGCTGTTGGCTGAAAGCTAACAAGCTCAGTCTAAATGTTGCTAAAACAGTGCTAATGATTATCGGATCAAGACAAAGCCTATCTGCCCAATTTGACGATGTAGAAATCAGAATTGATGACCAAATTATCAAGAGAGTCGATCATACCAAATCCTTGGGTCTTACCATAGATGCTCATTTCTCTTGGGGTAAACACGTTGAAGAGATTTGCAAGAAAGTCTCTTCAGCTATAGGCGCCCTAAAACGTGTGCGGCCGTTTATATCCAAAGAAACTGCAATTCAAATTTATAACGCCTTAATTATGCCTCATTTTGATTACTCTAGCCCCGTCTGGGACTGTTTGAGTGGTTACTTGAGTGATAAGCTCCAAAAATTACAGAATCGTGTAGCCAGAGTTATTACTAAATCACCCTTTGATGCGAGCTCAAACCACCTTCTCTCCACCCTCAGCTGGGAGAGGCTATCTCTTCGACGAAAGAAACAAAAAGCCTTAATGATGTATAAAACCATGAATGACCTTGCTTCGGAATATCTACAAAGTCTTTTCTCTCAGCGTCACACTGCTTACAACTTAAGAAACTCTGAGGGAAGGCTGACCCTGTCCAAACCAAGCACCAATTATTTGAAACGAAGCTTCTCTTACAGCGGGGCCATGTTATGAAATAACTTGCCCAAAAACTTAAAAAATGCTGCATCCGTTGAGCATTTTAAGCGAAATATCAAGAAGGTAGCTGATATATCGGATTCCCACACGACAATCATGTAAAGCAGTTGTAATTAGTTTTAGTTTTTAACTTAAGCTTAACTGATGATTTCCCGTGTTTAAATAAAGATCTACATACATACATACATATTAAAGTGTCTCTAAAAATCCTGAGTCTTTAAGTTTATGTTTTAAGCCGACTTCCCGGTGTTTGCTTTTTTCAAAGATGAACTCGAGGCAAGAAAATCGCTCAAAGTTTTCTTTCTACAGGCAAATTTATAACTAAATATTCTTCGGAACGTTTTCTTTCTATTTGCGGTGAGAAAATATATCTAAAGGCTTTTTAAAGTTAAGTTCTGTAAGCTTATATCAAACCTGATACTAGCTAGGTCAGATCATTGTCTCAAATCTTACAAACATGCATAATTAACTTGCCGCATAAACTGTGCTCGACTTCATGAGGTTAGATATAAGAAAACAAACATCAGATACAATAATTACTCAGGCTTACCATTCGAGATGCAGCTCCTGAAAGCTATCAACTAAGGCGGAATCGCTTGAGACTTTTAAACTCCTCTTACGTATCAAGCAAGGTGAAAAACGAAAACGATGCCATCCGAAATCGGATTTCCGACTTTGACAAGCGACGCATTTCTCAACCAATAAACCCTAATAAACAAACCAGCCATGAATAACAGAAGACTCTTGATAGCAGCTGTATTTCATTTTGTACATCCAGTGGAAAAAGACATTAAAAAACATCACAAGTTGACACAAAACTCTGTCAGCTTCAGCCGTCAAAGTAAACAAGTTTCAAGATGCTGCATAAATTTTCCGCATGAACTCACCTGTCAAAGTTTGACCAATCAGAGCATAAAAATTGGACGTAGAACGTGACCAACGCGTGACCGTGGTAAGAAAAGGTCTTCCCCGCCTGTATTTGTAAATAACTGGCTGAATTTTCGTGTCGGAGGTAAGTTTGAAATCAAAATCTTAATAGTGCTGGGCCATAGTGACATGAACACGACTTATTTCACATAAATTAAAAAACAAAAAACTTGAGCCTGCGATCATTTGAAAACTAGTAACTTGTCAGCGGATAACTTCAAAAAATACTGTCAATTGATCACAACATTAATGTCCAATCAGTTTTCTCCTGGGCTCCCAAACTAGCTAGGAAGTGCAAGAGTAAACATTGGTATGAATGTGCTGCGGACGGACGGTCGTTCGTTCGGTGTACGGTCACGTGATAACCAAATTTTCTGGGATGGGTAGATTTACTTAGCTATGGGGCTCCGCCCACGCGCGCGCCTGGAGCTCCGCTAAAATGGCTTTACTTTGCAAATCGTGCATGGTAACTCACGTCGCTATTGAAATCTGCTGGTGTAAGACAGTCGTATCCAAATTCGACTCTCATTCCAAATTGCACACCAGTTATGGGTATAGGCGCTCCAACTTTGTAAGTCAACCTGTCAATCAAAGCCATTATATTATTACTAGTAGAGCGGAGGTTGGAAATCGAAACAGTGGTGATCACATTCTGTATGCGGACGACGTTAAGGCTATTCAATTTAACAAATGCTTGATTGTTATAACTGCCAAGCATGTGAAACATAAATACGTTAAGTTAACACGTCCAGAGTTTAAATAAAGATCGCTATACATGTATTTAGTATATACACACTCAGTGATCTTGGTAATTCAATCAATCTGATTGGTTCGCTATATCTTGGACCATGACGTTATATTCACCGCGCTAGGCGGTGAATATAAAGCAGAACAAGAAACTGGGTGTTTTGCCAAAGTTTCATAGTAAAGCCTTTTTGAAAATACACGAATATCCAAGTGCTGATGACTTTGAAGGCAAGAAAACACTTCATGGTGTTTAAACAGCATGAACTATTGTGAAGTTGTTTACTATAGCTGACTTTCTGTACGCTCGAAGCTACGTTTACCACTACACAGGGAAACGAGGCCGCTTTGTCACTGTTTTCTGATTTCGGGATTTTCTCGCAAGAACAATTTTGCCTATAAATAGAAGTGAATTTATGGAGAAAAGAGGAAGGCAAATATTTTCGAAAATTGTACGTGTCAGCAAGTTAACAAGGCAAAGAACATTGGAGATAAACAACGCTCACCTTCATCGTAGCCGCCGTTGACAGAATTTGCAACAAGCGACAAAGAAAACTTTCTCATTCACGGTGAGTTGACAGAAACAAACAAAGCTCTACTTTTCTCCTCAGAATTGGGTAGTTATCTAAATTTTCGGCATTTTCTTTTTAAACTGTTGATGCTAAAGCTTACAAAAATCGCTACAAAAAGATTAAAACTATCATTTGCCATTTTTGAAGATACTGTCAAGATCTAACTTTTACGCATCCACTGTTTATGGCTTCATGTTCACGCATGAATTCACCTGTCAATCAAACTAATCGTTTTTTAATGGTTTCCTTTCTGATTCTGTTGAGATCACTTCGTGTGAATATACTAAAACAATTATTCACCTCAGGCTCAGTTAATATTTAACAATTATTCTTTGAAATCGAGGTGAATAGTGGCAAAATATTTACCGAGCCGCGAAAGCGGCGAGGTAAATATTCCCAAAGCCACTATTCACCGAGATTGAGAAGAATAATTGTTTTAGTATATACACACGAAGTGATCTCAACAAAATCAGAAAGGAAACCATTCAAAAGTAGGATTTGATTGACAGATCAAATCACGCGTAAGTTTAAAAATAGATCTTTGCAGAATTTTCAAACATGGCAATTCACAAGTTTACTCATTTCGCAAACAACAGCGTAATGGCTTCAATGGAATCGCTAAAAGTTTGAACTGTTTCCTTACCTGAGAAAAAAAGTAGAGCTGTGTTGTTTTCTGTTGACTCGCCAAGTTTATAGCCAAAAGGGCATGTTGTGTCGTTCTTCGCATGAAGTGCTGACAAAAATGGCGGCTCGGTTGCTCGAGGTAAGAGGTCGTCTTCCTGTATCATTCTTTTTCCTGTTTACTTGAAATGTAGAATTTCTGCAAACATTTCCTTTTAAATTTGTTTGTCATAAATAAACTTCGATTTTTGAGCCAAAATTTTCTTCTTAGAAAACGCTGAGTTCACGAAACGGCTTCTTCTACGCGAATACACGGGAGTTGTAAACAATCCATCGAGCACAAAACTCCTGCTACAGTAAATTGAAAAACGCCGTATTGAATCCTTCCAAGTCTTTTCTTGCCTTAAAAAAAGTCAGCCCTAGGATTTTGTCGACTTTTTTTAAAAAAAAGGGAAAAACACCGAGCTCACACATTATCCACTCGCTAGGAGGTGAATATTGTTGAATAGTCCGAGATAGCGAACCAATCAGATTGCTTAAATCACCAAGATCACTGAGTGTGTATATACTAATGTTGAATAATCCCCGAGACAAAGTATATATAATATATACTTGTCTGCAATGGACAACTAATAAATAAGTGCGGAAAGAAATATAACTTCAAAAAGTACGTTTCGGTGAAAAGGTTTTGCAGGAAAAAGAATTTATTTACTTATAATAATTAGGCTTAAATGTGATGATCTTTACATAACTATTGTGGCTCAAAAGACCTTTCCCGCATGCGCATTCCGCTGCAGTGAGCAAACATAAAGAAATGAGGTTGAGGCCAGCTCAACGTAAATTGTACATCCAAGCCTCGAGTTGATGCCTAAGTTTCACAGGAATGCAGTAAAGGTCTATTTGATCTTCGGTCAAATTGTTATTTACCTTATGTTTCAAATTCATTATCATACATTTCCATACTCAGAAAGAAAATTCAAACTAAAGATAAAATTGAACCACAAAACATCCATCGTCAAATTACTGACAACAACGTCTTATTCGGGTTCTTAAACTACTTTCGTCTGTATGGCAAAGAGGTGGGCTTGGAAATTCTTGAAACTAATTTAACGAGAGTGGAATAAATAAAAGAATTGTCCTGTACTTTTTAAAGACAAGAGGTTAACGACCAATTCTCTTAGCAATCCACTTTTCCCTTGAGCAGCTTAGTTTTACCTTAAGGTGAATAAAGAGGTGTCTCCGGCATCTCGAATATAAGTTTTAGTGTAGTTCACCCCTGTTTCTAAGAAAGTATTGCTTGCACCATCTTTTAAGTTGTCACTGAAGGTTTAATTAGTAATAACGTATGTAATTTTTGCTTTTACTTAGTTAAGAATAAGCGTTTTTTTTGTAACTACTGTTTTATCTTGTTTGATCTCATTGTAAATAACGTTATTGTAACTACTTACTGGCTGAATACCAGTTAGTGATAAAATTCATTCAACACGGTTATATTATGAAGATATCATCGTTTCTCAGGCATAAGTTGTATAAGCAAACGATTATAATGACGAAGAAGAGTAGGAGGATAACGTATGCCCTTACGTTCAAAACTCTTGCAGTCTCATTTAACAGCTTCTTACCCAACAAAGATGTTTCCTAACGATAACCAAGGGATCCAAAAGGCTTTTCGCCACATTCCGCGCATGCCCAGCTTCCCGGAAACTTTTTGTTTTGTAAAGTCGTAGACCAACACACCAAAGAGATACAGATCGTTTCCAGGAGCTGTGATGCCGTCCCGTTCGATCTCGCCGTCCACAGGTACTTTTATTTCCGCGCGGAAGCCCAGTTTGACACGCTTGCGGGTACCGTTGAAGTCTGCCTAACGGTTACAAAACAGAGAGGTTATGGTTTGCATACAATTCTAGACTAAGAAGCTGTCTTTACATTTTTTTAGTCAGTAAACAGCTGAGGATACCTTTATACTTAAACTGCTAAAAACGATCCATGATGGTAGTATGTCTTTGCCTTTTTCAACTAGCAAAGTGGGAAAGTACAAAAGCTCACCTCCACGTACAACTCAAGCCTATCAAATGCCAGTCCATCATAGATTTTAATATTACGAAACCCGGTCGTGACTTTGATCTTTTTCCATTGAAATTGTCCACTAATATACCACTTGACGGTAGGTCCCAGAATCATCTTGCAAATTTCACAGAATTTGTTATTTGAACAGTCCTTCGGTAGGGTAATTTGGGCCGCGACGAAAATACCTTAAATGCAAAAATGGATAGTTAGTAAACAAAATAAAATAAATTGACAATCAGACTATAAACGTGAGAAGCGACACTGAGACACTGAGAACATATTGTTATTCAAAAGACCCTTTTTTTAATACGGCAGCCACATTGAATTACTAAGATTTAAGGAGTATTGTGGGATGCCCATGAGGCATAAGCACGCACCAATATACTCCCTCAGTATTTACGCGCGCTTTTCGGGCCAATTTTTCTTTAAGTTTTGCTAGAAAAAGATTGCAATGGGAAAAGATCGTTGTGCCGTGTTTGGATGTAATAATGATCGCCTTTTTCCCGGGAATTATACGGTGAAGTTCTCCTTTTCTCCGAAAAGCGCGCGTGAATACTTAGCGAGTGCCCCCTGGGCATCCCATAATACTCCTTAAATCTAGTAAATTCAATATAACCTCCGTATCGGTAAAAAGGTCTATTGTCAAACTCAGAAAACTTCTAGAATTGTTTTTGGAGAGACAATGCCAGGGCTGCAAATGGACTAAAACGCCTTATTAACTTTTTTCTCAACTCAACCTCCAGTAAAGATATCTTGAGCAAGCTGTCAGCTGTCCTTAGACTTTCCACTTTGTTGGTTTCTTCTTAATAGTGTATTAGAGATATTTGAAACAAAACGCTTCAAACTGTCATGCCTCCCGTTTTCTAGCGTGAGGTGAGAAACGATTTTGAAATCCGTGTCCCTTATAAAAAACATATTTACGTCAAGCTGCCTGATCTGCACGTGAATGAATGCTTCAGTAGTGTCACTGTATAAGTGTTCTACCCCAGCTTTTGCCCAAACGTTTCACTGGTTTATTGTTTCACAGTTTCCAGAAATTGTTTATAGCGGAAATTAGTGAAATGGCAGCTTTAACGGGCGCGAAAGGTGCGTAAAACTTACTCTATCCTCATCGCTCTACTTTCACTTTTTCTTTTAATTACCTTGCATTCTTCTTACCTCCTGGGACAGATACGGTATGAAAACTTTTGAGCGGTTCTTTAGAAAACGTGGTGGTACTATCAACAAGGACCTGCTTAAATCCTAGTGAATCGGGAACACTAAAGCTAACACCAACCTATAACAGGTAATTGAAAAATTTTAACAGGTAAATTTCTTACGAACTACAGCGGAACCTCGATATAACCAAGGGCCAAAGGACTGACAAAGTATCTTTGTTATAAAAAGTTTTCGTAATATGGAAGCCCTTTTCCATATACTTCACTATAACTGGCAGAAAGAATATTGTTCTTTTTACCAAGGACTTCGTTAAATAAAGATTCGTTATTATCGAAGTTGCACTTTAAATAGTAGAATAATTATTACCCCTGAGGTACCCATATTTTGGTGTCATATTAATTAACTGGTATTTAATGTAGGCTTGACAGAAGGATATCTGTATCAAAACATAACATTGCAGTTATGTAGCAGATGTTAACACGTTGAAAATATCTTTTTCGGTCAATATTTCTTAAATGCAACCTTTTTAATTGACACAAAAATTTATATCCCTCGGTGAACTGGAAGTTTCCCCTACCCAGTCAAAGCCTCGGTAACAGTACAAAAGTATATGAATAACTCATAGCCTGCAGTGCAGGCGTTTTCTTCGGGCGCTCGAATGTTTTGCTCGCGAAAGCACATGTTGAAACTCGAAAAGAGGGGAGAAAATGGGGCGAGTCAATAGGAGCGGGGTAGGAGGCGGGCACCAATTAAAAGATGAATGGTGAAATACACGTCATGTTGCCATTGTAGAAAGATTAAATAAAATGTCCATTCCATCCTTTCAAATGTCGTTCAGTGGGCGCACTAAAAACTGAGCTACGAAAGGACTCTTGATGATCGAGCAACTTCAATCACTACGTTCGCTTGTGGAACGCGAACTGCAAGTTGCTAGGGTCAGCAATGCCGAATACATCCTGTTTGCTGGTTATGAAACGAAAAATCTCAAACAAAAACCAGATAAGTCCCGCCCTGACCATTAGGCCGAGTTACGCTTTCTTGAGTTATGGCATGTAAATCTACTGGCTTACCTTACAAATCGATTACTGGGACACTTAGAAACGCAAAACTTAATTATAGCTGATACCTCCAAGTCTATTCCAAGGGAATCCAAGAAATCAACGTTTATTCCAGACAGCTTCTCTGACAATTTGCCGTACGATTCTTTATCAAAGGAGAGACCAATCGCAAACTGCGGTTTTCCATATTTATATCCCGCCAAAATTTCAGCATGAATCGGAACGCCGCCTACGTCAATGGTTCCAGTAAAGCGGTAAAGGCCGAATCGTTGCAATTTCCTGGCAAACTCAGCAGGCGCCATTTCGAAATCCCACACACCGATTCCCCTGTCCAAGTAAAGAAAACATTGCCTTAGATTTTCTCTAAAATGGTATTAATCAAGTCCGCCATAGTCCGAACTAAAACGGATAATCTTCCCTGGGTTAGGAAATGCGAGCGAAAATGTTATCATTATCATCATGATGATTAATCACTGTTTCTTAGAGCCAGCTGACTAATGACGTGATCACAAAGCGGTCGACGCAAAAAATATTTCACCGCGTGTAAGTCACATAAAGCATCATAACTTTGAACAGTAGTTGACGAAGTCATTCCAACTTGCCATCTAAAATGATAGGGCAAAACGGATTACGGGAAAAAAATGTTTATTCCCGATCCATATATTATTGTCAATTATGACTTACAAAGAATAATAAAAATTACTGTGGTCGGACATTGGTATATTAAACAACTCTGAACAACTATCTGAATACAGAAAGTTTAGGGGAATCACTTTTTTTGGCATTTCCCGTCGGTCCTCACCCGGATAACAAAGTTGAATTATTTTTGACCATGCTTCGCTGCTCCCGCGTTTGCACTCCGCAAAGGAAGAGTAAACCTAGTTCAAATAACACCTACCTAGCAGGTGCAAAGTGGTTCTTAGAGTAGTATTACCCCTTAAGTATGGCCTTTAAGAACGAGTAAATTAACGAACCAAAACAACGGCAACTTACCTCAGGGCATTGACAAAAAAATCTGGTAAACTTGAAGGATTTACGCCAAACGAGGTTAACATATCTCCAAACGTAGCAGAGGCAGCCGTGCCCTTGGCGTACACCGATCCAGTTACTACATCTTTCCACACTTCTGTAGCGAATACATTTCCTGTTTTGAGCGTATAGTTCCCTTTTGCTGAAAACTTTTGAGTACTTCCCTCTGTGTAATAGGAGAACCTAAATTAAGAAATCAAAAACAAAACTGATTAGTACTTACATTTCGAGTTGACTGGTCAGTGAGGAGTGTTATGAACCGTATAAAGTAAGAAATATCCAAATATTCATTAACCTAATTTAAGGTATTTCAGAAAAAAAAAGTAGCAACTGATATCAGAAGAAAACTCAAACTGTTAAGCCTCGTTTCCATATGATTGTTATGATCGCTGAACTTTTTATTTTCTCAGCGATCGAAGCGATCACGGCGAACGTAGCGATCATACATGGAAACCAGGTTTAAGAAGCCTTGTTTCAGGGGCGGATCTAGGGGGAGGGTGCAGGGGGTGCGCACCCCCCCGAGATGACCTGCGGTTTTCTAATACAACTGGTATTCTGCCAAAAAAAACTATGTTGTTTATTGCTGTTGAAGTAGAGCAAGAGACGAGTGCACCCCCTCCTAAAAAAAATCCTGGATCCGCCCCTGTGTTTACTGCACAAATCGAAAGTTTTTCTGGTTACAAAAGGACGTCGACGACATCAACGAGAACGGCTAAAAAAGCAATAGGTTTGCATTTATAGTATCTATAGTATTTATAGTGTTTATAGTAGAGTGATTTTACTTGAATCGTGAAACAGATACTAAAAAATAGCGAGAGGTAAACAAAAGAAGACAAAGGAATATTTGTTCTTAACAAGAGCCATAATGGGACAGAGACGGAAACGCCCATTCTAGCCCTTGGGATATGTGAATTTCACTGAAGTTATTGCCCCCGTAGGGATTTCGCCCAGAAGGCGAAATCCCGAGGAGGCACTCTAGTAACTCGCGCGTATATTAAGGAAAGTACTTACAGTTGAAATATACAGTCAGTATGCCAGAAAAAATCTCGATTTGCTTGAACAGGGGCCGCGAGGAATCGGTAGGTAAAAATTCACATTTGTTAAATCAAAGCTTAGAACCCTTCAGAGCATAATCTACCCGCCAGAACATGCAGCACCTTGTTAAGCATTATAGTTAATTCTTTGACTTTCGTCTGTTTCTTTTCATAATTACGTGGACGTCGTCTCACGGCTTTCTCACGAGGGAAACAGAATTTGAGTCCTCTTCGAACAAATCATCGCTTATCCTACGCTTGGGAGAAGGAATGTTAACTTCGATTTCTTGAACTGAAATGTGCTGATCAGACTCATCTAAAATATTGATGCCGAAATCTAGACGCCTGTAAATCTCACTCGAAAAGGTCATGTTCAATATTCAACAGTTGCCATTACAATATTCCGCATTGTTTGCTTTGAGGCAGTCACGCGTGGACTTGACGATTTTTTAAACAATCGATTGAGCGGACGTCCAAGGAATTAGACTTCCGTTTAATTACAACCTCTAAAAATAACTTGAGTGGAATTCACATATCCCAGCCAACGCCCCAAGATTCCCTCTCTATCCCATTATGGCTCTTGTTCTTAAATATAATTTTCTGCCTTAGGTAATAGCCTTATTATGATCTCTGAAAGGCCCCTTCGGGAAAGATAATAAATATGTATGTACTGACCTAACGTCGGTTATTTCAAATCCAGCTTGGGGGAAATATTTATCAGACTTAGAGCACTGGAACTCATATTTTCTCAGAAGCTGTGTTTCATCAATCCAGATAGAGATAGCAGGGACATTTTCTGTTTGTTCGGGGCGTGTCCAACTAGGTAGAACGTCAATGCTTGCATAGTAAGTTACCTTGTTATCCACAACCTTTTTAATAGTTAACGGGCTGACAATTTCAAAACACACCTGAACGAGAAAAAAAAAGAAAATAAAAAAGAATAAAGCACAGTTGAGTGAAGGGACGTTATTTAGCCCGGGTCTGCTGCAAGCAAGAAGAGGTCTCTTCCAAACTACGTTTTACGGTGTCCATACGTTTTTGAGCTTAAAACTTTGCAGGACAACAGGACACTGCATTCACGACAATCGTATGCAATTTTTTAATTATCGTTATTATTTTTCGATCTTAAAGGTTCGACTTAACTGGTAAGCAATTTTGAAAGAGCAAGCAGAGATAAGCTCAAACAGGAGAGGATAAAGGGGACAGAGAAGGCATTCCCCATACACACCCTATTCCATAGGTATTCGTCTCGAGTAATTTTTAGAACCGGGATAAAGTTACCTCGCGCGCTGCGTGGATGTTTCGTGGAGGTTACGCATGACTAAACCGCGTGCAAAACATGTCGGGCGAAAGGCAATGAAAGCGTATAGAGATCGAGAGCATTTCTGAATATTGAAGCGAAGTGAGTCGGCGCTCACGTGGGAAAAGGGAATCGCTGGACTCTTTGACAGCCCGTGAAATCATTTTCACTCGAAGTTGTCGTAACCTCAGTGCTTTAATAAAATGAAAAATTTCGCCGGTCTATTGAAACCGGTCGTTTGTATGATAGGGACTTTAAGATCCAACGACGCGGACGACAACGAGAACGTCAAAAAAACAATTGGTTTAATTAGCAAAACAACAACTTCGCACGTGCATCACACTTTTTTGTACATTTCTTTCCCGTTTTTGCACGACTACGACGTGAAAAAGCCTAATTTCGCGTTTCATGGAGGACGTAAACAAGCAACGACGAAATTTTATTTCTCTTTCTGAGCCTGAATTTGGTCCCTTGGAATTCAGCTTCAGGAGGGTTCGCCTACAATTGACAAAGTAAGTGGGTAGGAATAATCGCTATAAAGACTGAAATAACGCAAATTCACTTTTTAAGCGACGTTCTTGTCACCGTCGCGTCGTTGGATCTTAAAGTCCCTAATAAAGCAAGTAGGACACCAAGAGTTATTTTTGTTGAATAATAAAAGACTAATAGAAGAATAAATATCAAACCAGAAATTGCTCTCTTCAAACTGTAAATTATAAATGATCCTGAGAGAATATTCACTGTGTTAAGGATTTCCCTGCTGTACTGTTAGCTCTATACAAGAGAGGAAGGGTGATTCTTTTTAATTTCCGTTTCGCTGACACAGCTTTAGCAGAAATCTCTCTTTAGTCGTTTTTGTCGACAAAACAAATAGCAATATCGCTCTCCGCGTCTTCGGCCACTTTTTCTGCGTCAATTCGTGAGGGACACGTGGCTCTGAGCGTCGGTCATCCACCCGGAACACATTCGCGCTATGTGATTGGCTGTTGTCTTATCCCCCTTGGGATCTATGGTCTTAAAAATAACTCGAGACGAATTACCCATGGAATAGGGTGTGTATGGGGGATGCCTTTCCTGTTCCCTTTATCCTCTCTTGGCTCAGATGAGCTCAACATTCCACTCGAAATTGGTTCGGTTATCGTTCATTTTTAAAATCGCCCATGTCATTAGCAAACCTTGGTGAGATTCTTCTTTCCATAATCATCTTTATCATCCGGCTCAATTTTGATCGCAAACCATCCACTCTCCAACTCCGTCTGCATGAAATTGAAATTTGTATACACAGCATACGGAACATCCTGTTTGTATGCTCCTGTGACTGAGAACTTCTCGGCTGCATCGCACTCCAAAGCTATCCAGGAGTTAGGGTCAGCTGCTATTTTGTCTGGCTTAGGTGGCTCATAAGCTAAATCGAATAATGAGATTATAAATAAACATCAGCTTCTTCCATGTACAATATAACTATAAAATAACCATAAAGAGGCAGTAAGATGAAAACAAGAGCATTCTGTTTCAAGAAATCAAACTGAATTTATTACAAAAAAGGGAAAAGTAGTATTGACTACAAGGCATGAACGAGTTTAGAGAACGGTTAAAACGACTTCATAATTTCGACTGAATGAACAAGAAAAGTGAGACAATGTCGAGACAGACTTTCAAGGAGCTTAAAGTATTCATTTTGTCAAAACATAAGAAAAACGATGTGGAGAGTAGGTGAGGGCACACGCTCTAGCTCCCTTTTCCCCTGGTATGTTGACCATTAACGTCTTACTTGTGCATCCATCTGCTTGGGTGGGGCAATCTTTACTCTCTGCTGACAATCCTACACAGTCATCTCCGCCATTAGCTGGAGGGGGATTAGTGCAAGTACGGTTTCGTTTGGAAACACCTTGCAAACAGTATGTTGGCTCTGAGCATGTGCTCCAGGAAGACCACATTGTAAAGCCTCCATCGATTGCACCTTAAAAATAACAGTAAATTAGTTTTAGCTGATGGTGGTGGTGGTGGCGGTGGCGGCGTGTGTGGCGAAGGAGGTGGTGAAAGAGTGAAAACAATATAAATGTAGAGATGCAAAAAGGGAGGAGGGAAAATGAAAAAAATTACTTTGGTGGTAGAAAGAGAGAGTTTGCCTCTGCGACATTATTTATGCACGATTCGGTGAACCGGAACTTTAAAAATTGAAAGCAGCAGGAAATAGAACGTACATAATTACGTTAAGATCAAGTGATTCTAAGTAACGGGTGGCTTCAAACCCATATTAGGGCATGACGGAAATAATTAAAAATAGACTATGACATCATCTATCTAAAAATAACTAAAACCGGTTGAATAAAATTAGAGCATAACAAACCGGTTTAAACCGGTCAAGGCTACGTGAGTTTATTGATTCTGTTGTATTAAGAATACAAAAGATGAGAGATAATGAGATTCCTCCGCCTTTTATTCATGAGATAAAGACAAAAGGCTATGACGCCATCGGCGTTAATGTATTCCCCCGCAAGTTAATGAGATTCCCTCCCAAAAAAGGAGTAACCGGTGCGTAACATACTACTGACAAATTCACAAAGTGTTTATTGGTCTTACTAGTAAGTTCCTTTATGTATCTTGTGTTATGAAATAACCGCGTTATTTTGCTAAGACTACACAAATAGAATAGATAAATAAATAAAATAATCCAAGCCGCATCTATCGGTCGATTGTGTTCTTGTTTTCATTCCTTCTCTTGTTTTGTATGCTTTTATTTAAACTTTACCTTTTTATTGGAACTCTGTGACTTTCTATTCAAGAATTTCAAGTTTTTGTGCGGTTAACCGTTGCCTGCGTGCAGATGTCTCCTATTTCCTTTGTTGCACGCGGAAAAGGGACGTCTGCGTAACGCCGTCGCTAATCGTGTTCCAGCGTCCTGCTGGCAGGGTATTCTATTTCGCATAAATTGTGAAATAATATCCGGTTAGAAATAAGAGTTGACAGGCCAAACAAAACATCATAAGCTCGTGATACGGGCGAAACGTGACCTTGAGAGTCTGCTTGAACAGAGGTTTTTCTTCTTTTCTCTCTCGCGCGAAGATTACTAGCGCTACACAGAGCATGTAGCATTCTAACCTTTGACTGAGTAAATCTCATTTTTGCCGCTCTAAGTCTTCCATTTAGAGGTCATGAAGCAGGTTTGTTACATGCATACTGAGTAATCATTTCCTGTGGTTTATGCTTCTGTGGGTGTTCCCGATAGGACTTGATTTCAGATGCAGTTGTAAAGTGTTTAAATTTTCTTGACCTCTGTTTGTTACGGCTAAATAAAGATTTTAGTTTCTTTGGCTGGCTTTCTCCAAAATGCCTGCCTGGTGCGAAGTCCACGCCGCTTTTGTAGTTTTCTCAGACACTGTTTACAAATATGATGTGATGTGTCATGCACAGTAAATTGTAAAGAAATAATTTCCTCGTACACGTTAAATTTTCCGCGTCCCCGCACAAGATTTCGATCGCTTTGCTTTTCGATCGACGAAAAACACAGCACACAATCGCACGTGTTTTAATTTGTTTTGGTTAGAAAAGTCCGCTTACATAAATCATTTAAATCACCGCATACATTATCAGACCGCATTCGATAACAACCAATCAGCGTTAAGTCAAACAATGCGCACTGTGTGTCAGCCTATCACAGCGTGTTCCCAAGATCTTGGGAACCCAGCAGGACGCTGGAACACGATTAGCGACGGCGTTACGCAGACGTCCCTTTTCCGCGTGCAACAAAGGAAATAGGAGACGTCTGCACGTAGGCAAGGTTAACCGTTGTATTACACTCGAATTTGCATTTATCGGCAACTCTGTGAGCGGAGTCGTAAGTTCTTGAAAATGGTTTTAATTAAGGGTAATCAAATCGTAGGAAGAGACCTATTACAGAATTGAGACATGTGCCATAGCACTGAGTACATTTTCATGATCGGTTACAACTCTTCAGTGAACGCTACTCATACACTATACATTTTCCTTGAGGACATTCAGCTTCGTGCTCATATAGGAGGTAAGGTGCCTTAACCAGCGATGCAAAAGATCTTGTAAAGGGAAGGCAGTCACCATTGGTTGAAGTCACTGCGTTACCGTTTTGATTCACTTTTTGTTGAGAGAATTAAGGTGGCTCGATACAGTTTTTCAGGGTCAATGCCTCTCAAGTTTGAACATAAACTACGTCGCCAAAAACAAATTTTTGGAAAAATTGCCACCACAGTTGTATTAGATAAAGTTGAAAATTTGTTATGATCAGTGTTGCAACGGCATCGGAGTTGTCATACCAACGAAATGAGGCTATTGCCTATTTGACTTGCAGCAGTATATCTCGGCACTGGGAACTGTTCTATCAAAACCATTCACGGAAGCTTTTCCCTCCAATAGCAGCCTCGATGTTCGTGAAGTTTAAGCGAAATCTGTGAGAGCGTTATCGAGATATTTTGCGCTAATTTTTTTATTGTTAGAAACACAGTAAAAACGGACAATATTGTTGTTTGGCCGTTATCTGTAGAAAATGAAGTGCTTTGACACGTAATTTCACCTCATAGTAGTTTCAATCTTTTTAAAAGCGTGTGTGAAAGATCATGGGAGATTCCCCCAGCCGATTGCTAGAAAGAAGGGTTTGATTAGTATGTATCGAAGCGCTCATGTTAGCGGTTTTTTGAACATTTTGGTCTACTTTAACAAATTAGCGAATAATTTTTAAACCGCTCGATAGATTTTTTAAAAAAATTAAAGATTCTTGAGATTAACCTTCCTTTTATTTGACCTTTTAGTTTCAAGATTATTGATATATTGTAAGGCAGTAAAATAAGGGCTACAATTCGCTAATATTTTGGCAGAATTTTTGTGTTTACAATTGTGAGCCTCTCATTATTCAGGGTATTGTGTCCAAGTTTCATATTTTCCGGCACAACAAAAGCTAGCATTTTTGCATATTTCAAATGCATTGTTAGTTACTGCTGTTCACGTGGAAATGAAACTTGGAGACAATGCCTTGAATAATTAGAGGCTTTCACTTGTAATGACGAAACTTCCGATAAAAAAGTAACGAATTGTAGCCCTTATTTTAATCAAATCCTTCTTTCTAGCAAACGGCTGGAGCTATCTCCTTGATCTTTCACACAAGTTTTTAAAAAGATTGAAACTACTATGAGGTGAAATTACATGTCAAAAGCGCTTCGTTTTCTACAGATAATAGCCGAACACCAAGATTGTCCATTTTTTACAGTATTTCTAACCACAAAATCTTTATCCCAAAATATCTCGATAACGCTCTTACAGATTTCGCTTGAACCTCACGAACATCGAGGCTGCTATTGGAGGTAAAAGCTCCCGTGAATGATTTTCGAAGAACGGTACCTAGTGCCGAGATATACTGCTGCAAGTAAAATAGATAATAGCGTCATTTCGTTGCTATGACAACTCTGATGCCGTTGCAACCCTGATCATAACAAATTTTCATCTTCATCTAATACAACTGTGGTGGCAATTTTGCCAAAACTTTGTTTATGGCGACGTAGTTTATGCTCAAACTTGAGAGGTATTGGCCCTGAAAAACTGTATCGAGCCACCTTAATCAAATTCAAACTGGCATATTTTGCCTGTGAGCAACACCCAAAAATCTGCTTGAATTTTTTTGGATACAAAATTTACAAAATTACGAAACAATGCAGCCCACTGCATAAACTAGACCGTACGATTCTTGAATGATTAATTCAAAAGTCAAAGACCGGTAAGGAGGTTATTGCCATGGTTATACTCATCGGGATAACTCTACAGTTCGTCGGAATTTAAGGAATATATAAAGGAATTGTCAGTTTATCAGGTTTACTCACCAGGACAAGAAGTTATTTTACAGCTTGCTACCTCACTGAAGTCTCCAGTGCAGTTTTTGCCATGGTAGTTTGGCACTGGGTTGTCGCAGGTTCTGTTCCTTGTGTGGGTACCAGTCCCACAAGTCTGACTACATGTTGTCCATGCAGACCACAGGTTGAAACCACCATCAACTAAGAACAACAATTGCATTCGAAATTGTGAATACAGTAAAAGCCCGCGTGTAACAACAATTTGTTAATTCTGTCAAAAACGTTTCATGTATTTTGAGGTAGTTATTCGAAATTTAGGCTAGGTGGGTTCTTAAATATGTTTCTTATTTCGATGAAAGAGCTAATTGTCGTTGACTACCAGAAAAAATTGGGTTTGGTTCTTAAAAATCACGATAAGCTATTACAGAATGTATGTAATATATCTAGCATTATCTCCATAGCATGAGTTGTATGATAAAAAGCAAATGGATTAATAAAGTATTTTTTCAAAATCAAACTTGGTTAAAATGTTGTAATTGTAATTTGTAATTTGTTTACCCACGGAGCACTTAGGAGTTCATAAGAACTCGTTGATACGTTTTCGTGCGTTCCAGATCGAATTGGAATTTGAAAGTGTTGGTTTTTAAGAAAAGGGGGAAACCGGAGTACCAGGAGAAAAACCTCTCGCAGCAAGGGAGAGAACCAACAACAAAATCAACCCACATATGGTGTTTATCATCGTCTAAACTGTGACCCACATATAAGAGTCTGCTTGATCTTGCTTGCCTTGGATTTTACAGATTTCACATTTTGAGTATTAAAATAGCAAATTTCTGCCAGCAGGTTCTCAAACTACTAGGTTCTTACTCGCCAGTTTTTACTGTATATAGGACTTCTCTTGGGTGCTCCATGTGTAAATTGGACCAACTCCTCCTATGGAAGGTTTTCATTGAGGCAGGAACCTCTTCTACAAGCAACACCGCTAGCAATTCGGTCAAATCCGTTGATTGGAGAAATTCCCTTTCATTCGCTTTGATATATAGTTTGATGAACAGGTAGGACGAAATCGTTACCAACTAGTGCTAAACACTGTTATTCACATAACGATGAAGTAATTAGCTGACTGATTGAAAGACAAATTGATTGGTTGATCTATCAATCGATTGATGGAGGTGTCTTTAACAACCCAAGGCAGCGACTGCACAGAGGAGATCAAAGAGAGCAAGGGCAAAAAGAAAACAACCCTGCAGTTGGACTTAATTTAGGACTTTTCTTTGCCGTTGGACTCACTGCAGGACGACCATAACGAATAACGTTCTCGGGCAATACAACGAATTTTTCTTTCTTATTCTGAACTTTAGCGTGGCTGATGGAAACTCAACACCGGAAAATTTGCCGATAGAGTGGAACCCCGTTAATACAGTCACCAATAGCCCAAAAAAATTTGGTCGTATCAATGGGGTGGCCGTATTAACGAGGGGTTGCTTTTTTAAAAGAAAATGTATGGCGGTTTTTGCCAGGCCGTAAGGCGCGGTTTCACTGTACTTGACAGATTTATATGTTCTACAACCAGTTGCAAAAGTACTTGAGACACTGTACCGTATTTTGGCATAAATGCCCTGTCCATGATCTTGTGCTTGTGATCCCCCTCCCTTATCAAAGTTTATAGCAATACAAGACCATACTCAAAACTTGGAGGAACAACTTTGAATGGGAGGGAGGAGGGAGGTCAGTATTTTATCTCACAGACCTGTAACCAGGAGCAATTTGAAGAAAGAAAGGTCGTTTTTTCGTGGGAGTGTCTCAACCTTCTTGCAACTGGTTGTAGCAATGTTCGCAATGAAGTTTGAAACAAATCGAATCCAGTTTAATCTCTCTGCCGTCGCTGTTATCATTGCTTAAGCACCCTAATGTATTTTTTTTACTATATCCACCTGGACAAGGCGTCAAGCATGACTTCGCCGTCTCTGTATCATTACCAAGACAGGGCTTCCCGCCATTCATAGCGGGAGGCTGATTGCACAATCGCGTTCTCTTTAGAATTTCCCCTCCTGATATTCCACAGGTTTTAGAACACTGCGTCCATGGCGTCCAAGGACTCCATTCACCGTCGAGAGGAATAGCTAAAAAGAAACAAAAGACGCTGATTATTTTAAGCATGTTTCACTTTGTTTTTAATGGGCTGGAGTAATATGACAAAAAAAATGGAATTTCGTGTTTTCAAATTGCTGTCATCGATTTAATCTATAACAAAAAAATATTAACAAAGAACATAATTTGTACATAATCTGCCGTATCTTCTGTCCCAAAAAAGTGTCAAATGAAGATCTATACCACATGACAAGGAGCACAGGAATCACCCTTGAGATCTAGAGGCCCCGCCTCAAATGGGTAGGGTAGGGCATGAATGGAAAGTCAGGTGATTCCCAAGATTGTGCCAAGATGGAGTCCACCCCGTAGAAGGAACGCTGGGTGGAAGAAAAGGCGCTTGGGCTAGAACAGCGGGCAGAGCTCAAGGAAATGAACCTAACCTGGGGTTAGACTGAACACCTTGCAAACGCCCTTCTTAAATAGTGTTGTGCATGACTAGTCCTGGCCATACATGTATGTCCCACCGTAGAAAAAGGGGATTAAGTAAGGTTGTTTTGCATCAAGACATAGAGGTCAAAAAATTAAGCGGATTTCAAAGGTCAATATTTTCTTAAAGCTGAAAAAAATATATGTAAATTAAGTTTACTAAAATGGCGATTTGAATTATGAAACAAAAATTCGTTTTGGCGACTGTTTTCGGATGTGCGCAGAGTAAACTTATTGCAATAAGGATGGTAAAATGTTGAAAACAAATGCTGGATTAAACCTGGCCTGGAAATTTTCGCCAAACCGACAGAAAGCTTCTTCTTTTGCATTTGAATAGCAATTGGTTCAAAGGATTGTTTGCGTCCACTGCGATTGGTCAGGGTGATCGCTCATATTTGCTTTCACATAAATTAATCATACTAGCCGAATTGTCTGTTGATTCCCAAAGAAAACAAATGACATTACTACAAAATGAAATTATAGTAAAATGAATGAAACAGATTATAACGAAAAAACTTGTTTTGATTGGGCAAAAATATTATACAACTATCCCCCAAAGGGAAAGTGAATAGTTGTGGTATATACCGAGACGCGAAGCATGGAGGTAAATATCGAGCTCCATGAAACGACCCTGAGGGGGGAGGGAGGGGAGGTGCTTTAGTATTTACCAAATCATTCTGATAAAAATAAAAAAAGAAACTTTTGTAAATTGAAGACGTTATTTAGTTAAAGTTTGTTCACGTTTCAATTGACAGTGTGTCGGGGATCATTTTTAATGATTCTGTTGCAAAGAGAGTACGACCAGTAAACACTGACAAGCCAAATTTTGTCTCTTTCTTTATATTTGTTGGTACAGCTGATTCATTTACCGCTAAAATTTCATCTTTCGAAACTGTCGCGAAACGAGCAGCCATTTTGAATCCCGTCCCAAAACAATGAATATCCTTGTTCCGAGTTACGGGACTGGAGCCAATCAGAACGCACGAAAGTCACTATCCAGTGATTTGGTGAATACTAATATTGAATATCGGTATCATTTTACGCCAAAAGAAATAACTTCAAGTGTTTTACGGAATAAAAAATAACAAAACACTTTTTTACTAACTTGAGCATGGTAAGGTACATTCCAACTTCGTTTGGAATGAATCTCCGGAACATGGCTTCCCATCGGCAGTGGGGGTAGGGTTGGTGCAGTTCCTGGTTCTGTTAACTATGGATCCCCCACACGGGTTTTCACAGAGTGACCACTGACTCCATTCTGTGTAGCCTCCATCGACTAAAATGAAATCAGAATTCTTTAATAAACGACTTAACAAAGAGTGAACGTCGTTGGTCAAAGGAGAACTCGTCAGATTTAGCAATGTAAACTACAATGTGAAATGTTACCGATTGACGTAAATTAAAACGGACCAAAAGGCTTTCCTTTTAAACATGTACAATTGCACTGGCTGGTATGGAAGATCAAAAATAAATGCAGGATCATTAACAGGCTTCTTATAATGTTAGAAATAATCTCGAATTCAACTCAAACGTAAAGAAACAGGAAAAAATAAAATCCCGATGAATAAGTTGAATAGGGAGTTCATTAGGGAGTTTAGGTCGGTTCGACTGCATTTGGCATATATCATAAGATTGAAACTTATAGTCATAATAGGGATCACACAAATTTACTGCAGAAGTAAAGAAAATGCCTTTCTGATCGGGGAAAGAGAAATCTAAGAATGTCTTTACAACTTTCTTTAAACAGATCTACGTTTCTAAGTAACAAACATTTTCGGGCAGTTTTGGAAATATTCATTATTTCTTCCTTGCGTGCTTTTTCGCGGTGTTAAAGGCTGAGCAAATACTCTAATACTTGCCGAAAACCCGACACTTTTCTAAGGGGGTTCCAACACTTTCGGAGCGACAATTTGAAAAAACATCGTCGGAACTAATATTGAAGTAAGTTAATTAATTTTTCTATTAATATTTCTCACTCAAAAAACAGCAATTTTGCAGTGAATACTCACTCAAACAATCTAACCGCTGCGAATTTTCGCCTGTGCACCAACCTCCCCCGTCACTTGGTATGGGATAGGTGCAGGTTCTTGTTCGAATGCGCTGGTTTCCCGCGCAAATGCCTGCCGCACAGCCACTCCACGCTGACCAACCTGACCAGCCACCATTCACTATGGGAGGGAAAGGGTATAAAGTAGAGCAAAAGTAAATGACGGACAGACGAGTTCTTTCATTTTACTTTTTGCGTAATAAAACATATTCATGAATTGTATCCTCTTAATCATATTACATGTATTTGTGAAAAAGAAATAACAGAGTTGGTGCTAAAAATGAAAGCACTACTAGGAATTATCGTCTCAAGATTTAAGACGCCTACATAATCCCAAGAAACATTTGTTTCTGTTTATTGTTTAGTTTGCATATTGCCAACAGCTCATAAACTTGCATTTTTTTTTTGTTTTTCTAGACTCTTGAAAAAACCTATATGTTTGTTCACTGAAAACCAACCACTTTAACGCTTGATGGTGTTAAAATATTAACAACTGACAACTTTTTTCTAACAAGTGGATATATAAGTGCAATACACGAGACACTTACCAACGCCTCCAACAGAATTCGAGAAAGTTGCTAAAACCATTAGAACAAATATATTCATCACGATAGAATCAAAACTGTAACGAACTATCTACAATACAAAGCAAAAGCATAACCACAACTTCTTTGCAATGGAGTGGCTTTAAAAGAAAGTGATAATCAAGTTCACTAATAAATTCACATTCGGTAATTATGTAGACACCTGAAATAAGTCGACGCTCACTGTTTTGTGAGGTGAATAAACAATTTTGTTCGTCGTGAAATCGTAACGGTGTATGGTCTGTAATTGGAAACATGGAGATCGGTTAACTTAATTGAGAATTAAGAATGAAAACCATTTTTACTCAATCACGAATTTACGGAAAATATATTTGTGGGTAATTTCAAACGCACTGTTTGTATTTTTTTTTAAAGAATATAATTAGCGACTCCGATTGCAATAAAACCCAAATCATAAGAAAGTTTCATCTTTATATAGTACAGTTATGGTAACTTTTTTCCATATCTTTATTCATGGAGACGTAGGTAATGCTAAAACTTGGGAGGTATCCCCCCAGAAAAATCCAGTCGAGCCACCTTAAGTCCTTGCCTTATTTGTTCCTCCTCACCAATTATAACAAAAAAAACATTTCTTTTCAACTGTTCGATTAAAGCCATTTCCTAGAATTCTAAACCCTTTGGACCCTATCTTGTGCCCAAGAACAATTTACTCACGGGAAATTTTAGTGCTTAATTGAATGTAAATAAAACGAATCGAGGAGTCTTTTTGATGAGAATGGGACACCTGTCTTGACCACAAGGGAGATTATGAGATATTTCAATTCTTCTTGGTGTAGAACTTTATAAAGTGTCCATGTTAGCACTACACAATAATACAATCTTTTGATTAAAACAAGTATAACTATGATAAACATTTTTAGTAAACCGAAAGCTGTTGTTGATATTTATCATTTTTACTAGAAGGTTTTCTCTAACTTCCACGTCACGTGCACTTGAGGAACACACTCGTCTACTTCAGTAAGTCCTTAAGCCGTGTTGAATTACAGACTTCGCTATCATGGGATAAAGTTGAAAGTAAATTGTAAAAACATATTATAGCTGAACTGAGAGTCATAAAAATGTTTTTCGTGAACATTGTTTGATACCATGTAACAGCCTGTCACTAAATTTTGACCTTCAATCCAAACATATGATATTAGTTTTCTACAACAGTACTTCGTTGCTGGTACCTCAGTATTTTACATATCTAAGCCATTTTTCATGGACAGTAAATCTACAAAGGAACGCGCATTGAATGGACCTCAGAAGAAGAGATGAAATATGCGCATCTACCCAATGTGAATGATTATAGATCATTATACGTGTCTCAAAAGCTGGTCGTCAATATGTTATTTAATATGCTAATTATATTCTTAAAAAAAAAGTACAAACAGTGCGTTTGAAATTACCCACAAATATTTTTTTTCCGTAAACTCGTGATTGAGTAAAAATGGTTTTCATTCTTAATTCTTAATTAAGTTAACCGATCTCCATGTTTCCAATTACAGACCATACACCGTTACGATTTCACGACGAACAAAATTGTTTATTCACCTAACAAAACAGTGAGCGTCGACTTATTTCAGGTGTCTACATAATTACCGAATGTGAATTTATTAGTGAACTTGATTATCACTTTCTTTTAAAGCCACTCCATTGCAAAGAAGTTGTGGTTATGCTTTTGCTTTGTATTGTAGATAGTTCGTTACAGTTTTGATTCTATCGTGATGAATATATTTGTTCTAATGGTTTTAGCAACTTTCTCGAATTCTGTTGGAGGCGTTGGTAAGTGTCTC